TTTTAGATAGGCGGCGAAGGGCTCTTGGCTACCAAAGGAAAACGTCTAACGGCCCGATACTAGTTTGGCATTCAGGGTAGTATCTTGGTTGACAAGCCTGGTACCACTCTCAGGACTTGACTCCTGCACTGATGTTGTGAATCATGGCGACTATCTGGGCATTTTTCTCCAGCTCTGCCTTCTGCGTTTTTATCAGAGCATCTTTTTCTGCAATAGAGGCTTCATACTGGGAGAGAAAAAAAAGAACATTGTAAAGAACATGTAAGATGTACTGTTATACATAGAATTGTCTAAGAGTACTTCTTTATACTTGGAAAAACATGGTGTAAAAAATAAAAGTAGAATTGAAGAACATGAATGTAGAGCAAGACTAGTGTAAAATATGAGATTCAGTTTACAGTCTGTGTTAGATACCTGTGTAAAACAGAAGAGTAAATTATTTTATTGTATTTATTTTGTGCTCACAGCTGTTTACATGTACAATGGGGTATGTATGAAATATGTGGTCATGTTTTCAGCTAGCAGCTGCCTAGAGCCCACATTGTATTGCCTTCCTGCAATCTAAATAAAGTAAAAGTCAAAGAAAAGTAGAACATCATCATAGAATGCCCTTTGAAACAACTTGAAAACTACTAGTACCATTTAGCCCTACCACACTTTCACCCTGACCCACCTTCTTGACTGTCTCCTTCTTGAGTTGTTCCAGTTTGGTTAGCTCGTTCCTGTACTTGTCCACGGCAGTTTCCAGGTCCTCCTTCTCATGTTCCAACGTACGGACCTTGTCTTTCTCCTCTGTGAAAGAAATCAAGGTTTGTTTCTTTCTTTGGTGATTCTACCAGCAGAGATCCCTGCTAAAGTGTTACAAATCCCAAATTTCAAGTCAATCCATTGATCTAAAGTGACATGAAATTATGAATCAAAGTTGAAAACCTAAACTCATCTAAAACTAAACTCCAATTGGGATCTCTGAAGGTAGAATTCTACCAGCAGAGATCGTCTTTGAAATTTCTGTTGACTGAGACTCCAATCCAGACCTCTACCGGGAGAATCGAAAATTTTAACATTAATCAGACTCTCAACCCTAATAGTACAGTATCCTGTATCTTCACACAGTCAATGTATGTACTGGCTGTTACATTACCTGTTAATTTGGCCTCCTTGTCTTTCAGTTGTTTTGTGAGTCTCTTCTTCTCGTCCTCAACTTGGTTCTTGAGACTCTCGTTGTGTCTGCGTAACATTTCGTTCATCTCCCGGAGAGAGTTCTGTTCCTCCATGTGGGCGTTCACACTTCTCTGGAGGGCCTCAACTCTGCAGGGTAAAATATACCACATTTAGTTTATAGACATTTGCTTTACTCTGTATGATTCTCCACTTCAGAACCTACAATAAACAGTTGAACAACACACACACTCAAAAATGTACATACATGTACAACACATACAAACACAAATGTACATACAACACACAACATACATGTATGTATACAAATGTACATACATACACAACACACCTACACACACACATGGACACTCACACACACATGCACGCACGCACGCACGCACGCACACACACACACACACACACACACACACACACACACAAACACACACACACAAACACACACACACACACACACACACACAAACACGTCCCCACCTTGTTATCTGTTCAGCATACGCTGCCTGCAGCTGTTCATGCTCCTCGGCTACGGCCTGGAGTTTGTTGTTCTGCCCAACAAGCTGTGGGCTTGCACACATGCACGCACACAGACAGACATGGACACGGACACACACACACACACGGAAAGACTGACAGACACACACACACGTCCCCACCTTGTTATCTGTTCGGCGTACGCTGCCTGCAGTTGTTCGTGCTCCTCAGCGACGGCCTGGAGTTTGTTGTTCTGCCCCACGAGTTACTCACATACACGCACATGGGCACGGACACACACACACGGAAACACACACACACGGACAGACACACACACACACACAGCCCCACCTTGTTATCTGCTCAGCGTACGCTGCCTGTAGCTGTTCGTACTCCTCGGCTACGGCCTGAAGTTTGTTGTTCTGCGCAACGAGCTTCTCACATGCACGCACACGGACAGACATGGACACGGACACACACACACACACGGCCCCACCTTGTTATCTGTTCAGCATACGCTGCCTGCAGCTGTTCATGCTCCTCGGCGACGGCCTGGAGTTTGTTGTTCTGCGCAACGAGCTGTTCCATGTCCTCGGCCTGCCTCTCCTTGTCCAGCCGAAGCTCGTTGATCTGGTCCCGGTACGCCTCCGACCTGCGCTCAGACTCCTGCAGCATGGACGCCAGCTTTCTCGCCTGGGCAGAAAAAAAATAGATAAACAAGCAAAGATTGAGTCTTCTACAGAACCTAGTAGTTCGTGTACATCATAACTAGATTATATTTACATTTAGATGTGCAAAGGCTAGGCGTAACAAGACAAAGTTGTTTGGTGTAATATAGTCAGCTGCTGTCAGGCCACGTGCCTGCAAAGCTGGTGTGTTACGTCAAGAGGCAGTTATACCCACTCTACAGGTACAGATTGTACTATGGAGTAGGCTAATTCTCAATCTGAACAATGTACCTGAACAAGCCCATATCAACCTGCCACATGCTACTGTACTCGAAATATTCTGAAATCTTCCTTAGAAAACTGAACACATAATCAATCACAGACCAAATCTATGAGTAGTAAGTTACTCCCTGTTGTTACCTCAGCCTCTGACTGAGCCCTCCTGGACTTGTACTGAGCAATGAGTCTGTCAGCCTGGGCCAGGGCCAGCTGCTTAGCCTCTAACAGGTCCTGCAGGTGGCTCTCCTTTGTCTGTCATGTCAAGAACAAAGAATTTAGCCTCAAACAGGCATATGAGGCTCTCCTTTGTCTGTCATGTCAACAACAAACAATTTAGCCTCTAACAGGCATGTGAGGCTATCCTTTATAATGCAAAGTTCATGTAATGTTAAGAACAAAGAATTTAGCCTCAAACAGGCATGTGAGGCTCTCCTTCGTCTGTCGTGTCAAGAACAAATAATTTAGCCTCAAACAGGCATATGAGGCTCTCCTTTGTCTGTCATGTCAACAACAAACAATTTAGCCTCTTACAGACATGTGAGGCTATCCTTTATAATGCAAAGTTCATGTAATGTTAAGAACAAAGAATTTAGCCTCAAACAGGCATGTGAGGCTCTCCTTCGTCTGTCGTGTCAAGAACAAATAATTTAGCCTCAAACAGGCATATGAGGCTCTCCTTTGTCTGTCATGTCAACAACAAACAATTTAGCCTCTTACAGACATGTGAGGCTATCCTTTATAATGCAAAGTTCATGTAATGTTAAGAACAAAGAATTTAGCCTCAAACAGGCATGTGAGGCTCTCCTTCGTCTGTCATGTCAAGAACAAAGAATTTAGCCTCAAACAGACATGTGAGGCTCTCCTTTGTCTGTCATGTCAACAACAAACAATTTAGCCTCTAACAGGCATGTGAGGCTATCCTCTATAATACAAAGTTCATTTGCAATGTTAAGAACAAACAATTTAGCCTCAAACAGACTTGTGACAGCAGTGCACACACAATGCCATTGACAATATAGTCTTTTAAAGATTGTAAGTCTTAGAGAAGATGCTGGTCTGACGTCCTGTGGTAGTGAGTTCAAGACAGGCGAGTCAGAGCAGGTAGCCAAGGGATCTCCTGTATATATCAGAAACAGAATGCCATGAAGTATTGGAGAAATATTCTGAAAAACTTACAGCCAGAGAAGCCAGCTTGTGCTCATACAGATCCATGATCTCTGAGGCTTTAACATCCTTGATCTGTTGGGAGGTACAAAATGTAGATTTCATATAAAATTTGTGATACAAGTTTAGACCGATCTTGTAACACAAACAAGAAACAATGTGTACATGTGCTCTAAGAAATTATCAACTGTTACACTTCTTTTATGTAGCTTAGGATTCCATGGATTCAAATTCAAATTGAGTCAGACGAGAACTGCAACAGTTACATTGAATCAACCATGCATGAGATCTATAAAAGAAGCTTAAGCATTATCATAAGAAAGTATTCTGAATTGCATGAGCTCTAATTGATAGTTATGGGAAGGTTCTCTTGAGTTAGAGAGTTCTCACAAAGAAGGCCTGTTCAAACGGTGAGAAATTGTGTAACACTGTGAGGCCTGTTCCCTGTCCTTACCTCCAGTCCAGAGTTCATCCTGTCAATCAAGGTGTCCACATTCCCCTCCCGAAGTGGGGACCCCTTCCCCCGCCCCTTCCCCCCCTCGGTGCCGTTGTAGTTGATTGATGCCTTCATGGACTGTAGTTTACCGACGGGTGAGCCCGGTGACTCAGCACTGCCGATGTTTAGCACTTTCCTCTCCGTGGCCTGTTTGGCATTGTACGCTGCAATGGAGTCCCCAAGCCTTGGAAAAGAAGAGGGTAAATTAGGAAAGAAAAGTGTAAAGATTTTCTATCATAACTTTTTATTAAAGGCATCCAATGCAATTTCAGGGCGTCAAAACTGGACTTTCAAAGTCAATTTTCTGGTCATTCTTTTTATGCAGTAAGTTGAATCAACCTTATCCCATAGAATATTGACATCCAATGTCACTGATGGAAAACAGTATTTTGTATTGTAGGCTGCTTTTAGCTATTTATGGGTGGTACCCAAAAAAATAAAGAGACACCTCATGTAGTTTGTTTCTGGTGAACCCCCGTCTTGTGATAGGCACACAGTTATAATCTACCCAGTAAGGAGCACTACCTAACCCTGACTTAAATTCAGTTGACTCAGATGATTATGATCAATACACTAAGAAATGTTCTGCGTCGAGCAAACAAATGACGGTTGACAAAATAGAAATTGAACAGTTGAACACTCACATGATGGCAGGGAACTCAGGCAGAGGCAGAGCCTGGTTCAGCAGCCTGAGAGCCAGCTGGACCCGCGCTCGCGTGTCATTGGTCAGGGAGAACGCCAGGAACGCAACAAGTCTCTGGTCCTGTCAACACAAACTTCTATATCAGACCTCTGTTCATAAAACCTTTCTTTCAACACGAATCTAAACTAAAGCTATGCAGCTATCAGATATTTACAGGAACATCATCTCTACTTTGAATGATTAATCTCATACTATACTAGAAGTAACCTTTAGGAAATTTTGACTCATTTTAAACTTCTTCCTTGCTTAAGTAATTTGTAGAATTTTGGCACCAAATTTTTTAGGTTACAGAGTTATTATATTAGGCAGCAGGGAGAAGATTACAGACCAAGCGAAGGTACAGAATGAAATTAAAGAGCATAATAAATGTCTTCACACAATATTTCTGTTTCCTGATACTTGTATCATAATAGTACCGTACCATTATTGCAAGCTGGGTGCAATGTGGATTTTACAATAAAAGAACTGTAAGTAACCTGTAGTGTTTCATAGAACATCATGTCCATGTTGGCCACATAAGTCTTGATCCTACTCATCAGTTCTAGTGTGTGAAGAACCAAGTCTACTCCAGCCTCACTGCGAATCAACAAACAACAAACACACTTCATATATATGTATGTGATTAATAAATTATGATAAATAAGCTACCACAAGTAAGACTAAAATTTTTTCTATAATGTAAATACAATACAGGGTATTTTGTATCGCCCAAGGTATCAGCCCGACCCTTATCATGGCCCAGGTATGATATACGAGTCCCTAGGCTACCTCCAGTCCTCCTCCATACCACAGTGCCCAGTAGCCCTGCCCAGCCTGTTGTGTTGGTACTGATGTTCCAGTAGTGTGCTGCAAACCTTTGTGTCGACGGCTTCTGCCACCTGAAGCTTCATGGACTCATCATTACACAGCAGTGGCAGGGTCAAGGTTCACAGCAATATATTTAATACTATATGATTGCCCCGGTAAGACCAAAGAATATAATACTGTATTCTTGTATCATACATGTATGCAATCATACGGACGATATCATTTTACAACACAACATTTGTAAATTATACATAGGATGCGTCGGTGAAGGTTAGACATCCAGGTAATAAGATACGCCAAAAACAGTTGGATATGATTTTGGAAATGGTCAGACGTTTTGGCTGAGGTAGCATCCGTTCTTGTCTATACACCAAAATCATATCCAGTTGCTTGAGCATCTGTTTTTGGCGTATAGACAGGATATCTTCCTTAAATATGCAAACACAACCGTAAGTGTTGCTCACAATACATGTACATGTACATAACTATTTTTATGCAGGTGCAGTACATTCTGCCGATCTGTTTAGAGGTTTCAATGAAGCATAAAAATTGAATTTGCTGTCGATAAACTAAAAAGACGATCCTTTATTGGAAGGATATCAAGAAGAACGTCCAAGGCTTTGACAGTCTTCAGACACTTGAGTTTCAGGATCGAACCATCTGTGTCACAGGGGGGTGTGAGTTGTTCCACAGCCATGGGCACTACCACGTCAGTACGGGGGGACAGCTGGGCGGACAGGCCTGAATCTATCACTTCCTGGAATTTAAAAAATAAAAACAGTCAATATCAAAGTTATTGATGTACATTTGTCACATTCAGAGCAATATTGCTACATGCAGAAGCAGAATTTTGACAGCGATTTCCACCCCAAAAGTTGCACTGAATCAAATTTATTTTTACTGCACAGCACAGCAAGAGTCTTTGTCAAAGAATTACACAATGTAATAACCTAACACATTAAAATTTGCACAAGTCCAGCTTTTTCTTGCATTGAAAATCAGAGTTGAAATCCTGTCTTCAGAATAAATTCTACCATTACAGATAAACTTTCATGCCAAAATTATACTATAATAGTCTCTACCAACCTCCAATGGGTACAGGAGAAATTGGCCAAAAAAATTATATGTGACAGTCTCTTGCATAATAATCAGTATATTTGCCCAATTTCTACTACTTTCCAGAAAACCATTGGAGTCAAGTAGAGACTACTAAAATCATATTCTCATATTCTGAATTTTCCTACATTATAAGGTTCTCTCTGTTAATGATAATAATTAATCAATAGATAATAATAGTAATCCCTTACCTCAAATATCTCCTTCAGCAGATCCAAGGCAAACAGAGGAGCCTGATCATGAGTCTCTACAGACTGTCCCGCCCAGTGGACCAGCGCAAAGAACGGCTCTGTGATCTGTCGCTGGTGAACCTGAAAAAATATGTCAGTTTAATTACAGTGTAGAGCATCCTTGTACATGTACATTTGTACATGTTCATGGTATATAAGTATACTGTAAGGCCACACTAACTTTACCTCCTTGTATTTTGCTTTACACATGTATATGACTATTGTGTCAATTGGAACCATTTTTTCTCTTGCTTCAACAGTACTTAATGTAACTTACAAAATGTAAATGTTGAGTCTTTTTCATACCAATGTATATAATTCTTGAAATATTTTCGTTATGTTCTTATTGGTATGATAGCTTGAAAAGGCAGTAACACCAGTTCTATCATACTCTCTCCGTTGTTATGGTGAAGTTTAATAAATAAATAAACAAACAAAGCTACAAACCTGTGGCTGGTATCTGTCCGGGTCCTGTGGAGCGGGGGTGTTCAGGAGGGCGCGGCACACCGTACAGCGGAGACCGTTCACGGAACATAAATAAACAAACAAACAAACAAACAAACAAACCTGTGGCTGGTATCTGTCCGGGTCCTGTAGAGCAGGGGTGTTCAGGAGGGCGCGGCACACCGTACAGCGGAGTCCATTAACGGAACAGAACGACAGGAGCAGCTCAAATATCTGCCGAGGAAAAATGAACACTGCATTCAACATGGAAACCCCAGGACAGAGCAGAAGATTAATATGTAGTTCTGTTCTAGCCAGCCTGAATTTTGTTTGTCATCTCTAGTACTAGTATTTTATTTGACAAAATATTTTATTTGACTAGTATCACGTCAAATGCCAAACTCGACAATCCTAGTTGGCCATGGGTCTGGAGCATGCTTTTTGAAATATCTGATCTGGCACTGGCTGATGTTCTGAGGTTTTGACAAACTTTGTATATTGGCTCTGGGTAAAAGGAACACTTTAAACTAGAATTAAGGACCAAACATGTGGATTTGTACAAGATAAGCAAAACTAACACATGTACAATGTAGTGATAAGAGAAAAGTTGCAAAAGCTCCAAGAGAACCTGTTTCACACAATTGCAACCAACAAAGTTTAAAGTCCCCCCAACACACACCAAGTTGTATAATCCAACAAAATTTGAGGTTAAAAAAATAGCAAGCACCCTGGAAAATTTCAGTCTTAACTGCTATCAGAAGAAATCAAAATCAAAACATATTACCTCCCTTTCTCTGTCCAACATTGTTTAAAGGATTTCTAGCACGTACGGTAGTTGTACAAAACATAGACTCAGATTCACATCACAAACTATGTGACTTCTGATGCCAACCCTGATGCCACTAGCCCATTCGCACCATAACAACGCCATGGGTGCCTACAGCCCCTGATAACATTGAATGTCCCACAAAAAAGACTCCCTGCCACATGAATGGAAGGTTTAAATATTTACAGCGGTCCGTGGATAGAGTTGGTAAACTACGCTACGCGACCCCTTTGTGTGAAGAGCTTTCACAAGTGTCAGTAGGGTAAGCTTTGGAACATAGAGATTAGGAACAATTGGGTTATACCACTACTGCTGGGGGAACTTTCTTCTAGATTGTTTACACAAAAAAATAAGATGTGGGTTAACAGGTGTTTTTTTTCTTCAAATTCATTTCTTTGTTTGTCTAATGACAATTTACAAAGTAGTTAAGTTTTCTACTATAACAAAGGTCTTTGTAGGTACAAATGTATGTAAAAATTGTTTTTAAAATTGCCATTTACTTTCTAAAGCACAATCTATAATTGTATTGTAAAGACAAGGTGACAGCTGACTGGGAAAGTGGTACGGTCCACTGGTTACAATATGGGACTTAGTAACAGGTAAGAAGACACTCGTCTCATTCCTTTCAGCACTCCAAATCAGATATAAGAATTCTCTCTTTCAGCAATCTTAATGAGATATAAGAAATTTCTCCAACTTACCTTTGTAGCAGATTCTGTATCCATGGTGATGAGACGTAACACCTGCATCAGACATGCCTCAAAATGTTCATAGCTGGAAAAAATTTAAAAAAATACATGTTGAATTTCTTAAGCATATTGAACACGAGTGCGGATATGCAGAAAAAAGGATTTTGAGCCCTGCGCTTCCACGTGACTTGGGTCATTTCTATTGGACAAGTATCAGAGATTTGACCAAAATGTTTGTTGGTATACAGGTAAGCTACTAGTATTTTTTTGTGATTATGATTATACTTATTTATAGAGTTTTACATCTTTATAATATTCTTAATCCTGTAAGCTGCATTGTATGGAGGCTATAAATGATACAACAATTTTAATACCTTGACATTAAAATTTCTGTGGAAAAGTAAAAAGGAGTGGGTGACTGAGCAAAATAAAAAGGAAAAAGAAACAGACTAAGATAGACCCAAATGCCATCACAGCAAATCTTACAACCAAGAAATCGAACTGGGGTGGCCAAACAACAATATTTTTTGATACCGCCAACCGACTAACCAACAAATACTGCTGCTACCATATTAACCTCTTTGGCAATGGAAATAATGTTACAACATCTGACAAAGTCCCTCTCCTGTCCTCAGGATGTCACTACTCACATGACGACAGACTGTTGTGTTTTGGGGCTCTTGAGCAGCCCGATGAAAAGGTCACAGGTGAAACTGCGGACGTGCGAGCTGTCTCCGTTCACGATGATGTTGAAAATCAGCTGGAAGGTCTGGTAAATGTTCTTGGCATTGAACACCTGAAAAATTTGAGCAACTTGTACATATTTGTAACATCTGTACCTACTTTAATGAACTTTCATGCTAGCATCCTACAAATGTGCATTGTACATACAGTTAAACATATGTAATAAGCAACTACAAGACCTGGTGCCAAGTTGATCAAATGAATGTTTCTTGACTATTCTTCACATCTACATGTAAATTAAGCAAAAAGTAACATTTGCACAGTTTTGCGTGTACTAGTAGAAAACGATATCTACAACCGTTTGACCATTTCCAAAATCATATCCAGTTGCTAACACGTAAGTACTAGTAACTTTTTTTGATACCTGCAATGAATTTAAGTTTTCAAACCAAACAAATTTTAATACATGTATATTGTAGACATTTGATCCCAAAAGTGCTACAAAACCCCTTACAGCTACGATAGAATTTAAAGAGACTATTTGGTCAGAATATTTACTTTGAAAGGAATGGAAGAATAATTCTTACCTTTTCTCCAATCTCCTCATTCAAACACAGGTTACTGAGAATAGAGAAGGAGTAGACCACGATACTCTGGTTACTGTGGGAAACGTACGCTATCAGGGTACGGTAGATGGACTTCACATTCTCCTGCAAATAAACATAAACAACAACATGTAAACAACAACGTGTAAACAACAACATCTTTGTTTGTTCATTTATCCAGGAAATACATATCACCTGATGGCGTTTTTCAATGGTTCCTGGGGAAAAATCCCAAACAAAATCTGAATATTATTGGAAGTGAAATATGAGGACGACATAACTTCTTTTCATATCTCATATTTATCACTAATTATTAATGTAGTAACTTGTATAATATTATGATAGTATCAGTGCTCAATTTTGACAACTCATGTTCGCCTTGCATTTGGTTGGTCGTGAGTTTGATCCCCAACCAAGCCATACCAAAGACTTACTGGTACTTACACTCAACATTTGGGAAAGAATATGTGACTTAAACACACACCACTACCAGTGGACTAGCCTCCTGGTGTAGTGATTACACAACAGTGTGGCCTAAGGGCTACAGATCTACACGCAGAGGTTGGCACCACACACTGTATATGTGTGGGAACGAACTTTGAATGACCATGCATCTGTGCAGATTTTCTAATCTCCAAGCAGATCATACAGTGGCAAGACAGTATCCAGAGGAGTGTCCATTAGCCACCACAGCCACCACCTTCGGTGGCCGTGCAAACTCCTCTGGCTAATGGATACTGCCTTGCCACCAAAAGGGATCTGCTTGGAGATTACAGTTTTTAATGTTGTTGTTTCCTTACCAGTGCTTTAACATGTGCCTGTATGGAGAGGTTATTTTTACACAGGTTAGCCAGAAGTCCCAGGCAGGGAGCAGTCAGGTCTGACTCATGGCCAAGTCTGTAGAAGAAGGACAAAAACAATGTTAACATGGTTAGACATGTTAGAACACTTCAAATTAAAACTACTAGGGCTTCCGAATATTATGAATTTCATCAGAACTTTGTAGAACATATTTGGGATTTTCAATCAAATTCAGATAAAAAATGTGTTATGAACAGGCTGAGCTCAGAATATTGTACCGTTATATTTTTCAATAAACAAATAAATAGGCTTGACTCTAAATACAGAAAAGAAGAAGAGGACAATAACATTTTGAGCAGGTATATGTACAAATGTACGTACGGAAGTGAAACACAGAAGTGGTCTTACATGTGAGAGATGAGAAACCTGATGAGCTCCTCCATGTAACTGTTGGGATAGCTGACTTTGGACTTATAGGTCAGCTTCTGTAGCAACTGGAGGGTCTGAAATAGAATTATTATACTAGTAGTCAGTTATTTCTGCAATTTGAATTTTTTTTTAGATGTAAACTGTATTTAAAGTTGCAAATCTTACACTGGGGTCAAAATGAAATCATCTAAAGCAGCTGAGCTGAAAAATGTCCAACTTTTAGGTCACAAATATGGTCCATAAGATCAAAAATGCATCAGCCAACTCTCTACGTTAAGCAAGTTGCTGAAACAAAACACACTTAACTTGCTGAAACGAGCTAGAAAAATGTCAAATGTTACAGATATGTTACAGAACCTGTAGAACGAGTGGCTCCCCTGGCGACTGTGTGTGGTACTGCAGGAAGGTTGCCAGTGATGAGGTGAAGTTGAATGTCGTGTGCATGGCATCCCTGATGTCTGGATAGGAGGCTGTACAATGTAGATAAAAAACATATCAGCCACCCCTCTATGTTCAGCAAGTTACAAGCTTAAAGACATTTATTATTTATTGGTTCGGGTTACAACAGCCAAGGTTTAGCCAACTTAAACAGAATGCATTGTTATGTCAAAATTATATCACATCTACTGATGTATACAAAAATAGGATTTGTAACACTGGTGAATTGGTGTTGAAAGATGCTAGAAAATAATTGAAACACATACTGCAGACATCATTTCTGCAAACATTTGTAAATACTGGTGCAGTGTGAAGTCTTAGCCTGGGTACCATCGGGATTTTCGCTACACAACGCTCGTGATTTTTTCGAGCGTTGCGTAGCAAAAATCCGGATGGTACCCAGGCTAGTGAAGTCTAGCCAACTGCTGCCCACCAATGTCAGGGACATCTGCAGCAGTATACTGGAGTAATCTAAGCCTAGATAGTGTGTGATTGTGAGAATGAAATAAGGTATGTGAGAGAAACTAAGCCAAACTATTCAGTAGTACAACAGTCTCATGTGAGAGAGGTGGGGGTTATGTGTGAGACAAACTGACCCAGGTTGTTTCTTATGTGAGAGAGAGAAACGCTGGCCTGGCATGGGTACCATCCGAATTTTTGCTCTGCAACCCTTGAAAAAATCAAGAGCATTGCGGAACGAAAATTCGGATGGTACCCAGGCTAGATAAACGCTACACAACACGTAACTCTATGTCTAAAAATTATGTGGAAACTGACCCAAATTATGGAGTAGTACAACAGTCTTGTGTGAGAGAGATATGGGGTTATGTGTACCCGGTGAAACTGACCCAGGTTGTTTCTTATGTGAGAGAGAAACGCTGGTCTACACGTAACTCTCTATGGAAAAAAATTATGTAGGATTCACTGACCCAAATTGTTGAGTAGTACGACAGTCTTGTGTGAGAGCGATGTGGGGGTGTGGTTATCCTCGATGATGTCACACAGACAGCTCAGACATTCCATAGGCAGGATCTGCTGAGGGTTGAAGAACTTCACCGACCGACCCTTCATGGTCAGGCTGATCATCAACTGGGGGGAAGTAACAATAATCATCAAAGAACATCCACATGGGGTGAACAATGGATACAGCCGGCCAATGGAATGGATAAAGGTGGCTAAGGCCAAGAAAAAAAAAAGTAATGTTGTGTTTCCTGTTTCAGTCCTCAGAAAAATAGGGTCGGTAGGTAGGGATGATCTTTTTTCTTTCTTGTTTTTTTTTATTAGACATTGGCAATCACTTAGCTGTGGATGACTCTAGTACATTTCTGTATCCGGCATTATCATGCAAAAAGGATTACTAGAGTCGTCCACGGCTAGCAATCACTAGAGATTGAAGTCACCATTGGCTTTTTATTATATGTGAACTGTAAGAAACAGAAGGAGCGAGTAGAACAGATAAAAACCCCTGGTCCCGGGCCGGCGTTCGAACCCACGACCAAACCCTCACGCCAGTCCACTCGCCGACACTCTTACGATTCGGCTAAAAGGTCTAGACCCATCAGCCGGGTCAGTTGGTAGCGCCTATAGTTAAACCCCCCACTGTTAGTGTTACAGAACAACAAATGAAGACATATTTTGTCTGGGAAAAATCAAAACAAAGAAAAGTTACCTCTGTAGTTGAAGAATTATGTTGGCATCACTTCATGTCATGCCATTATAAAATGAAGTCACCAATGACTCACCATTGTCTTTTGATTGTATGAACAACAAATCAAGACATATTTCTCCTGGGAAAAAATCAAACTTAACAACAAAGCAGAAAATTTACCTCTATCTGTCTCTGTAGCTGAAGAATGTTGGCATCGCTTCTGTTGTTTCTAAACTGGCTGCCGGCCATAACAAGACCTTTCATACACGACGTTGGGTCCATGGCTTCCGTCAAGTCTTTAATTTCTTAACAGAATAATCTGCACACAAAATCGTTATGATATTTTTACATCAATATTTTGAACAGTTGAAAGTAGAGTTTGGTCAGGTCATAGGTTACTTCACCATGGAGGTAAAAAGACCTCCATGGTTACTTGCAGTTTTAGCAAAACACGTTACGCATGAAAGAATTTCTAAACAACATGCAAAATATTGATAATAAACGTGGAAATTCTCATATCAATGTTGTCTCTATTATCCTATAATGTGTTTGAGATGCTTACTGTAGCTGAGAAAGCGATTCGCTGTCTGTAAAAACGTTCTCAAAGGCACAAAGACGTGCTACAGAATATGCAACTTGTCGTCCATTTTTCTTCCCGCTTCCGTTTGAATCTAATGGTAGAAACCATAATGAAAATAGGGGTGTGAACCGTACATACTTTTAATCAAAATTCATCATGAAACGTTCAATATATGCCACTAGATATAAATAAATATAAATAACGTAATATTATTTGGTACTTATTTCTACTTAAGGTCAAATTCATGATAGAACTTTACAATATATTTCACAATTACCTACTACATTAATAAAATATTCCGAAATTGACCCATGACCTATCCGGGGAAAGGAGTCTTTCACCTGAAGAATATTAATATTTGTCATCTTAGAAACTATAAAATATCTCTATTTTTGGTAAATAATTAATAAAATTTTAAAAAGATGCTCTTTTAGATAATCATACTGAGTTTTAAGAAAGAATGTCCCATCGCTCTTTGCGGTCTGACCGCCATCTTTGTTTTAGCTTGTTCCAAATGGTAGGGGTAGTCTTAAAAATTAATTTTTATACTATGACTTATATGTACTTTCGTTAAGAAATAAAGATTTTTCATAGTTGTTAAGTTGTTGTTCATGTGGTTTCTGTCCTTTAAATTGTCACAAATACACCATTCTTTCAAATTGAGCAAATATATAAATGAGATTGAATGCAACAACACACATTGACCCTTTTTGACTCGTCCATAACACACAAGACTCAGACATCCTAGACAGGTAAGTTTGCGACTCACCTGATTGTTTTCTTCTTTTTTAACCACTTTACCGACATAAGTAAGTACTACATTATAATAGATGTTATGTATTTAGCGCTCGAGGTCTGATACACAAGAATGTTATCATTTGGGGCACGTGTTTTGGCGCAAAACCTTTCTTTCTTTCGCGGTTCCGTATGTCAAAAATTGCCTGAAATTATTTGTTTCCTGTCTTCGTAAAAGTTTTTGTCGTTTCCTGTTGTACTTCCTGTTGAAGATTCACGAGTTACAGGACTCTGCTACGGATTTTGTTGTGAAATTTTATGTCCAGAAGTTGATATGTATTCTGTAAGTGCGAAAAAAGGAAAATCCCAGAAGCAAAATTGCCGAGTTTTTATTTTGATCGGACAAAAATAATACATTTTTTTTATTTATACATGTACAGTACCTTGCAGTTTTTATATGTAATATAGAAGTAATAGAACACAATAGATCCTTGTCCTGGACAGTAGTTTGTTGATATAAGTCAATGCTTTTGTCAAATTGGGCCTTTTGTTATCATGGACTTACTTTATGAGCCTCTTGTTATTCATGACATTCTGTGACAAAAAATAGTAATTAAGTCAGATGAGCTATGTAATAATTTGTATGCGATTTGACAAGATTCGCACTGCGAAAGTCGCAGTCTCCTTTCTTTCGCAGAGTTCCTTTCTTTCTCACCTAAGGGTGAGGTTGCGCATACTACCCTATTTGTGCGAATATCGTCGATCTTACTCTGGGCCGTGCACACCCGTACTTAGGTAACACTATTCATGCGAATATCATTGATCCATAAGTATGCTGGGCCATGCACACGTACTTAGGTAACCCTGCTCGTGCAAGTATCGTCAATGTTACGTTGGGCCGTGCACACCTACTTAGGTGTTGCCAGGTAGAGAGGTGTGTGTGGCCCTGGGTAAGTATGGAAAGCTTCAAATTTTTGGAAGCGTACCTATAGCTAACAAGCTTACTGCGCAATCTTACGCTATTACGACATTAGATATAGTCTTCATCTTCATCTTTTGCCGGAGCTCTGAGATGTTATATAAGCCCCAGCTACATCCCCATATAGCCCCTATTGGGGCACTTAAGGGAGGAATGTAGGATGAAATTTACGTATTACTAGTTAGACTTTGCTTGAAATCTATGACTAGCGACTGACATGTGTTATGCCCCCATATAGAATAAATTACTCAGAGAACAAGTGAGTGAGTGAGTGAGTGAAGTACTTTATTGGTGCTTTCTTGATGAGACCTCGAAACCATTTATTTCAGAGTACGCTCTGTATGCTAGATACTTAGATACTTAAGATACATGTAAGTACTTTTATCTACTTTGTACTAATGTTATCTACTAGTACTTATATAGATCTATGTAATGCTTTAAAAAAGTATATTAGATCTACGTCATGTTTTAAACCTATTTCGTCACCTACCCGCCATTTTTATCATACTATTTTACTACCATTTTACTACTGTTATGATGTAGTAGTTAGACACAATGTAAACAGTCCAGGTACTTCAGCAGTGGCTGCAAAGTGGAATCTACATGTATATGAACCAAATAAACCATTAAAAAAAAATTACATTTTGGACCCCTAGTGACTTGGTATGGTACTGTAGTTTTGATATGTCGTGATCTGGACATGATAGTTTGGAGATGGCAGAATAGATATCTCTTGTGCTCAGCAATAAGTTATGTAGGTTTGGGCCCCCTAGCAGCATGTTCTGGAACTACAGTGGTGTTTTTTAAAAGTGCATTTTGCATCTCATGTGTTTCTTAATATAATTGAACAAGTCGTTTTCACCAATCGTGCCTTTCGTCACTTTCGTGCCATTTCATCATCAGCTCACCACAAGCCGTTAGTCTTCGCTCTGGAAAAAAAGAAACAATGTTTTATGTACATGTACCAAAAAGGAAGAAAGCAATTTGCAGTTATGCAGTTATGGTCCATTTTAATAGTATTTATAATGTTATTATATGTTCTACATGGCTTGGAATACTGAGTGCATGTGCACCTTACTGCACCCAAATTTGGAGCTGTGTACCTAATCTTTTTTCTGTGTGTGCACCAGTGCACCCAAATATTTTCTTAGGTTTAACATATGTAAAGTGTATGTTAAGTGTATAATACCCGGCGGGGTAGTTACAGCATATTCTTATTATTTATAACATCTACATGTATGTGTCAGATAAAGAATCATTGTTATACTTACTTTTCTTGAAATGAAACATATAGATTTTGCAGACATTCTGCTTACATGTATTTTATCTTATATATGGTGCAGCACCTAAAATTTTTTTTTTTTTCATCTGTTCCCAAAAATGAATTTCGAGCCCCCTATTCTACCTGGATGCCCAACCATCAATGCCCACCACTTACTTAAGAGGTTCTTCAGGATTTAGTTCGGAAACCGATGGCCTTTTGTTCACCACAAGACTTCAAAAGGGTGACCTAGGAGAAAAAGAACAAGCTTCATTCTATTATGTACCAGAAAAATCAGAGCAACTTTCAGTTATGCAAATCGCCATACTGAATGTTGGAGTAGAAATCGTTGGAAAGCATAGCTGCCTGAGAAACTTGTGAAAAAAACCCACACTTTTATTACTTTTCAAACAATCGAAGGACCTCCAGACAACTATAAATTAAACAAAAAACTAAAATCTGAGATTTTATACCTCCGGGCTTTTTATTGTTATATTTTTATATCTAATTTATTATGTATAGTTGATGGTGTTGAATTTTTTGTGTTAGAGAAGATGCATGTGTACAACAACAATTGTTGCGCGCCGCAAGACAAAGAATTTATCGAGACCGGACACCCCTCTTTGCGAGAGGTCATATACGTGGACCAGACCGAGAATAGCTTAAACACGTCAAAGGTTAACGGTCGCGACCACTTTCACGCTCAAAGGGGTGTTTTGGGGCCACCAAAAGGAACCATTTTCACGCCTGAAAACACATATACAATAAAAACAAAAGAACGTGCATTATCTGCAGCCCAATAGCAAAACATATACTGAGTCCCAAAAGAATCCGTCCACCCAAACGCGAGAAACAGCTGCGAACATGAAAATCTAAATCTCTCACAAAACCCTTCCGCGGAAGGATGTCTCCTTCCCCGGAGGTAATTAAGTCAAACAAGACCCATGAAACACCACTTCTCCCTAGAAACTGTTCACTCTTGTACATATTTTGAATTTTCTAATGCCATTTGTCCTCATTTACCAACAAAGCGTTACTCACTATAATAAAACATACCTGGAGGAATCTACAAGTACTTACATGACCCGTCTTTCCATGATCCGAGTATGTCTCATCATACTGCCGCTCGACAAAGGTCGAGATCTCCTCGCCCAAATCACCGTCAGGATGTTTGACAGTTTGGAGTAGACTTCCATCGTCCAGGATCAAGGCCATGAAGCCATCACTACTGTCGGCTAACTGGCCAATGATGGAACAACAGAACAATATTGTCACCTCAAACTGTCGTTTCCCAACATTTAATACATGCATTGTAGAACCAGGGCTTGAAATCCTTTTTTTAAAATGTTTTCCGAATGAAAACGTTGTTTTTGCTCAGTTTCTTCTTCTTCTCCAAGCAGTGACCTCTGACCTGAACCAATGTTGTGTCTGTTAACTAGTGTTGGGTTACATAATGTTTTATAACAGGAGGGATTTAGACTCCTGTCTGTTCATATACAGTATATAACCCTGGTTCCACAATGTTGAATGTTGGTAAATGATAATTTTTTATGATTGAAGTTGCTGCCATGGTTACATGTACTAGTAGTTTATCCCCACAACCGTGTAAGTACATACTATTATAGTTGTATTATTTACCAACATTCAATATTGTGGAACCAGGGTTAATAATTATGTGATACGTGGCTCACCTCGTATTCTACTTTGCTGATAATTGGAACATCTATCTGTATGGAAGGTTGGAACCAATCCTCGTACTGATCACCTTTGAAGATGTCGATCCCTTCCAGGTGAACCTAAAGCAAGAATTCAATTCAAAACATGTACAGTAAGTACATCACTCAATCAACCTGTATTTTAACTATTTACTACAGAAATAGTATCCAGAATTTACTAGTATACTGTCCTTCCGTACACATTTCATCCAAGAATTGGCCTGACTTAAGTGAAGATTTGTGACATTCTATGGTTAACAGCACGTCTGCAGAACGTACTGCGCCTGCGCGAAACCCGTAATGTATTGCACATAGCAGTTCGGCAGAATGTCTCATATAAGGTTGTATTCGCTCATATAAGGTTAGCATTTTGACAGTAGTTTCCAAATGTTGTGTCGGAAAGAATATCCTCTGCAACAGTATTATTTCTGATGCAACGTTGACCAAAAACCCAATGAAAAACGCAAAAATATGGGGTTCTGTGCAGGCGCAGTACGTTTTGCCGACGTGCTATGGTTAACCATGTTACTTCCTGTACATCAAGACAGTTGAATAGAAGATAAATAGTGTAGAAAGGGATACAAAAATCATTTGTATGCTGCAGTACAAAGGAGAGCCATTAGGGGGCCAAAAATCTAATAGTTTTTACAGTAAGTCAAGCACTCACAACAAACGAAACATAGGCATGGAACGATTCTTGAATGTTGCCGTTCACACTGTCTACTCTACTCCTGTCACCATATACTTTTAGTATATGTATGTGAATATGTTTGAGTAAAAATTAACAGGGCAGACCATGTCCGAAGGTAAACATTATGCATTTGCTTTGCAAATGTTACTTCTCTAGTTTCAATGTATTTCTTTTGTACTACAGAATTGTTTCAACCATAAAAACCTCATTTCCCCTTTTACAGCACTACAAGTCTCCACTACCAAACAATAGACAAATTTATAGTACAGTCAAACCTACCAAGGTGACCACCTCTTCAAGCCTTCAAGGAGACCACCTGTCCAAGGTGACCACTTTTCTTTGGTCCCCTGGGTGGCCGGCTTGGACAGGTTTGACTATACTTCACAGTAACTTCAGGTTGTTTTACTAGTACACATACCTTGCCTGGGCCGTGCTTCCCAGCGTCAGCAGTGGTCTTTTTCACGATCTTGCAGGGACGGTTTTTCAGCATCACGTATTTGCCCTCTTGTAGATCGGAGCACGTCGCTTTTTTGGTGTACCCACTAGGATCCACTTCTTCTTCGAAGTCCATTGTTGTACTGGGTCTGGGAAAGCTTTTAAAAGTGGAGAAAAGAACATGTCTTGTCATCATCATCATTCCTCCAGATGTAATCCGGTGAGGTACACTTGATAAAGTTACTCCAGTATGCCCTGTCCCTCATAGCGGACACTAATGCAGTCCCAGTGAGACCAGCGTCATTGACAAAAGTGTAGTATAACTATAAAGCCGTCCCACTCTGTCTCCCAGTGGGAAGCCACTGTACTAGTCTACCAGCTGGTTCGTTACTACGAACAACATGCCCTGCCAGGGCGAGTCTTTATCGAGAGTGGGAGACGGGAGGATGCAGGTGTTGTGAAAGCATGTATGGTCTGAACTATTAGTCTTAGAACTAAACTGTTCTTCTTGAGTGTAAAAATCTAAGGTTTGATTCTTCCACTCCGGGATTTGACCATTGTCACTCCATGTCGGTAACTATGTGCTGACAGCTGTCTGATGCATGTTTTGAAACACATGAACCTGTCTCAAATTGAAATTCAACCAATTCTAAAATCCCTGACTGGGAGTGGAAAAATAGTGGAAGTTGGTTGACTTATTTGTCAAATGTCTACCTCTTTTCAGCCCACAAAAGTTCTGTGTACCCTCATTTATATATGATAAACACTGATTTTCCTCCTTACGGGTTTTACCCCTTTGGCAAAAAAGACCAGCACGCCTTAGGCCACAGGGAAGAATGTAGTAATTCTGGTTTCTGTCCTGAATGTAGTAATTATGGTCATTAGGTAGAGATTCTCTTTGGTCCCTTAGAGTTAGACAAGTTGTGACCAAAGAAAATATGTATTTTGAAAATATGTATTTTTTATTAAAACTAACAAGCTTTAGGACCAGGGCTGTCTCCAAGACCCCTTACTCGTTTGTTTCTGAGGAAGGGACAGACATTTCACCCGATTTTCTCCGTGTGCTTTCGAAAATGTGTCTTATAGCCTCCTTCGCAGACAGGTTGTGAGGCGGGGCGTCGATTTTTTTGGGGGGGAGCGACGCGAGTTACACTGCAGAGGGGCATTCAGTGCCGCCAAGGGAGTTTGCTAGCCTGTGTACCATCCAGAGTTTGCTCCTCCAATAGTGTAGCGGAGCAAAATCCGGATGGTACATAGGGGGTGCTGGGAGAGAGATCTTTACCGCAGAAGTCTGCAATGGAGACTAGTGAAATAGCACTTTTAGGGATCCAAATTCAAAATATCAAAAATGTCAATGTCTTTTACTACCTTGGGTGCCAGAGGGGGCAGCAAAAACTCACTGGATGGCTGGATTGTGTTACGGGGAGCAATCAAGCAGTCTCTTTCCGTCGACCCTTAAATCGCACCAATTGCTCGATTCGTTTGATTCTCAGTTCATTTTTGGTGTGCGTTACGTTAGGTACAAGCATGGTATATATACTATAAGTGTAGTAAAGAATGTGTACATACCACGTAGCTTGAAAAAGCAGGGAAGTCGATGGGCCGAAGAAAACTCTGGAGCAAAATGTGAAGCCTCTGCACACTGTGTGTTCGTCTGCCTCAGTGCGAATTACAAAGCGAGGGCAGCTGATTTATAATGACTCCCAATTGCAATTAAGGCCAGAGCAAGTAATTTTTCTGGATGACATCATTGATTTTTGCCTGATTTTGGAAAAAAAACAAAAAGAAGATTTGTAGCTCTCTGACAGTGGTATATATGCCGAAAATGGGCGAAGACGTCTGTTGCCATGCCGGAACGTGGATTTCAGATATGATTATATCATAATATTATAGATATATTAACCTGTTTTTTTTTGGCCCGCCTTGTTTTTTTTTCCCCTATTGCATTATACTTGGGTTCTGCAGAGTTTACTTGCTGTGGCCTGTGGGCTAACTTACACAGGCCCAATTAACTCATACAACAAGCCCCTTCCAAGAAGCCTACCTGAGACAAAAACCAAAAGATAATGTCTTGTAGCCTGGGGCTTTTAATAGTCTCCACCAGACTCCTTTGCAGGCTGATTGAAAAGAAGAAATCGGCCTAAAAAGGACAGTAGCTGGCCAAGGGGAGTTAGCCGGCCATATATAAATTGGACCCTCTATGGCCGGCTAACTCCCCCTTGGTCAGGCTACATTACTTTTTAGGCCGATTTCTACTATATATTCAGCCTGCAAAGGAGTCTGGTAGAGACTATGAGGCTAATCAGGTTGACCATTATACCCAAAACCCTAGCCTCCTTCACAGACTTCTGAGGTGGCAGCGTAAAATTGACGATATTTGCACGAATAGGGTAGATTGTGAAGTTTTTACTAGTAGTTTCTTAGTAGTTATCAGTAGTTCTATGTGTACTATTTGTCTGTTTTTTATACCGTATGTGCGAATCGCATACAATTAGTACATACCTGGTCAGACAACATAACTGAAAATTTGCCATCATCAACTCTGTTTTTGTTTCAGTCTGGAGTCAAGCTATTGAGATATTCTTCAAGTGATGATCTGAGTTGTCCTGAACTGCACAGAAACAGACACACGTAAAACATCCCAACGATCAACTTCTTAAACATGGCATATCAACAAACAGTTTTCCACAGAACTCGGTTGTGAAACAATTTCAAAACTTGTTGGACAAGAAGACGAATCACACGTTTCATGTCAGTATATAGAGTTCCACCATGTATCCAAACTCACCAACCACACGGCACCAGCCACTTCTACGGACGTCCTCTCGTTCCGGTTACCCGCGGTTCATCCCTGTCAAATACAAGAACTTCTATCTCATACTCTTCACCATCATCCTAGTAGGACTCATCCTGACCGGTATATTCCAGTTCTGGCCGCATTCGATCGACATTCGCGAGGAGCGCGAATCATTCAGCCTCTACGATGTCGGACACTTGGAAGAAGTCACGGTGCCGCTTATGAGCGCGATACCGGACAGAGGGGAGCTGGAATGTCGTATGCACAGTTGTTTTGACCCTTATCAGTGTCAGGCAAGTCCAAACAACAGAATAAGCGTGTACATCTACCCCATGAAGAAATACGTGGACGAAAACGGCGTGCCTGTTATGCCGTCGATTTCGCGGGAGTTTCAGGAGGTATTGACAACGATAGCAGACAGCGAGTACAACACAAACGATCCGGCAAAGGCGTGCTTGTTCGTGCCCTCGATCGACCTTTTGAATCAGAACATTCTGAGGTTGAGAGAAACAGGCCAGGTCCTAGGAAGGTTACCAAGGTAATTGTCAATAAGCCTGTGTTTTTTTTATGTCTTGGAAAATTTGAGTATTTGTATGTGTCTGTTCTACTGTTTATAGTTAGGAATATAAGCCAGGCATGATATTCTTTCATCTTTGTATGAATCACTATTGTCAACATCAATGATAAACAAATTTCCAAATACATTCATGCCACCTGAGTATAGTTGTCCAAGACATTTTTTTCTTGGTGCCTGTTCCTACAGATGGAACCACGGGCACCATGACTTCCAGCTGCAGGGGGCAAACCACCTGCTGTTCAACATGCTGCCTGGCATGGATCCTGACTACAACACAGCTCTGGAGGTGCCGCGGGGGAAGGCTATCCTAGCGGGAGGGGGGTTCTCCTCCTGGACGTACAGACCGGGCTACGATGTCAGCATTCCTGTGTTTAACCCTTTTACTGCTGATATGGAGCTTCCAGGGAAACCGGACGGGTGAGGACTGGGATTTATTATGTTTACCAAAGGAAAACATATTGTTTTTGCTCTGTTTCCTCTTTTTCTTCCTCTCCAAACCAATGACCTGAACCAGACAGTCTATCACCATGGTAATATTGGGTTATATCATGTTTCAATAAAATATTGGCTTTGAAAAATCGGGTTTCCAAGGCCTAAAAACTGCACTGGATGCCTTTAAAATAAAAGATAAAAATCTTTTGTTAGATACTCCCGACCGTGGCTGATTGTGTCGGCGCAGACCGTCATCCACATGGACTTTCGGGCGGAGCTGGATGCGGTTGCCAGGGACAACGATGACGTACTGGTCCTGGACAGGTGTGACGACCTACCTGAAGGCATCCCCTCTCACAGGAGGAGGTGTAAACAGGACAGGGTCTACAACTATCCTGATATTCTACAGGTAAGGGACAAAATCTGCATGTTGGAATAATATATGCCTGCAAGAAACTGTGTAATCATCATCATCATCACGGTTTTGTAGTACAGAGTAACTCAGAATTGTACCTTTTTGCTGTTTCAGCCAATAATGTATCACAGATGCACTTGTTTGCTTTAGCAGGGCTCAAAATTAAAGGTGGTCCAGTGGCCACTGACCACTAAAATTTAGGCTGGGACAACTAAAAAGGCACCAGCCCTTCTTTTGTTTATCAGGCACACGTCCCGGTTTTTGGATTCAGAAAAGTCCCCCCTAATTGACATCTACTCTTCAATTATAGTGCACCTAGGAGTGAACATAAGCAAAATAAAGTTGACTTCAAGTTGAAGTCATACATGATACAATACTTGGGGACAATTGAAATTTATTCTTGGGACAGTGGTGGGATAATAGGAAGACAAGTTCATTTCGAGGCCTGTTTAGTGATACATATTTCTATTGTCGACCACAGGAAGCCACGTTCTGTATGATCCTGAGAGGAGCGCGGATGGGTCAGAGCGCGCTGAGTGACGCCATGATGGCGGGATGTATCCCCGTCGTGGCCATTGACACATACGTGATGCCGTTCTCCGATGTCCTCGACTGGAAAAGGTAAGAATTTTAATTAATCAATTATGTTTGCTGAATGAAAACATATTGTTTTTTGCTACATTTTTCTTCTTCTTCTCCATACAGTGACCTCTAACCTGACTGAACCAGACTGTCTCTCACCATTAAAACTGGTAATGTTGCAATTTCATAGTAGGAGGCCTAGGGATTTATACTCCTGTCTGACCACGTTTCCCCCTCCCCCCCCCTAACAGGGCTGCTGTTATACTGAGAGAAGAGGACCTGCCAGATGTTCACAATGTGTTGAGAAAAATCTCACAGGAGAGGATAACCAACATGAGGAGACAGGTATGTTTATTTTTTAATGTTTATGTTTCTTTTCTAAATGAGAAAGAAAGGAAAACAGCAACTGTGTCAGGACTTCAATTAGAAAAAAAATAAAGAGTCTGTCAAAAATTCATGGAGTTTGTCTTGAATAAAATTTGAAAATGTTATCAAAAAAATGTGCTTTATACTTTTGTCCTTATCAGGTGGAGTTTTTCTGGAGGTCGTACTTCCGCTCCATGAAGGCCATCACCATGACAACCCTCAAGGTCATCAACGACAGGGCCTTCAGACACGCGTCAAGGTCGTATGAGGACTGGAATGACCCAACGCCCAAGGTGGGAAACCAAGATGGCTGCTTTCATGTCATTATCCAAAATATAACAAAAAAAAATAGACATTTCAAACCTTTTGGAAGAGATTTTGTAAAATTATTTGCACAAAACAAGTGATGGTCTTTCAATGGACCTACATGTACATGTAGTAGGACAGATACCTTGTGACAAACCATAAGTGGGTGACTTGGGTTCCTTGCAACTTGAGTTTTAGGTCAATCTGTGGTAACTAAACCCCCTCTATTACATTCTGATAAATCTGTCTGCTTCATTATTACTGCATTCAAATACCTATGCACAAAAGCAAGCACAGACACACCCAAAGCCATTATAGGTTCCCTACATGTACATTGTTAATTTTTGTTTAATTTTGATGAGTTTGTTTTTCTTTCTGTAAGTCTGGAGTGACCAGCCCGCTGTTCCTACCGCTCATCCCAACACAAGCGATGGGCTTCACGGCCGTCATCCTGACCTACGACCGCGTGGAGAGCCTGTTCCGAGTCATCACGGAGATCGCCAAGACTCCGAGTCTCGCTAAGATTCTGGTGGTGTGGAACAACCAAGCCAAGGCTCCACCTCAGGGTACGTCTTGAGATATTAGCGGTGGTTTTATTTTAGTGGTCTTTGCAGTGACTTCTTACTACTGTGTCATGAAATCATGACACATGGACATGAAGTCATGACATGTGGACATGAAATCATGACATGTGGACATGAAATCATGACACATGGACATGAAATCATGACACATGGACATGAAATCATGACACGTGGACTTGAAATCATGACACATGGACATGAAATCATGACATGTGGACATGAAATCATGACACGTGGACATGAAATCGTGACACGTGGACATGAAATCGTGACACGTGGACATGAAATTGTGACACGTGGACATGAAATCATGACACATAGACATGAAATCATGACACGTGGACATGAAATTGTGACACGTGGACATGAAATCGTGACACGTGGACATGAAATCGTGACACGTGGACATGAAATCATGATACGTGGACACGAAATCATGACACGTGGACATGAAATCATTGCACATAGACATGAAATCATGACACATAGACATGAAATCATGACACATAGACATGAAATCATGACACAGCATATTGTAGTAGTGCAGATGATTTGCTTTGAGTTAATGCTTTGGTGATTTTTCCCAGGATCCACTTGGCCCAAGGTCAACAAGCCGCTCAAGGTCATCCAGACGACGGCCAATAAGCTGAGTAATCGCTTCCACCCGTATGACGAGATTGAAACCGAGGCTGTGCTGGCTATCGATGATGACATCATCATGTTGACCCCGGACGAACTCGAGTTCGGTTATGAGGTAAAGATGTTAGCTTCCCTATGATTGGTTGAAATTGTTGGATATATGTAGTGTTTTGTATTTTCGAAGATAGTTTCATCAGGTTGGTAAAATATAGAATATTGGTTAGGAGCTTGTACAACTGGAATGTCTCTTGCCTGCTTACATTTTGAGATTGTAAGCAGGCAAGAGTGTAGAAAGAGTGTAGATTTGATGAATATTAACCGTACGAATGATATACGCCAAAAACACTGACAATTCTAACCTTCACTGACGATTCTATCTGTATCTGTATAGCCACTATAACCACCCTTTGGCATAACACACTAGCTTTGCAGGCACGCGGTGCAGCGGCAGCTGGCTACATTATACCGAACGGCTTGTTACACCTAACCTTTGAACATCTAACACTGTTGTTGGCTTCTTCTTCAAGTCCGAAGATCATCTAACACTAAACATTGTTTAAAGCTATGATTCTGGTATACCTTTTTTTCACTAGGTGTGGAGAGAGTTCCCAGACCGACTGGTGGGCTACCCAGGCAGAGTTCACCTCTGGGACAACGCTACCAAATCCTGGAAGTATGAATCTGAGTGGACGAATGACGTGTCCATGGTCCTCACTGGTGCTGCCTTTTACCACAAGGTACCAGCACTATTTCTTGAGGGCCTGCATGGGGGGGTCCAAAAGATAGTCTACAATAGACTGAACTGCCAAAGAGGAGAGAGCAGTGGGGGGGGGGGGGCTCGGTCACTGAATGACATCCAGTAAATTTCTAGCGGCGACCGATTTATGAATAATTTATCAAGGCCCACTGACTTTACACTTTGCGGCTAATATGTGCTATTACGAATTATAAAATGTACATTGATTTTTGGGGAGGCTGCCTATGGATTACGAAGACAAATATAAAGTATTTATTGATGTGTCTTTTCCCCAGTACTTTGGATACCTGTACAGCATGGCCATGCCAGGAGACATCAAAAACTGGGTGGACACACACATGAACTGTGAGGACATTGCCATGAACTTTCTCATCGCTAATGTCACAGGTGAATCAGCAATTTTCAATCCTCTCTCACTACATGTAGATCTTGTTGTCATGGTATATACCCTAGTTTCATCAGGTTGGTAAGTCACTGAGTAAAGAGACTCTTTTTTACACAACCAAGTCTTTTATTCAGCCGACGTTTCAGTGACCGTCTGTCACCTTCCTCAGGGCAATTTTCTGACTGGTTCACATTGCACTGCAGCACAGGTGTCGCTGCTACATGTATAGATCAGCTTGTGACTTCGATTTATGCACAAAGTTAACAAAATTTGTTGTTCACCCACAGGAAAAGCGCCAATAAAAGTGACCCCAAGGAAAAAGTTCAAGTGTCCAGAGTGCACGAACGTTGACAACCTGTCAGCTGACCAATCCCACATGGTGGAGCGTTCTGTTTGTATCAACAAGTTCACTGACATCTATGGAATGATGCCGCTAAAAATGGTGGAGCATCGAGCTGACCCAGTGTTATACAAGGACAACTTCCCCGAAAAATTGAAACGTTTCAATCAAGTGGGGCCGCTTTGAGGCAGAGAATAGCTTTGTTTAAGTGTAAAGATGTTGTTAAAACTAGGAAGTGATACTGAAAAGTTGTCTGTTTTATATTTTTGAGAGATGTGAAAAGATTTTCAAGAATATCATAACTGTAAATGGCAATGTGTATGCTTTAACATGTTGTTTTTTTTGTTAACAAACTAGCTTTGTGGGAGAAGAAATATCTCAGAGTCTTCATACCTTTTTTCTGTGTCATTTTCAGTACAGAAAACAAATTGTAAAATCACTGAAAATTCCACTGGAAGTAAACTAACAGGTTTTTAAAATGTTTAAATGTTACATGCAAATTAAACCTGAACCCACTGGCCATTTTGTTTGGTTTTATTCTGATTTTTGGTTTGAAACAAATTGAATGTAGAGAAGTTTTTCCTTACATGCATTTCCTACTAGGTAGCCTTACCAGTGCCTTGTGTACTTTTACATTGCTTCAAAGAAAACAACTGCTAATATATAATAATATACAGTACCTGAATTTAGTCATTATGAATGGTTTAAAGACTATGTAACAGAATTTAGTTTTGTAAACTGTACAAGTGAAATGATACTTACATGTCAGCCAGTAAGTTCAAATATCATGATCTAGAAGTCCTGTAATCTTCAAGCAATGTTATGTTAGCAGCATTGTGTGACTGATTTTTTTATATAGTATGACCTTATAGTGTTTCCTTGACTGGAGTTGTATGTACATTTTAGAATGGTTTTAGTTACATTAGATAACATAGAAGGAAAGATAACATATCAATTCCTGTATCATGGCTCTATCAATGGCCAGTTTATCAATTTTACAGACCTCATCATAAAAAATTCTAAGACTCAAAAATGTTAACACCCATAAAGAGGGGAAAACAACTCTACTGTTTACCATTTGAATTCTTTTTCTTTAGTTCCTCTACTTAAAAAAGAGGGTGTTTCTTTTGCTTGTATCAAGCCACTGTTATTGTAACTTATGACCCTTGTAGATTGAATTATGACCCCAAGGTGTACACTGACACATTAACAAAATTATGATGATTTAAGATAAACTTAAAAATGAAAAGACATGGAATTATGCATGACCTACAAGTCACGAAATGTAGATGAAAATCTAGCAGGTCTTCCTAATATCTTAGAGTTACATTTTGACTTAAAAGAAAATATATAATTCTAACTAGTTTGCATTATCAGTTTAGAATATGAATTGTAACAAAGTGTACCCAATTGTAACTCTGGCGTGACTGCTTTTTTTGCTGGCCATTTTGTAACTGTACCAGATCCTGTAGTTGTTGCATTTATACGTACTGTCGTGCATGCCATGCTGCTATCAGAGTAGAGATGTACATATTCCAGAAACTGTCACTACACTACTGTGATAAAATATGTAACAAAAACTACACAGTGGTATCTTTTTATCTGAAGGGACCGTACATATTCTTACACCAGACTCTAGTTGTAACAACAATTCAAACCTGTTGCTATTTTTCGTATCACTTAGGATGTTTATTATTATACCATCAGCCTGCTAAAGTAGCCAAATTTGTATTGGTCGTGGGTTAGACAGCAGGTAAAGGGTTTAAAATGCTTTAGACAGACTTTTGTCTGCACGTTTTTGTCAGCATATCTACAAAGTTGTGTTGTAGCTTATCCTATATTGAGTTCACTTTTAAAAGTATACAGTGTCTGAAGTTACCCATGGTTGTCTCAGCTATGGTTTACAGCTATTGGTGTACATGTAGATAGATAAACAACAACAATAGTTTACTTGAATGTTTCAATTCAACTGTCTTCCGGGTTGCTGATATCATTTCAAAGCAATAAACATGACAACAGATAACAAAGGTGTCGTTCTTGTTATGTTTATCGAAGGAAAACATATTGTTTTTGCTCTGTTTCTTCTTCTTTTCCAAACACTGACCTCTGACCTGGTAAGTCAAAGACCCAGATTGTCTTTCACCATGGTAACTGGTGTTGGGTTACATGATGTTGCAATTTTATAGTAGGAGGGATTTAGACTCCTGTCACCATATACATGTATGTGAATGTGTTTGAGAAAGAACTGAGCAGACCAAATGCGAAGGTAGACATTATGTTGCATTTGCTTTGCAAATGTTACCTTTCTAGTTGTACATTTAAATCTTCCACTGCCAGGATAGATTAGAATTGGTTGAAGTGATTTTTGCAAGTAGGTCTATCCAGGTAATAATGAACAGACAAGTCACTATGATATTTAATGTGTTTATTAGATTAGGTCATTTTTCCACTCACCATAAATACACTACATTGCACCAGTGTTCTAGCTACATTGTGTACAATGTATATAGCCAGCATCAGTCATTCAATGTAATTTGCCCATCTTGGATGGACAAAAATCGATGTTTTAAGCTGTGGAAAGAGATGTCTACCAGCAAAATTGGCCCTGCAAAATACAGAAAATGGCGAAAGGGCATTTCACAGGGCCAAGATTTCACAATTTTCCAGGGGAGCATGTCTCTCAACACTCCACGGATGGACAAAATATTACGTCAAAATTAACATGAGGCCACACCAATTTAATTTGTTGGTTCTCGGATTCGCCTCTTCTTTTTTTTCTGATTTGCAAAAAAAAAAAAAAATTGATTCTGGTCCTGAATCAACTGTAAAATGCTCATGTTTTGCCCCCCAACAGTTAAGGAAAGTCCTTTTCTTCCTAGTTGTTACGGTTTTCCCATCTATCATTGCAGTGGTTTGATTAAAAGTTCAAAATTCAATGTTTAAATTTTAACCCAGCCTTTTGTGTTGACTTCATGGCTCATTTTGTAGCATTTAAGCCTATAATAGGATGCCTAGACCTGTTTTTATTTTTATTTTTTTTCGCCCTGTCGCTTCATATTTTTTCTGAAAAAATCAGAGAACCAACAAATTAAATTGGTGTGGCCTGATGGAAAAAAATTCAGGCTGGCTAGAACACTGCAATGCAAACAAGAATATTATACTAATCATACCATATTAGCCACATACATGTACTACCCCTTAAATATGAATATATCGAAAAACTAAAGATATTAGTGTTTAAAATGTAGATTATTGCTTCATATCCATCCCAACGTGTTTGTAAACTAGTCTCCACCAGACTCCTTTTCAGGCTGAATAAATAGTTGAAATGATCCTAAAATGGGGGTATCATTGGCCAGAAGAGTAGGCCAGCCATAGAGGTCCAATTTGCTGCTAGTTTGCAGTTAAACTGGACCCTCCATGGCTGGCCACTCCTCTGGCCAATGATATATCCCCCTTTTAGGCCAATTTCTACTATTTATTCAGCCTGCAAAGGAGTCTGGTGGAGACTATTTGTAAACAGTATTCACAAGTCAAAATCTACAGCTTTCTCTAGGTGAGACTTATCATGCAGAAAGTGGCAGGAGACAACGGGCCTCTTCCCTCCCTCCCTGAGTTGTACCACAAACTGGGAGATCCCACAGTTGGGAGAAATTTTCATGGCGAATCTTTTGCTCTTCACTTTACACCCCAGATCGTCGATCAAGTGCCTGAACAGCTCCCGGATGGTACCCCCATGGGAGACCAGCAAAACTTGTGCGTTGTACTTTTCTGAATCTTCTGTCTGCAAATTGGATGCTAGGCTTCCTTCAGCATTTTGTGTTTGCAAATTAGAGGCTACAGTTACTCCTGTTTTATCATTTGAAGCGCTATTAGAATCGGATGCAAGTGTCCCTGAGGTTTTGCTATCTTGTTCCTCTATGTTCCATTCTCCTAAAACGTTACCCTCCATCCCACAATCCCTTTCTGCAGTCCCATCAGCCATTGCAGCATGCTGCAGTGTCTCCACTTGACCTATCCCAAATTCTGCAGCAAGGTCGTTGCAAAGGTCGTGGAAAAATGCTTCTGCTCTGGCCTTGACCTGCAAATGAATAAAGTATGAAAGATATTAGAGAACTGACATGCTGTAATCTGTTTCCATGTTTGTAGGGTGATGAAAAGAACTATAACAGTGTATGTCTCTCTTCCACATCTCTTTGCCTTGCACTTTACATTGGGAACATTTGTTTGAATGCTCTATATAGGACCCTACATCAGTGGGTGGGGTAGTGATAAGGCCACATGCTCAAAGTAATTAAATCAACTTCATTACCGAAGAAGGTTGATTGATAACTACCGAACTAAGAGAACTACCGAAAATTCAGAGTTAGCTCCTTTTGCTTGTGTTCAACAAAAAGTATCTCTTTGTGTCGTGAGAGTGCAGATAATTTACTGAAAATTCAGAGTGAACTCCTTTTGATTGTGTTCAACAAAAGTATGAAATGTACTACAATGTATTTGTTACCTGTAGTGGGGACTCTCCTCCAGGTGGACAGAAGTGTTCAGGAGACTGTCCTGATTTCTCCACCAGAGCTCTCAGCTCTGAAACAGTCTTCCCTTCTACCTCTCCAAAACCCTGATAAAACATAGACACAGCTGGGCTGAGTTAGAAGATAATATGCTAAACATTACCTCTTTACCTAATACTTTACAACTAGATTGTGTGTTCGAAAAGGTGGTCATACTGATTTAACATGAGAGGTACATACTTAGTATACTGGTACAGAATTTGAAGGTCTGTCTAGTTTTGTCAGTTGTAGTATAGAAATACTTTGAATCGCTGACAATCAACAATAAAAAAACTACATACCGAATACCGGTAATGTCTTCAGTAGTAACACCCTCAGTCTACTGATTGAACATACAATGTACAGGTACAGATACAGAAAGTCTGATTGTTTTAATGATAGAATTAACAATGTACACAGTTGTAACAGTTTAGAACATACGTATACTGTACTTACCCTTTCCCTTAGCCTTTTGTCCACTTTGACATGAGGAGACTTACTGACAACATTTCTGTCCAGGATAGCTTGGCTAGTCTGGAAAAAATAACACTCAAAGTCAAAGCATGAAACATAATCACGTAATCATGCAGGGATCCATAAAAAAGGGTCTGTTTTTTTCCCTAGGCCTTACCAAACGATGTGCTTGGAGATTACTTTGGCAATGTAGTGCAGGTGGATACATGTATGTACCTGTATGACCCTGTTTAAATCACTGGTACAGACATGTGTGAAGAGTTGGTGTGTTACCTGTATGACCCTGTTTAGATCACTGGTACAGACATGTGTGAAGAGTTGGTGTGTTACCTGTATGACCCTGTTTAGATCACTGGTACAGACATGTGTGAAGAGTTGGTGTGTTACCTGTATGACCCTGTTTAAATCACTGGTGCAGACATGTGTGAAGAGTTGGTTCATCAGACGTGTTCCAGCTAGCCCGGCCTGGCGGTAACCAACATCGGACAGGTTTGTGTTCATTTGGCCTGTAGAAAATCAACAAACAAATAAACAAACAAGTAGCCATAGGCGACAATCTTCCGTGAAGTTTTATGTATTTCAACAAAATCCCAAGCGTCAACGCCAGACCTACCGTGCAGACATTATAATTAGGCAACGGTTAATACAATGAGGGCGCGTCACAAGCATAAAACATACAAAGAGCTAAATCCATTACTGCTCCCAGGGCGTGTAAAGATACTGTGTTTCAAGTTCGAAGTTCATTTTAATTACACACACACACACAATCATTGCATTCACATAAAGACGGGACTATCATGGTCGTGTCTAGTAACAAAGACAGCCCCACCGTCTTACCGTGCCTGTACCTAATTAAGCGCGCCTTTAACAGGCCAAATTCCAGCAACAGTTGCGGTAAGCACCGTGAGTGTTATTACCGCCGGCCAGATAACCAGGATATCTGCTTAGAGTACCTCTGCTACCAGACAACTGCCTAAACCTACGGCCTATTCCACAGGATTGTAAAAGTAGGGATGTTTCTAAAATATGCATTTACTTCAATATCAAAACAGCTACGGTAAAAATAAAAAGACGTGCATCATCCCGGACATAATGCCACACCACATGCGAAATTACACAGAAATGCGACGTACGGAAGAATGCGTTTTGGCTGCGAACATCTTCCAAAAAACTTGGCATCTCTTAACCATGGGCAAAAACATCTGGAACCACTTATAAAAACCACCCCGTATCTGCATGAACTTTTTCCCGTCCACTGCTATTCCAAACAACGCGTTTTTCTGGACCATTCCAATTCGCCTCGTAATTGTAGGGGTGCGTCTGCGATATTACATTGACCGCGAAAGCAGCAACGGCAAAAATACACATTCGTGCATCAACACGGGCATGCCCGCAGACGGCGTATAAAATTGCGTGCCGATTACACAAAGAGAACCCAGTGTTTTGACTGCGAACATGAAAAATCAGCCGATTACAACACTCCGTCCGGAGGTCCTGACCTCCTTCACGGAGTAACAAACACAAACATTCATTAAAAGTCAGCATCAATTCAGGATATGCGAGAAAACAACAGGATCTAACAGTTAAATGTTAATCAATTGACTTGTAAAACACTACTTTATACTTTACTGTACAAAAGAAGACCATACCTTGCAGAATAAATTCCTTGTTTTCCCTTGTCTCCCCACTGTAAAATAAAATATTTTAGTTTTGATATTTTTGAATTGGACAAATTACAAATTAACTCACAAATTAAGTACATGTATTTAACGTTACATGATGTACTAGTAGTTGCTTGCAAACATGACAGAGACTCATGGTAATAGTAAATTATACCCTATTTTCTGTACCAAGGACACACCTTCAAACTATAACATTACAGTTTAACAGGCATGTAGATTTGAATGACAACATCTAGTTGCTCGTCGGCTTTCTTGAATTATATCTATAACGTTAGATATATGATATATGATCTAAGCTATATGTATTTAGCATAGGTAACGTTACATCATAAAGCACAACTGTTACATAATAATAACTTACTGTCGGACAACAGTGAGTAAGAACGTCGCCATTCTCCTTGTCAGTGCCGTGTCCCTTCAGTATGGCCTACGTGTGGATAGAAGCAAAAACCAACTGTTTAAGGCCCTCAAAATGCCTAAATTTAGAGCTAAATCAGTCACAGGGTTAGTAACCCAAGAAGTCATCAAATTCGAGGGTAAAGGTCATCAGACTACAACACTATGTTTCTGGGTGTGTAAATGATAAAAAAAATGTTTCGTTGAAATATTCCTGTTAATACCATAAAAGTCTACCTGAATATCTATCTGTAGATTATATATATTCAGTAATCCCCCCAAAAAAACTATCTAGAATCGCATAATGTTGTCACACGAGGTTTTTGTACGTATTCAAATGTACCTATTTCACAAAATGAGCTGTTCCAGCACAAAGCGGAAACGGAAGTGAAGCAACCATTCCAAAAGAAAGCAGGCTAATGAACGTAAACAGGATAAAATTTGTTATAAAACCACAAACTACCTAAAAATTCGAGATAAGTATCATTTTCCTGTTCAAAATTTTTTGGTATTATTTTATTGGCACGAAAAAGTTACCAAACTGCATCAAAATTATAGATTTGCTTTCAGAATGTCTTAGCGTTTTGTTGTCATGTAACCTAGCAACCGTGTGTCAATACGGGCGGGTCGGATATCCCGCAATGTTTTGGCTGTAGCGATATCGATAGTGTTTGAAGTAGAGATATCATAGTCTTTGCCGCTGTTTTCAAAACAGAAAAGTGTCAGACAGAGACGGTTTGGATGCAATGACTTCAAGAGAGCAAAGAGAGTCTGTTCAAAACGGATTTGGTAGGTGATAGTCACGCAAATAGTTACGATAGATTTGTTTTGGCTGTGCTTGTCGGTGGCCCCCCTCCCCACGTACTACTAATACTTGGTCTGAAAGTGTCGGAACATCGCCGTATGTGCGTCTTACTTTATGTAAACTTGCATTTTACATCAGAAATTGGTAGCACGTTCGTGTTGTTTCTCTTTTTAAGCTAAGAACAAATCAAAAACGTAATTTGCTGCAGGCTGAAAACACTCAAACAGCTGTTTTCTATTTTCAATAGTTTTACTGGGATTTCAAACGTCAAATCACTTTATTTTTGCTCGTTTTGATTGCTTAGTGTATGTGGCAAACTATTCATGTATGTGAATTTCAAATAAATCATTTATAGACTATTCCCCAGATGGGGATAGAACAGGAAACTTCTAACTGCACGTAGTACAATGTATTAGACTTCCTTTTGGCGTATAGTAATTATTTCCCACTGAAATATACTCAAATCAACTGTAACTCACATGTAAGGGACACTTGTCTCACTGGCAAAAGATAGTGAATTGTGATGATAAATATGAAACGTCTGACTCTTCATGGAGTTTTTTAATCTTGTTGCTTGATTTGTTTTTTGTTGTTTTATTCTTCTTCTTCTTCTTCCATATTACGTGCTTAACCTCAATAGGCTGAGGACTCCAAGCACGGTACGTAGAAGACGTACACAAGACTGTTATGTTTGATCCACTCACACCGGGAAGGTCCCCTACTCTTTTCGATAAGTGTGGCGGGTTCTTTAGCGTGCTCGAGGTGTGGCTCTCCCCAAACACGGGACCTCCATTTAACGTCCTATCCGAGGGACGTCCCTAACTGAAGCTAGGTACTCATTTACACCTGAGTGAAGTGAGGAAAGTCGTGTAAAGTGCCTTTCCCAAGGGCACAAGATCGGTGACATGGGTGGGGATCGAACTCGGGACCTCTAGGTCCTGAGCCGAACGCGCTACCGCTGCGCCACACGACCCCACACAGTTAGTGTTTTATGAAACACTAACTGTTGTAACTTGTGAACCCATGCAGGCTCTGGCACCAGGAAGGCCAGTATGGTACCAATGGACACACTGGGGGAGGATGAGGAGGATTCTGGGGAGGATGAGGTAAGAATTTGCAGTACAGTAGATTAGAGTTTAGATGTTCAAGGGTTGGTGTAATGTAGCCAGCTGCCGCCGCGCCGCGTGCCTGTGAAGCTGGTGTGTTACGCCGAAGGGTAGTTATACCAGCTATACAGATACAGAAGCTGGTGTGTTACGCCGAAGGGTAGTTATACCAGCTATACAGATACAGAAGCTGGTGTGTTACGCCAAAGGGTAGTTATACCATCTACCAATACAGATACTGATGCAGATAGATGTGTTATTTATTTTCTTCTATTCACATCCTCTATTTTTGGGGGATTGGGGAACAGTAATTAACAATACCATGCTTGTCTAAGCCCTCTCTTGTACACACATACAGTGGGTCTTCACATGTGTTGAGTTGGTGACTGTCTGTCACCCTTCTTAGGGCAACAACAAAGAAGAAGAAAGTGACAGACAGTCATCAAAATGTCTGTAAAAACCTACTAGTTGATGTTGAATAAAGAACCATATACTAGTCTTTTGTCAACCTGATGACATTATTCACCAATAGTTCTTAAGCTTTATCCTGACCAATGATTATCCTTGTACTTGTAGCAGGAGGCAGCGGAGGAGAGAGCGCGACAGTTGGAGGAACAGAACAAGTTTGATGCCCTGTGTGACGGGATTCTCAGTGCAGTGTCTCTGCTCAGTAACTCTCTACAGGAGGTGGGTAAATCCCCTGTCACACATATTCACACAACTGTACATTGTATATGTCCCTCCAAAACACAAGCCAAACTTCCCCCAACCATGGTTAGGAGTAGGTAAAGCCTGTATCACACAAAACTGAATATGTCCTCCCAAACACTAGCCAAACTCCCCCTATACATGGTTAGGAGTTAAAAGGTAAAGCCCCTGTCAGACATAGCAGAATATGGCCTCCTAAATACTAGCCAACTTCCCCTAAGGGCCCTAACCATCACCAGGTTAGGAGTAGGCAAATTCCCTAAACACATGTAGCCAAATATGGCCTCCCAAAAACTGCCAAACTCCCCCTAACCATGGAGTAGGTTCAGAGCAAGCTAGGTCAGCTGGGTTGCCTGGTGTTTGGCCAGGCTGCACCAACCAATTGTATGAATATGTTTAAAACATTTTGATGTGCCTGTGAGATCCCCTTCTTAAGCCATTGTCCAGAGTTTGTAATGAGAGTTTGACTTGAAGGCATTGACAGTTTTGGCAGCTACAACATCCGATTTATGGCAATAATGTCGCAATTGGTTTCGTCACAAATGTTACAAATCTCCTCATGTGTGTCTGTTTGCAGGTGATTGACCTGAAGGATGAACTATTGGAACATTCCCTGCCACCCAATGTCCTAGTCAGACTGGCCATCGTGTCAGGCAAAATCTTCAGAAGGTTATTTGCTTTGATTATCTAAATTGTGTTATGACATTTGGTTGTTTGTGTCACATACAAAAATTGTACAGTACATGTATAATTGGTAAATAAGTGGTAAACAAGAGGTTGTGGCATGTCATTTCCTGGTCGGTCAAAAAAAACCCACAACACTCTTTTCTGCATGTCAGTGAAATGTTGAAATGCCGCTCTAAGTATCTTTAAACATGTCTAAAAACCCATGAAAAGCTCAACATGCAAAGATATTAGCTGCATCAGCTATGATTGCATAGATCTGTAAATAATTGCAAACATTTTGTGATGGCATTTTTGTCTATTGCCAGTATAACATTCTTACCAGTATTTCTTTGTCACCACCTTAACAGTGTTACAGACTTGAACGTCCCTGTCACAGAATTAGTCAGACTTGTCAGGGTCTACTCTGAACCATGGGATGAGAAAAGTGAGGCCTTGAAGAAGCTGCATGCAGACTACGAAAGGTAAGAATCGTTTTACCTTCCGGAATGTATGTTAGAAGTTTTTGTTAATACATGTAGAGTGACAGGACTCAAATGTGTGGCCTAAGAGTCCACAAGTCAAGACAAGTCTTTAAAAAGTAAATTCCTGAATGTGAATTAGATTTATTGCTAGCATGCTGTGATAACAATAGCAAGCAAATTCTATCACATTATGAATGATCTTCTAATGTTCTACTTTACTGTTGTTCACAAGCAGCTATAAGGTTATACAGGTAATCTGAAGGGCTCCTTTGATTAATTTTGATCGTTTTGCATTGGGAGGGAGATGGAGTGAAATATGCTAGTTTTGCTCGCAAATGCCTGCATGTTTAATTTTGTAACAATTTCTGTTTCCCTGTTTGAGACTCTGTTCCTAGCAGAGACTAACCTAAAATTTTGCCTTTTCCACCAGTAAAAAAAGACAGCTGAACATTGCCATCAAAAGACTACAGTTGGTGGATGCACATGTGAGTACAGTTATATGTTTCCCATTGGTATGCCTTACAACATATATTATGATACAATGGCTCTGTAAGTTTTTTTTTCAATATCTTTCCAAAAAAAAAAATTGACAGCAATGTAAGAGAAGTGTTAAGAACGACATCCCATCTATAATTTTCAAATGTTGTGTCGGAAAAGTTCTGACAACACGCTTTGTCCATACTAGTATGAATGAAAATTAAGAGAGGCAACAAGTAAGAAACTGTACATTTATATGATTGATTTTTGATCCTCCAACTATTCTTTCTTCCTCCAGTCCAAGCGACTTGCTCGTGAAAAACGGATCATGAACTGGGAGAAGCTCTTTGCCAAGCTAACGGTAAGATTTGTCCCACACTAACGCACTTCACTTGTTCTACTCATTTGAACAGTATTTACAAAACATGGCCGATTCTCCAGATACAATAGGCAAATCCGTGCCATCCCGGTGTAGGGTCACCACCTGGTATAAAAGTTTCAGTGACCCGGCTAAGTTTTCTTTGCATAATAGATTGTTTTGTTGACAAAATACAACATGTTCTTCTATGAGTGGTACAGCCTGTTTTGTTGACATAGTTTAATGTTACGCTTCCATACAAAGTCAGTGGGCCTTAGTGTGTCAGTGGATTAATGTATCCTTTTGGTTTGACTAAAGGATGTGACAATAGATAATGTGAGAAAAATATGATAAATTGTTATGGATGTATCTATTATAATTATATATTTGTCTTTTTAATATATGTGTACAATGTATATGAATATTTTTTTCAGAGTTCAAAAGGGCATGGTCGCAGATGGAAATTCCTGATTGACTCGTTCAAAAAGAAGGCACAGATGGGGTAAGGAAATTCAATTCATAGTTGGTATGGTTACAACTTTTTAGAACATTTAAAATTGAAATGAGTTCCATTTTTTCTGAGCCTTGCAAAGAATTGGCCACAATATTGGACGTAATTATCCAATATACATGTTTACAAAATGTGTAAAATCATCTTTTAATTCATATTCTTAGTATACATGTATGTCCATTATCATACTGTCCTGAATGTGTGTTGAACTTCTGTCTATAATGATTATATAATAAGAATACCAGCACCAGGAGTTCAGCACCAGGAGTTCAGCACCAAGGACAGGGAAACTATCAGTTTTCTCTTCCGTACAGTTTTTTTTTTCATTCAGCTGTAATGATAAAAGTTATTGTCCCATGTCTGGGAACTTGCACCGCGATTTCAGCACCAAGGACAGAGAAACTACCAGTTCTCTCTGTCCCTACAGTTTTCTTCATCCTGCTGTAATGTTAACAGTACTTATCCCCTGCCTGCAGAGCTGAGCATCTGTTGGCCTATGCCAGCAGTGTGGAGCACCAGGAGTTCAGCACCAAGGACAGGGAAACTACCAGTTCTCTCTGTCCCTACAGTTTTCTTCATTCTGCTGTAATGCTAACAATTATTATCCCCTGCCTGCAGAGCTGAGCACCTGTTGGCCTATGCCAGCAGTGTGGAGGATGAGTATGAATCTGACGACGACTTCACCCAACCTGACCACCCCCAGTTTGCTGTAGTGAGCCCTTCCACTGAGGGACCCGAGAAGGCAACATCAGTAAGTGAACATGTGTCTTTCGACCTTCCATTCCAAGATTATTTTTGGGGATGTCTTAAAGCAATAAGATGTGATTTTTTAAAGTTGGTAATGTCATTCTTTATTGCACATCCTCAATTGTAGCCCCTTTTTGCTTATAACGATTGCATCTTTGTAGTCGTAGTGGCAATTCCCATAGCATAATGGCTAAAAACCAAGAGGACCTGGGTGTAATCCCTTGACATTCTCAATGCAGTGCCCAGTTAGGAAAAGCACTTTACATGGCTTTCCTTACTGTATCACCAGGTGGAGTGACAGCCATGGCTCTTGGCTGATCTGTAAACAATGTCCTACCACTGATGAGAATACACAATGCATTAGATTCGGTGTTGATTATACTGCCATTATGTGCCAACAACTAGACGTTTGCACCTGAGAACCCTATTTTTTTGTTTCGTTTCCTCTAGCCGTCAGATTTTGAGAGTGAACCAGAGCCAGAATCGGAGCCAGAAAGCGGGAGTGAGAATGACCTGCCTCCGGGTGACAGCGAGTTGGAATCAGAAACTGGGAGTGAACGAGAACGGCTTGGGAAGGTGAGAGTCTGAACAAGGCATGGCTTTCCTCACATATTCTTCTTCCTTTTCATGTTGTCAAAAACATGAGTTTGTGTATGGATGTTTACTGCATGCTTGAGAGAGGACAACAGTTTTTCGAAACAAAATCCTCTCTAATTTTTATCTCCAAACTTTTGTAATTGTTTGATCCTTAATTGAAATTCCTACAATCCATTTCTGACCAACTAACACAAAAATGTTGCTGATTCCCTTAAAAAAGTGAAATTTCTTGATCTTCATTTAGACTTTTGTCTAAGGTGCTAAGGGACCAAAGGTGAACACTACTGTACCATAGATGTATAAAATATAATATTTATGATAAATAATGGTGCAATTCAAGGGAAGAAGGGTGCAAATCACTTATTTTGCGCAAAAATGAAAGATAAGATTGATGTTCCTGGATAGAGTGCAGAGTCCACTAGCTCAAAACACTCCACAACATCTCAAGATGGTGGAACTAGCGACACAAGCGGAGGCAACTCAGACAAAAGCTCGGATTCTGACTCTGATTCAGACAGTGACAACGAAAGGAAGAGTAAGAAAAAGTCAGCCAAAAAGGGACAAACCACGAAAAAGAAATCCCCGATCAAAGGGGTTCTGAAGAAAAAAGGGGCTGCCAAGGTTTGTTGGTATCATACCAGAGTTTGGTGGCATCATACCAGAGTTTGGTGGCTCTCTAACAGGTGATGGCAGAGAATTCACCGGGCGTTGGTGATGGAAAAATGATGAGGAAATAACAGATAACAGGTGGAAATGCATGTCTGCTACAATTAATTGAGATCAACTAATTAGTGCTAATGACCTTTTTTTAGAGTCTGACTCTGAGGTGACTACTTAACTCAGGTGGCAAGGTTTTCCTCAAGGTGATGCAAAGACTCTCCTTTTGTCAGTCACAGCAGCATGTTGGCAGAACGTACTGCACCTGCGCGAAACCCGTAATGTATTGTGCATAGCACTTCTGCAGAACGTCTCGTATAAGTCTGATTCGTGTATTTAACATTCCCTCTGTAGTTTCCAAATGTTTTCTCAGAAAAGATAAAAATCCTCTGCAACAGGCAAAATTCTAATTCAACGGTGTCCAAACATCCAATGCAAACTGTATGTGTATTGAGCCCTGGAAGAGTATCGCAATAAACTGAAACTGAAACTGTGAAAAATTAGGGTTTTGTGCAGGCGCAGTATGTTCTGCTGACGTGCAACTCACAGCAACACTATGTATGCAGTTCACAGAGACTACAATGGTGTATTGTCTAAGTTTTTTGATCATAATAATCATGAATACATTTACCATTTCCAGAGGAGAGGATCTCGGGTGAGATTTGGAGGGGCGAGCACAGTCGAGGCACCAGAACTCGTGGTTAAACCTCCCATGGAAGACAGAGCAGTCTGGACTCATGAACCAGAATATGACAGGTGTGGACTGGGATTTGCAAATATCAACTTGGCCATTCTGATAGTCACAATCACAAAATGGAGAATTATGAAAAGAGATGAAGGTGTTTAAAGAAGAAGGTACTACTGGAGGGTTGCTTTTCTCTGTTAAAGATATTTTGCAATAAATCACTTTATAAGTGCTACTGTAACATTATATTGCAATCTTACACATAACATTTTTTTCCTTCCTACAGATTTCTAAATGTTAGAGTGTACAAGCCTGTTGGAATGCAAGGTTGGTTTCTTTATCATGTTTTTTTTTCTTTCTTTTCCGTTTTTCATGATTTTTAATTCTTTGGAGTTTGAAATAATTATGTTTTCCCTTGAGCTACATGTACTAGTTTTGTATGTGACTGTCTTACAGTTTTTTTCCATCTAACAATGCAGTGGTTTGATTTTAAAAAGTTGGAAATTCATTTTTTCATTACCAACCTGGTATGTTGATTTCATGGCTCCTAACAATAGCATTTGGGGCTATAATAGGATGCCTAGGTCTGTTTTTATCACTTTTATCTTTTCGCCCTGTCATGTCATATTTTTCCTGAAGAAATCCAAGAACCAACAAATTTAATTGGTGTGGCCCAATTAACATACAAACGTACGTTCTCCCCACAGACACAGAGCTGACGTGTGTGTTAACCATGGGAGATCAGGTGTTTAAGACAGGAGTGTTGGATGCACCCCCACCTCCTCCGGCCGAACCTAAACCCCAAACTCCAGAAAAACCCAAGAAAGGAAGCCTCATTGGAAAGGGAGGTATGTACATTTTCACTTTGTACATCATGACTCCAAGCAGATAGAAGAAAGATCAAGATGACGTTTTCTGACTGCTGTATACCTGTAATAATGTTTTTCTTTTCACTAAATTTCAGGTGCGAAGAGAAGAAAGTCTGTTACTCTCAAGGAACCACATGAAGAAACTCCTAAGGAGGATGACAGGTAAAAGGAGTCAAGAAGTTTAAGAAAGTTAAAGCCCAGTTGTCTTTCATGTATCATGTTCCTATACACTAATATAGTAATGACATGTATCATTGCCAATAAAAACAAATAGTACATGAATACAAATATTGTTAGTACATGTACTTGACCAATGATATGTGCAAACTGTATTGTGATAATTGTATGTGTTATTGTATGTTTCAACCAATGATATGGCCAAGCGACTTCAAAGTTCTGAATACTGACTGTAGCCACTAGAGCCTACAGTCGGATTTTCTAGGACGAAATACATGTAATTGTTTCCATTCAGCCTTTAACACTGTATCACTTCTGTGTCTTCCAGGTTTGAAGAGTTTGTGTTCAGTGTACCAGAAAGACTTGCAGAAATGCAGGGGTTAAAAGTGGCCATGAACTCACAGGACGAGATGGCAGCTGTCGCAACCATAGAGGCAGAGGACTTGGCTAGTCTGGTAAGTTAACAGTTTAGCTACACTAGTTACCATGGTAACAGACAGTCTGGTAAGTTAACAGTTTAGCTACACTAGTTACCATCGGATGGTAACAGACAGTCTGGTACAGGTCATTGACCTTTTTGGTTTATGACCTGAACCAGACTGTCTGTTAACATGGTAGCTGGTATTGGGTTACATCAAGTTGCAACTTTATAGCAAGAGGGATTTAGACTCCTGTCTGACCATATACACTGTACTAGTATATGAATGTGTTTGAGTAATAATTAACAGAGCAGACCATATGCAAATGTTACCTTAGTTATATGTTTCAGTTTTATTGATAAAAATAGCTAGAATATACATTTATATCAGCTCAACAGGCAAATTCAAGTTATGAGGTGTTCCTGTCCTTGGTGCTGAATAACACACAAACTTGGCTAGTGTAGTGAGTCATCAGTTTAGATAACTATATACTAGTATTTCAGTTTTATTGATGAAAAACTGTTAGAATATACATGTATGTTAGCTCAACAGGCAAATTCAAGTTATGAGGTGTCCCTGTCCTTGGTGCTGAAAAACTTGTCTGTAGTTGTAGAAGACGTTGAGAAAGTTTCTGTACTTTTGTTGGGTCAACAATCGATTTCATTTCAATTCAAAAATCAGAATAAAGATATTCAAAGCACTAGATATAGAAAATTATGAATATTTCTGAAGGTAACCCTACTTATGCATTGTTTCTGCTTTCCAGGAACTACCAGTGAAAACCTTCAAAAAAGTCACTGTACTTTTGATGTGTCAATGAAGATTTACTATATTAAACTTTAGATAATATTATCATTAGCTTTAAATATAGAAAACAATGAATATTTCCAGATGTAACCCTACATCTGCTTTTGTTTCTGCTTTCAGGAACTGCCAGTGAAAACTTTACCAGAAGAAAATGCAGAAGAGTTTGAGGCTAACTTGAAGAGCAGAGACCCGACCATGTTTCCCCTGTACCCCATGAAGAGTTCCAAACACGGCGTCTACGGTAACCTTCCCCTCAAACTGTACTGGACACAGAGAGAACGTCCTCGCACGTTTGAGAGGGAAACAGAGACAATGACGCTGATGGAGCTGATCACAGAACTTACAGGTTTGTGAGGATCGAGATTCGATAAGTAAAATGTATTTCTTTATGAAATGACAATTAGAAATAGTTATGTTGACTGAATGAAAACATATTGTTTTTGCTTAGTTTCTTGTTCTTCTCCAAACAAATAAGGTCAATGACCTGCACCAGACGACTGTCACCATGGTAACTAGTGTTGGGTTACATCATGTTGCAATTTTATAGCAGGAGGGATTTATACTCCATGTAACTCAGAGCCAATCAGAGTTGTTTATATCATGCTGACTGATCTAACTTGCATCACAAAGGTGCCAGAATATTCTATACTCTACAAGAGCGATGTCCAAAGAACTTTTCTCTTCAGAACTAACGACTAGAAACAATATCTTATAAATGATGCCTGTATTTTCAGGTGTTGATCTCACCCAGCACCCAAAAGAAGAGTTAGTCACCATGTTGGAGAGAGAGTTTGAGGACAGAGCAACGTCAGCCATGTCTTTTGAAGAAGAGAAAGAGGTGAGTAAAAACTTGCTACTTGTTGCTGCACTTTTAACGAGTACAGGGTTCTCTTATACAGATAGAATCAGACAGAAATCTAATCTAGAGTGTGACAGGCTGAATAAAAGTTTTGAACAGGAACTATGCAGTTGAAGATGTCTTACTGAAGGATGACTGTGTGTACTAGATGTCGGTTAGCTTAAAAAACGAATCCCCTCTACTAGAAATCTAATCTAGAGATTGACGGTTTCCGTATGCATTTCGATTTTTATTATTAAGAAATAACAATATTATCTTACATGTATGTTTTATGAATGACCTGCCACGTAAAAATGCATTGATTGTAAATGCTTACTCAATTCAGACTCTTTAAGTCTGCAATATGGTATCCACAATTAAGATGTCAAAGATCTAATTACATTTAACTATAGAATATGAACTTTGTCTAATACAGGACATGGTACCTAAGGCAGAGTTGGAGAGTCTTATGGAGCAGCACAATGCACAACTCATGCAGATCCAGGATGAATATGAGTAAGTACATGCAAAATAACTTTTATTACTGTATATACATGTCATGTACTTTTGTCCAGCCAGTCTCAACAGAATATTGTAGGTTGATTTGTATTCTACAAATTAGAAAGTGCTGAAAACATTGTCAGTGATTTCTAACTGCTCATGATGGTACATATTTTGGGGTGTGAAATACAAGATACAACTTTAATGATTTGATTTATTTGCACATTTGCACATACGCAATGAAAAAACAAGTTAACAGAAACATAACAAAGAAGGAAACGTGTAGGGGTGGAGGGTTTGCTATCTATATACCGGTATATAATATGATAATATATATAATAATATATCATTATTGATATCTATTCCCACAGGAAACGTCTGAACGAGCTTGCAGAGAATCTGGAGGAGATGCAGGAGAGAGGGCCACCCCCGCTGGCGAACATGGAACATGCCATGGTGCAGTACTCCCCCCAGGGTACCCCTGCTCACCCGCGGTCCCCCGTCAGTCGGGCTCAGACCCGCGACCTCACACGGTCTCCCAACATCCCGCAGGTGCCGCAGACATCACGAGAGTCCAGCGCAGAAAAGGGACACAAACCTCCACCAGCCACGGCATATGATGGGTGAGTTGTTATGGCTTCACCACACCACGAATGAAACATATTGTTTTCCTTCGTGTTTCTTCTTCTTCTTCTCCTTCTTCTCCTGCCATTTTGTTACATGGATTCAATTTCTTCATTTTCGTGCCAAATAACATGAAATTTGCGAGTGGCTAAATACCCCCAGACGTTATTCTTTTTCAATTTTTAGATACAGGCCAATGACCTAATGATTTGATAACAGTAATTGTATTTCACAGTACAGAAGTGATCCTAAAAATAGTGAACATTTATTTAGGCCTTTTGCCAATCCTTCCTCTGTCCTTGGTGCTGAATGCACAATCATTTTCAGGTAATACCTTTTAACATACTCTGTTTTTGCTATCAGTGATGTTATTTAAAAAAACGTTTTTTATTCCATTTCAGGATGTACCAACCCCAGCCACCCCCATATACAGCACCCAGGGCGAAAAGGAAAACAATACAAGCACCACAACCAAACGCCAAGCTGCCAAAGGATGTAAGAATGCATTCACTTCACCTTATTAATTAAAACATACTGTTTTTTCTCTGTTACTTTTTTCTTCTTCTCCAAACACAAAAGGTCAATGACCTGCGCAAGATGTCTGTCACCATAGTAACTGGTGCTGTAGGAAACACCCAGTGATGTTGGGTTACATTATGTAGCAGGACAGGGTTGGAGGGGCTGGTCCCCATATACTAGTACACTTACATGTATATATGAATGTGTCAAGCAAGGAGACCCAGGTTCAATCCCCAGGGTTGGACCCAGACATGTCTGGAAAAGCACCCAGATGTTGTGCCCTTGGGAAAGGCACTTTACACGTATTTCCCCCTCAGTTAGAGGGTTCCTGGGCCCTACTAGGGTTTGGGTTGGTGTTTTAATTGTTAGGAAGGGCATCCAGCCGTAAAAAAAAGACTTGCACTTGATGCAAGCACGTCTAACCCCCAGTTTAGGGGTAAAATTATGTTAAAATTGGATAAGAATAAAATTTCTTGTATCATTTTCAGTTCCTGGAGCGGCTGAAGTTCCAGACTGCGGAGAGTATCCGGCGCCAGGCCGAGCTGTACGACAAGACCAGGAGGATGGTCGAGGAGAAGTACCTCAGACAGGTATGCTTTTCTGTAGAAAGGCACTAAAACTGCCATCTCATATTACATCCGGAAACTCGCACTCATTTAAATATCCATAGTTTCATCTAGAGGTTGAAGAAATATGTAGACGCAGCAGCCATTGAGGACCCCCTGGGGATTAACCCAATTCTGTATAATTTTGCTCAGTCCCCAGAATTCTACAGAATTCTGGCTGCAGTTTCAAAATTCTGCCAAATTCTTCAAAATTGGGTTAATCCCCAAGGGGTCCTTGATGGCTGCTACATATTTCTTACATCATTTTTACCCATAGTTTACAATATTAGCCCATCTAGATGTACGGTTGCTGAGATATGGGAATTAGTCCGGAATTTAACTGGAGGCTGTTATAAACATCAACAGATGGAGGGCCAGCACAGGATGACCAACCCGGAGCCATTGGAGCAGCAGCTGGAGGATGTGTGTCTCCCAGCTGTGTTCATGCCCACCAAGACTGGACACATCTACAACCCAAGGGCTTATCAGTACTTCCATCCTAATGGTGAGGACTATCATTGTTCACATAGCTTTGAATAGACCATTCCGACAGCTCTGCCCACCTCCATCAAAATTACTTGCCAAACTCGGTTGTATTTTGGTCAACATTCTTTGCAGAAAAAGCAAACTGAGGCATTCTTGGTTTAATAGTAAAGACAAAACCACAAATGTTCAAAAATCTTGTGAATTTTTACATCTTGAAGTTTTCATATATTGAAGAGTAAACATTGTACAGGAAAGAATACAAACATTCAACCAAAATCAAAGCCTTTGAAGCAAGATAGAGACACAGTCATGTTTCAAACATTTCTATCTAACATTCCTGGTTATTTTTTTTCCTCAGGTTTGTCAGGAGAGATAGCGAGACTGACTCAGCCACCATCAGTCTTCCAGCTGCCACCCCTGGCTAACAGACATGTATCCTTGTCGATGTGTGCGTCTTAAACATTTAGAACATCTAAAGATTAGATTCCGTTCACTGTAAGATAACAGGCATGTTTGACTGTGTCAGAGCTAAGTTTTCAATGGCCAGTTTGAAAATTCTTTATTATGTCTTGTAGAAAAAGTATTTGGTTTCTTTTTTTGAGGAAACTAATCAGATTTCGTTTGAAAAACTGGTTGATTTCAGTAATAGAATCTAAGAATATATAGTAATCAGAATCAAAGGAGTTCTGCTTGAGTTTATGATTATATTAGCATGAAAGCATGATGCATTATGACAAAAAGTCTCAACTTAACAAATTTACTTAGTGTTGAACATTAAGCTTAGCCTTTTTGCGATTGCGATTACGATTATAATTTGTACCAGTCAACTCTGTACATGTTCTAATACCTTGACTCTACCCTCAGCGACTGTCTGTCATGAACCTTTTTGACTTGAGTCAGAACTTCCAGTCCAAGGGTTCTGATTGGCTGTCCAACATCCCTGCGTACCGGAGCACCAGTCAGACGCCCTTCCCCATGACTCCCGCGCCGACCGTGGAGGGCCCGTCCCAACCTGCCAGCGCTAGTACGGTTATGAGGAGTCACCCCATGCCACATACTCACTGACGTTTTGGCAACAAAATTACCTTTACTCAATTCTAATGAAGTTATCCCATGTTTCATACACACTGAATTTGGGGAACAAAAATACCTTTATTTACTCATGAGGGGTCTTCAAAAGTCTTTAAAGTTTTGAGATGGAGCAATACCTTATGACAGGCTCCTTATGACTGAGGAAAGAAAGAAGAGCTAATCTCATATTGCTTGTGACAGAGAAGATGCTATGTACAGTACATGTATTTACAGGTTCATTGTAGCAGGGAAATTCCCCAGCTCTCTGAACTATGGACCACAGCTTAATGTACTGTTCTAAAGACTGCAGCAAAAGATATCCAAATCAATCTAATTTGTTACTCTAGTAGAGTATGAAAAATTAAACAACTTTGTTATCATTGATAAAATGTTACAAACAATATCTTATACGGATACCATGTAGAATATTATTATAGGTAACTTATAGCTGTAAATATGGAGCTATTTTTTATTGAGCTGTTATTGAATGTCAATAACATTGCTGACTCTCAGTGGAAAATGATTTATGATTCATGAATGTATAAATAATTTGTACATATATTCAATTTTTTAATGTTGGGCATGACATAAATTTGTACTATATTTTCCTCATGACAAGAATGTCATTTATTTTCACAAAAATGGCTTGTAGAATGTACAATGTATGACAATGTTAACCTGTCTCATTAATGATATGAGGCAACAAATACATGTACTTCTTGAAACAAATGTTGTTGTTGACATAAGACTTTTCATTTCATCCAGTCTTTAAGCTGACGGTAGTGTTTCTGGTATACTATATAGAAGAAAATAAATGGTTTTGGTAAAATACAAACTCTGGCGTTTGTACAACTAATGTCAACAGTTACAAAAACGTGTGCACAGACATGCTGAAGAAAGGGACTTTCAGCCCAATAAAATGATTTAAACATACGATAGCACCAGGCTTTTAGCTAGGATTTTTTTGGTGGGCGTCCATTTTTTTTTATTGTATGCTATGCACAGTGAAGACGTGCTGAGTGCAAGATTTTGGGGGGGCTTTTTTGAAATTCAATATGCTCTCAAACACTACTTTCTGCATTTTCAGGTGTAAATCAGGAGTTTTTTCCTTCAGTAAACCATCATTTTTGTATTTATAGTAAGGCTGAAGGGAGGCATGTGTGCATGGCAAGGGTTGGGAGTGGAAAAAATAGGGTGTCTTTAGGGTGTCCTACAAAAAAGTAGGGCGTCCAATTTCTTATTATTTTCAGTACAGGGCGTCCAAAAGACACCCTGGACACCCCCTAGCTAAAAGCCTGGATCATAGCACCTAGAACTAGAGGAAACAAAGCTTTTTCAATCATGCTGTGTAATACATAAAGTAGCGAACAGCATTCTTTGAGTCTTGCATAGTTATAATCTCCAAGCAGATCCTATGGTGGCAAAAGATAGTATCAAATTGGCCAGGCAGTATCCATTGGCCAGATCTAGAGAGGGTCCATTATGCCACCCTAGGATCTGCTTGGAGATTAGCATAGTTACTGCAACAGCTTATTTCTCTATCTTGCACATTCATCCAGTAGCACAAGGCCAAGGTCATGATTCCTCCTCAGGGTAGATGGTTCTGAAGGTCAAGTTTATCCTTGCATCCCTGTCATGATATTCTTTTGGAACACGGTGCTGGAAATAAAAATGATACATGTATATTGACAGAACAATCTTAACACTTAGCGTTCCGTTACTTCAATGGAAAGGACTGAACTACATGTTCAGAAATGAAAATATAATACATCAAGCACAAGTCAGAAAAATTCTTCAAGCTCCTATGTTGTAATAATTATTCAAAGAACTCCAAAACAGTCAACAAACCTGCCAGTCTTCTTGTGTTGCTCCCTCCATGATCAGTAAACTCCCATGATTCAGGGGAATTTTCACTCTCTCTGTGTACGTGTAGTCTCCATTCTCCTCCTGTTAATATCAACAAAATCAATGTTCTTACTTGTACTCAGGGCTCGAAATTAGAGGTGGTCAAATGGCCACTGACCACTAAAATCTAGGGTGGGACAACTGAAAAGACACTTTGGGACATTTTTGGGACTAAAGAAAAATAATTAACATCAGAATGTCAGCCCTTCTTTTGTTTATCAGGCACACATCCCGGCTTTTAGATCCAGAAAAGTCCCCCCAAATTTCCTGTCTACTCTGCATGCAATTATAGTGTGCCTGGGAGTGAACATAAGCAAAATAAAGTCATACAATACTTCCCATCTTCTGATGTTCTTCCAGTTTATTTTGGTAGCCATTTTACAAAAGGGTACTTACTGGTGGTGGGTTCTTCCGCAACTCGAAAGTTCTGATCGCACCGAGGGTCAGAGAGGCTATGATAGGGTTTTTCCGTAGGGCGTACTCATTGTCGGAGTGCCAGGCGATGGAGTCCTTGTCATCCCGGTACAGGTTACACAGGACGGAGTTGAATGTGTGGCCGCAAGTTTGGGTGATGTGGTCACGTAACATGGTAACTACAGGGTGCCACTGGGGAACAAAAAATGTAGAATGTGCTGCACACCCCCCCATTATCATGATTTTAAAATGTGGTATCATCATCATCATCATGCCTCCAGATTAGTTTATACTAATCCGGTGAGGTACACTTGATAAAGTTACTATGTCCTATCTCTCATAGCAGACACTATTACAGTCCCTGTGAGACCAGTGTCTCTCTCTAGCATGGACAAAAGTGTAGTATAAGGCTGTCCCACTCTATGTCTCCCAGTGGGAAGCCACTGTACTAGTCTACCAGCTGGTTCGTTACTACGAACAACATGCCCTGCCAGGGCGAGTCTATGTCGTTGGACTACAGATGAAATGGGCGGGAGAGAGTCATAGAGTTGTTTGTTTGTTAGTGTGGTATAGTTATAGTTAGAGTGTAACATGCTCGCGAGTTTTATGAACAAACCTCATAATTCAGTTGTGAGGCTGCAAAGGGTTTTGATTTCACAATAAACAAATACATGGTAATATTTCTCTGTTCTTGGGTGATTTCTTAGTTCTCCTGATGTCTTTAACATCAGGCTAGGACTATTGGCACTGCCCTTAGTCCTGAAATACCACCAACAGTAACATTGCTCTTTTCATGGTGCTGAAATGCCATCAACAATATTTCTCTGTTCTCTGGAGATTTCTCTGTTCTGTTTTAGTCTTTACCATGAGACTGTGATTAGATCTTAGCATGAAAGTTCATCTGTGTTGGTATACTTCGTTATGACAAAAATGGATAAACATTCAGGCCAACACTGCGTATTTGGGTAATTCCCAATCTACTAGTACTTAGTGTTGGCCTGAACGTTCATTATGACTAGATCTATTGGCAAAAAAGATGGAGACTCACATGTGGGTTGGCATCATGTGTAAGTCTGGAGTAGGAGTAGGGAAGTTCACCAAACCAGGCTGTTAACCTGGGCTGAAGGTATTCCATACCTGGAGCATAGGACACAACAGGACCTTAATTAAATTGCATGGTTTTTGCTCTGTTTCCTCTTCTTCTTCTCCAAACAAAAAGGTCAATGACCCGAACCAGATGTCTGTCACCATGGTAACTGATGTTGGGTTACATCATGTTGCAATTTTATAGCCAGATTTAGACTCCTGTCACCATACATGTACATGTGAATGAGTTTGAGTAAGAATTAACAGAGCAGACCTATGCAAAGGTAAACATTATGCAAATGTTACCTTCTATTTTTTTTAAACACAATGAGACAAGGCTGTACCTTCCCTGTCTATCCCCTTCCTCTGTCTCCAGGGGATTTCAGCCTCCAGCTGATCAAACATCCAGTCAGCTTCCTTTGGGTCAATGAAGTGTGGGAAATATCTTAACCTGTGGACAGAGATAGGTTTCAATATAGAAACATATAAACAACAATAAACTGCTCAAAATTGTGTATGAAAACACTAAGTGACTCATGATGAAAGAAAAAACATGTATCATGTACCTTACCTGGACACACCAGATGGACTTGTGCTTATTTCGAAAACTCCCTCCTCCCTATGCGAACAAGGGGAATTGAAAAGGATGAAAGGTTTATTCGCTGCAGTTTAGGGTTAGGATGAACTACAATATCATTGAATCAAAAGACAACACAAGCTCAGGCATACATGAAGGTGAATATTATTATGACATACTCACTTAAACACTTGTGGTTCTGGCGGCTTCCGTATAGCCTGAAAATATGCAAAAAGAATCTACTGAGAAAAAAACAAACTAGACAAATAAAAGTACTACAGCACAGTGGTGTATGATTTTTATTGGACTTGGTATTTCACAACTGAATTAGACTACCCACCTTTGCTGGCTGCTGGAAAACAAAGCTCTTTTCTCCGAGTCTTTCGTCCTTTTCCAACCACGTCGGCTTGCTGCCGAGCATCTGACGGGGTTCCGCCGAACTGGCGTTGTGCTCCCCACCGCTGTATCCGGGTAACGGGAGCATGGTATTTTCCCATATATGCAAATATAATTCATTAATATATGCAAGATTTATGCATACATGCAAGCACGTGCATACGTTACTACAACTTGTATACCCTATGTATCATAAGCAATTCACTTTACATATAACGTTACCCCTTTGCACTCTCATTCTTTCTACCTCAACCTAAGGCACTCCCACACACCCCTGCACACTCTTACGCACCCTGTGCACCCTGTGCACTCCCACGCACTCTCATTCAACCTCCCCGAACCTGATGCACCCTCACGCACCCTGTGCACCCCCATGCACCCTGTGCACCCCCATGCAACCTGTGCACTCTCATTTAACCTTCCCAAACCTGATGCACCCAACGCACCCTGTTCAACCTTGTTAAACCTGAAGCACCCCCATGCAACCGTTGTGCACTCTCATTCAACCTTCTTAAACCTGATGCACCCCCACGCAACCTGCGCACTCTCATTCAACCTTCTTAAACCTGATGCACCCCCACGAACCCTGTGCACTCTCATTCAACCTTCTTAAACCTGATGCACCCCCACGCAACCTGTGCACTCCCATTCAACCTTGTTAAACCTGATGCACCCCCACGCAACCTGTGCACTCCTACAAATACTGTAATTCTTGATTTTTTAAACATTCACTTGAGCAAATTCAGCTGTCAATATTCCAACGCTTTAATAACTACAGAAATAATTACCTTATTTACACCTTAAAACGTATGTGCCAGGTGCTCACCCCTTCTCCTCAAGCCATTATATATATATTATATTATATACATTATATTATATTATATATAAAGAGTAATAAAGAAAAGGATTAGATAAGGCAGTATGCGTTTACAATTTTAATGGCTCTTCGTGAGTAGCTACGAATCAGGTTTATAGGACAGAAAATAAGTGTTCAGGTTTGGAAAGGTGGAATGGGAGTGCACAGGGTGCGTGGGGGTGCATCAGGTTTAACAAGGTTGAATGAGAGTGCACAGGTTGCGTGGGGGTGCATCAGGTTTAACAAGGTTGAATGAGAGTGCACAGGTTGCGTGGGAGTGCACAGGTTTAACAAGGTTGAATGGGAGTGCACAGGGTGCGTGAGGGTGCATCAGGTTTAACAAGGTTGAATGGGAGTGCACAGGTTTAACAAGGTTGAATTGGAGTGCACAGGGTGCGTGAGGGTGCATCAGGTTTAACAAGGTTGAATGGGAGTGCGCAGGTTGCATTGGGGTGCATCAGGTTTAACAAGGTTGAATGGGAGTGCACAGGGTGCGTGAGGGTGCATCAGGTTTAACAAGGTTGAATGGGAGTGCACAGGTTGCGTGGGGGTGCATCAGGTTTAACAAGGTTGAATGGGAGTGCACAGGGTGCGTGGGGGTGCATCAGGTTTAACAAGGTTGAATGGGAGTGCACAGGGTGCGTGGGGGTGCATCAGGTTTAACAAGGTTGAATGAGAGTGCACAACGGTTGCATGGGGGTGCTTCAGGTTTAACAAGGTTGAACAGGGTGCGTTGGGTGCATCAGGTTTGGGAAGGTTAAATGAGAGTGCACAGGTTGCATGGGTTGCACAGGGTGCATGGGGGTGCACAGGGTGCGTGAGGGTGCATCAGGTTCGGGGAGGTTGAATAAGAGTGCGCAGGGTGCATGGGGTGCGCAGGGTGCGTGGGAGTGCACAGGGTGCACAGGGTGCGTAAGAGTGTGCAGGGGTGTGTGGGAGTGCCTTAGGTTGAGGTAGAAAGAATGAGAGTGCAAAGGGGTACGTTATATGTAAAGTGAATTGCTTATGATACATAGGGTATACAAGTTGTAGTAACGTATGCACGTGCTTGCATGTATGCATAAATCTTGCATATATTAATGAATTATATTTGCATATATGGGAAAATACCATGCTCCCGTTACCTGTATCCGGGTTGCTGCTGCTGCCCCCCTCCCCCAATTGCCCCTCCCCCTCTAGCCCTCCCCCTTCCTCCGAATGGTTTCACCGGTTTCCCAGCCTGTACGGCTCGAGATCCTTGCAGCCGCAGGCGCCTCCTCTTGTCATCCGAACCCTGCATGTTTCCGAACCAAAGAAATATTGAAAACACCGCCTAAAACGATTAAAATCTGAACGATTTGCGCGTTACGCAATTTTTTTTCGACAGGGGGCAGCCATCTTGAACGTGGTGCATCTTGGGAAAGATCGTATTTACCAAGAACCAAGATGGCGGAAGGTGTTTCCTAAAAAAAGGAGTTTGAGTCGTCTCCTGATCATTTGTGGATTTCAGGCGTTTCTGAAGGAAAATCTCCATTCTTTTTCGCTTAACCTTGACATGACGATCCCGGGATACCTTAGAACTAAAGGTCAAGCCATCAAATTCAAGCAGCGAGCTTCTATGAATGTGTAACTTTCCCCTTTAACGCCCCCCCCCCCCCTCCTTTTTGAGACCAAAATCCTAAATCCTTGATACTTCTTCAGGAGAGAAGGCTTCTCGTCAGCCTGTTGTTTCCTGGTCCTGCGTACTTTCGTCTCTCGCAGTGATTATCTAACCAGGTTTTGAACTGGTTTTCGCTTTCTGCCGTGGCTACATTGTCTGGTAGTGAGTTCCAGTTGCTATCAGTTCTGATATACTGACGGCTTGACTTGTCACCCGAGATGGGTTCTGACCAGAGCACGCCGATCAGCCCGCCCGAGCCGAGGAGAGGCGCGGAGGATGACGTCCCCTACACGTCCTTCTCCGTGAACAGACCGGTGGACGGCGAGAGCGACAGTACGGCAAAGTTCATCAGCAAAACACAGGAACAAGCCAAACACAAGGTAAAGATAATATATACTGTATAAATATCATTATATCTTGTCATGATCATAACGTTAATCACCTTCACAGAAGGAAAAATACCATATTGTTTTTGCTCAGTTTCTTCTTCTTCTCCAAACGCATAAGGTCAATGACCTGAACCAGACTGTCTGTTACCATAACCATGGTAACTAGTGTTGGGTTACATCATGTTGCAATTTCATCGCAGGAGGGATTTAGACTCCTGTCTGACCATATTATATGAATGTGCTTGAGTAAGAATTAACAGAGCAGACCATATGCAGAGGTAAACATTATGCATTTGCCCTGCAAATGTTACCTTTCTAGTATTGTAATCAGTTTAAGCTGTTACAACTTAAAATGAACATTCTATCCCCTTACACTTACATGTCTTGCCACCCCCCCACCCCCCAACCAGGCTAGTATGAAGGACATAGTTGTGGTGGCAGAAGGACAGCACAGCTACCAGTCCACAGATCCAGAACTGATCAAGCTATAGTTCAAACAAAGAACTCTAATAATCAGTTAGAACAATGAACAAATCTATAACACTGACATGTCTTGCCCCCCTCCCACCAGGCGAGTATGAAGGACATAGTTGTTGTAGCAGAGGGACAGCACAGCTACCAGTCCACCGATCCAGAACTGATCAAGATCCAGGAGATCCCAACCTTCCTGCCGATCATGCGAGGATCCCTCAACGTCCCCAACATGCGCGATCCGGACGTGCTGGACAAACTGGACTCAAAGGAAGTAAGGGAGTCTGTCAAACACGTGTTACGACTCCGTACTTACTATTTTTTCAAACTGCACTTTAGTGAAAAGATAATCACAGTTTAGAGAATGGCCAATATTAAAAGAAAATGATGCGTTGATGAACATTTAATAGACATCCAGCTAAACGATATTCAACTACATACTACTGGAGATTACTTCCAAATTTCGAGTGACACTCTTCCTCAGCATCACTAAGTAAAGTAAATGAACTGTGAGTAAAAAGTAAATGAACAAGTCGACACAAAAGAGAATCATGCATTGATGAATATCATTACTAGTATAATTTTTTTACAAATTGGTACTTTGTTTCAGAAATTAGGATATTTAGAAAGTATAGAGCATTCTTTCTTTAATGACCATATGAATATGTCAACTTTTCATGAATGCATCACATTTTGACCAGTTAATGTGCACTTGTCGTTACAGGTGTTGAAGATGTGTCTGAGATATCAGGAACACATGAAGCAGTGTGCAGAGGCCGTGGCTTTCGACCAGAACTCACTCACCAACAGAACAAAGGAGGTGGGGCTATTATCCTGGTTCTCTATATGCTCTAATTTCATTAAGTTTAACAAGGGTAACATGGAAGCCAGACTGTTACAAAAGCCAGCTCCTCTGCTGTAGGGAAATTTTACTACAGCCCATCCTGAGTTAGACTGTGAGAAATTTAAATTTCCATGGGAGTTTGTTGGCCCTAGAGCCAAATAGCTGGCCTGTGTTGGCCCAGGAAACAGTCTGGCATCCAGGCAACATGTAAAAAGGGATGATCAGGAATATTTTGTTACAGACCACTTTCTCTGTCTCTGTCCAGCAAAATTTTAAAAGTGTTCATTTTGAAGAAGGAAAGAGAAAATAGTGGCATGCATGTTTACAGTTTTCAAACTAACTTGAAAGGTAAGAACCTGCTCTTAACTTTTTTAGCTTCTGGTACACTGATCATATATCTACCAACTTGCAAGACAATCTATCACATATCATCACATCTTCTACTTTGTTTCTTCTTCCAGATGGATTTTGCCATAGCAGCTCTCACTAACATGATGACAGACCACCAGAAGAAGTACGCCAAGTACGCCGAACAGATCATGAAGATAAACGAGATGTCTCAGACTCTGAAACGCTGCCAAATGGCCGTGGACCAACTCTTGCCACTGATGGACAGACTGAACAGTGTTTTACCAGAGGAGCAGAGATTAGAACCCTTTTCCATGAGACCAGAGAGACCTGCGACAGAGGAGCAAGCTTCTTCTAGTAGACACTCCTCTGTGTCTAGTGTGCATTAGTGTACATGTATGTGTAGATTAAAGATTTTAAGGATAACATTAAGCCAAAATCTTGCTAAAAAAAAACTTGCACTTGGTGCAAGCATGTCTAACCCCCGGTTTGGGGAAAATCGATGTTAAAATTTCGATTTAAAAATGATGTACAGTATATAGCATGGAAGAAAGTGCAAGATACAAAAGTAAAAGTCTTATTCCAAGGTGAAAATGTGTTCTGTATCTGTATCTGTATAGCCGGTATAACCGCCTTTCGGCGTAACACACCAGCTGATATTAAACAGATTGCTTCTACTCAATGAAGGTGCATTGCATGTAATTTGTTGGTATTGCCATGTTGTTTGATTAAGACTTTGTTGGAATCCTTGCCATACTAACACACTACAAACAAGTTAATCAGAGCAAGGAGGTTTAAAATCAATTTAAAATTGATTTTAAACTTCCTTGATCAGAGATGGCAGACTTCACCCCATTACCCACACTGCTTTGTGGCCTCTCCTGTTCAACGGACAAAAATTGTAGCACTCAGGAGGTATCGTAATGTCACATAGACGGATACATATACATACAGACACCAACAATATAATCTGCACTATTCTAATACATTACGTCATACATTAAAAAGAGAGATTCCGTCACCCCTATGTGAAGAGTAGTACAGTCCCATGACCTTTGCACTATGGCGGAAGCAGGTCTTAGATACAAAGACAAAGTTGTCATCGTTACCGGCGGCTCTAAAGGCATCGGGGAGGGCGCCGTCAGGGTTTTCGGTAAGTTCTGATACAGAAGAAGGTTTGTGGAGTAAGCTAATATATTTCTGGGCCCTAGATTAGCACAGGAAAGTCTTTATTCTATGGGGGGGGGCGAAAAGTTTGTCTTCCTGACGACTGTCACATGATAAATTTTAGAGGAAGTTGTCTGAACCAAAAGCGGACTTCGCTTGGGACTTAAATTGATACAAATGTTCATGTTTTATATATTGAATTGTTTAATAGGTAATTGTTTAAAGTAAATTTTCATCATAGGACTTTCCAATGTTTTGAATGATTTTTAAAGGGGGCGTGGCGGTGGTTAATTTGATCAAAGTCTGGGAGTTGGACTTTAAACACTTTTGAAGGCGTTTTCGGTGTCGTCAGTAAGGCGAGAATCTTGGACATTAATCAACAATCTATGGAATTAACTGAAGCTATAAATTGTGCCCTATCATTATTGTAAACTTGCTCAATGATTTACACAAGTCATTTTACATTGTTGATCGTATACTAAGCATTAAATGTAATAGTTGCAATTATATATCTTTTCTTTCTTTCACAGTGAGAAATGGATCCAAGGTTGTTATTTGTTCAAGAGGAGGTAAGCACAATAATCTGCACTTCCATAAGACACACTGCCCAGCAAATTTCTTAGAGTACTCAACTGTATCATTGTTAATTTATACATTGTATGACGTATTTATATTATGCACTAGTATAATGCAGTGTTTCATAAGAATATGTAACATAATACATCATATGATGTTAACAAAAAAGAACTGAATGGTCTAAAGTTAAAACTTTTGTTCCAACACAAGGAATAAATGTTCTCACCTAGAGCTTTCGACCAGTCCCTCTGGTGGTCTTCAAAAGGCTGACCCAGTGAGGCTTTTCTGAAGTGTGACGTCAACACAGGGTCAGTCTACTGAGGAATATCAGAGTGCCTGGTCGAAAGCTCTAGATGACAACATTTACCTTTGTGTTGGAACAAAAGTTTTAAATCTAAACATGCAATTAGCCAACGCAGATGAACTTTCATGAAAGAACTTCAGGGTTATCATGACAGTTCATCTGTGTTGGTAGTTATGTTATGTTAGTTATGTTAGACAGTCTACTGAGGAAGACCAGAGTAACTGGTCAAAAGCTCTAGGTGAGAGAATTTTTTGTGTTGGATGCAAACTTTAAACACAAACTTCATGGTTGTTATGATAGAGGAAGCAGGGAAGAAGTTGGAGGCAGAAATGAACACATCTGGACCAGGAGAAGCTTTCTTCATCCCCTGTGATGTCACTAAGGAACAGGACATCAGGGTAGGCTTGTTCCCAGGGTACTTTGGACAGATAAAACACTCTCATTCCCAACATCACCATCGGCTCTCATGCACCCTCTAATAGGAATTTTTAGGAATACATTCACATCAAAGTTTTAAAATTTGAAAGTTTTGAACTAGAAAGTTTTGAACTATTTTTTGTTTATACTGTGTGGGTACAGGTACTCTAAAATCCCTATTGCAATTTGAAAAAGTAAAGACTAATAGTCAAGTAAGAAAAGATTAACTTCAAATACTGAGGTAGTTGCATCTTCTATATTCTTCTACACCTTTTTCCTTGTGTTTTTTTTTTTCCAGAATGTGATTGACAAGACAGTAGAGAAGTATGGTAGGATCGACTGTCTCATCAACAATGCAGGATGGCGTGAGTTATGAATTTATTTTTAAGTCTTTTTCATCAATACAACTTTGAATATCTTATGTGATACATTTTGTACTTACTTATAATACTTGCCCTTGAATAGGTCTCCTCAGCTTAGCAAGTTGCCTGTGTAAACGTAATAACAGGTCTTTAAAATTTCATTCGGGAGTTTTTGAAATTGCACGATTCATTATCCTGTTGTCCTCTCCGCCTGTGATTTAGATCCACCTGAACAGACCATAGACGACACGTCAGTGGAAGATTTCAGGTCACTTCTCAACTTAAACCTGGTCAGCTACTTCATAGCTTCCAAGGTAATAAACACTTCATTATCATTCTGAATGAACAGCTATTCATAGGTGGTGCCAAAAAATAGAGGGACTTCTCACCTAGCTTGTTTTGGGGCTATTTCAGCCACTTTAAGTATGAAATGATGACAAAAATGTGCTAAGAAATGAGTCAGTAAATGTCAATATCAGACAGATTTTCTCGTCCAGAACATTTTTTGTATTGTCAACATGAAATTGCATTGGATGAATCTTTAGAAAAATGTTTCTTTGTTGTTGTTTTTCAGTTTGCCCTCCCACATCTCAGGAAGACGCAGGGAAACATCATCAACATGTCCAGTCTGGTCGGAGTGATCGGACAGACACATGCGTGTGCTTATGTCACCACTAAGGTAGGCTGAATATTAGCTTGATATCAGCATTTCTAGATGTTTGTTCCTTTACAAGTTTGATATCTTATAGCTTCTTTCTGAAGAAATTTTGATTTCTCTCTTTGCTTTTTCTTTAAGGGTGGCATCACATCTTTTACCAGAGCTTTAGCTGTAGACGAGGCTAAGTATGGGGTTCGGGTGAACACGTGAGTACCTTTTTTTAAGTTTGATGAAACAAGTATATATATATATATATAACAACTCAGAACATAAAAACAAACACATAATACATGTATTAGGAATAGAGTGACAGAATTATCTCCTGTTCCTTTCAGAGACATTTGTTCAAATTTACTATTCATAATTCTATTGTTCTGACTACATTGTTTGTTCCCTGACTAGTATTTCTCCAGGAAACATCTGGACCCCTCTGTGGGAAGGTCTGTCTAAGGTCTCACAGAACCCCGAGGCTATGGTTAAAGGTGGTGAAGAAGCACAGGTAGGTTACAGGTCTAGTCATTTCATTTTGACACTTAAAATCAGGGGAATTTGAAACCCAAAGTTAGAGTAATGTCCTCTCTTGCCATCATTTTAATCTTAAGAAAACAATCTGGCATGATCACGCACTGAGTCATAATTGTGTTGCAGGAGTTGGACACAAACTGATTTCTTTCTTTATGTTTCATTGGCTCAGCTTGTAGCAGCATTACACTTGTCAAGCTTCTGTTTTCAGGGAATTATGTCTTAATTATGTCTTGCTTAATCATGAATGAATGTATTACTAGTATTCAATGGCCAATAGCTTACCACAGCTAACAGCTACAAAAGATTGAATTATGTCCAAAGGTACTGATTAATACAATAACATCTGAGACATTTTCATTATGTTTTTATCTTTTGAGACTCCAATCTAAGAAATCATGGTGATGTTCTCCTTGTTTTCAGCTGTTGGGTAGAATGGGGACTATAGAAGAGGCAGGACAGATGTGTTTGTTCCTGGCAGCAGAGGCAACATTCTCAACAGGTAAATAATGTGTACAAGGCTTCAGTTAAAACTTATTTGCTCACTCTTACTCACACACTCACTCAGTCACATCACACACTCACTCAGTCACACACTCACTCACTCACTCACTCACTCACTCACTCACACTCACTCACTCACTCACTCACACTCACTCACCCCCACACATACTCACTCACTCACTCACTCACATTTGTTGGTCCCCACCCTTTAATGGTTAGACTTCTTATACATGTATAATCAGGAAACTATGAGTTTCCAAAGCCTTCAAATATTGACAGTCATTATTTTCAAAATGAAATTTTGTTGGCTTTTTGTGTGTTTATGTGGGCATGTTTTTTTTAAACTGTGTTTCAGGCACCGATTTGCTTCTCTCTGGAGGTGCAGAGCTGAATTATGGCCGCAAGACTCGAATGGTGGAGAAAACCAACATCTACGAGTAACATGTGGATGGATGGAGGTGATACACATGTGAATAAGGATGTGGTAGCCTGGAAGTTACTGGTTTAGTTCTCTTCATCACAGTTTCTCAGATTCACAGTGCACACTCTGTGGACACTGAATTGTACTGACTACTGAGACTACAAGTGGTAAAAATTGATGTATTGAATGACATTTCTTAACTTTGTATTTACAGCTCTAAAACATCATATATGGAATATGACAAAACAGACATTTGTACTGCTTATGCTATAAGGAAGACAGAGCAGAGGTACATGTAGATTACAGTGGGTATAGATTTTATACCAGAATTCCAGGTTAAAAATTTGTGCAATTTATGATTAGACAAAACACTGTGTAATTATCACAAAAGTGCCTTTTGCAAATCAGTTATGATATATCAATTGACAATGAAAAACGTATATAGGAATTTTTGTGTTTCATTGGCTGTATGTCTTATTTCAAGAGGAATCTCACTGAGTTTAATAGAGGGAAATTCAATTTTATTTGACTGTTCTGATGTTGTAAAGATGCTTAAAAAGTAGTTTGTAATTTAATTTTTTGTGGAAACCAATTTAGATAAAGTATAGCAGTAATGCATTTGAGAGCCAAAAATTGACTTAGTAAGCCAAATTACAAGTTTTAATCAAAGAGTGTCTCGAAATATGTTGTCATGCAAAAATGTCTAAATCTTCCCTTAAGCTTCCTTCATTTCATCAACATCTTTTTGTTGTGGGAAGGTAGATTTTAACAATGCAAGTTGTAGATCAGAATACCCATATTTTTTTAATAAGATGTCATCTACTATTATGATAATGGGATAAGTAACAGCAACAGTTGCAATATTTGATGAAAGTGTGATGAGAGCATTTCATTTCATTGATATTTATAGAACAAAACAAATAAACCTTAACATTTCAGCTAAAAATGGTTGTATTTTGCTTATTCATTCCATATCTGCATCAAATGTGCCATGTAAATGTCTGCAAGGGCATGACTTCAGTTTATATTCAAGCTTTCAATTATATCAATCATAAAAGAACAAGTTATGTCATGCTCCTTTTTAGAGCAAAGGAGGCTTTTCCCCCTTATGAAAGGGTTTTAGTTCTTGTTTATGTATGAAATACGCCTTGTATTTAGAGAACAACTGGATTAAGCTGTTCGTCAGTACCCTTTGGCGTAGACGATTACGGCACAACCTCCAGAAAATCGTTGTCATCGTCGGTATGTTGAAGTTCAGGGTCATGAAGTTGTACCGTCTGCCCATCCGAATTTGCACCTCCTGTGGAACAAAATTATAGTCAATCTTACATGTACGTATGGGCATCACAAAGCAAAAAGTTTCCATGTTTAATTTCCTTTTCATATTTTTGTTACCTTCGACTTATCTCAAATGATTGTTCTTTTGAATAAATTATTAATTAATTCATGACATGTTTGACATCAGTAAAATATTCCTCTTTTCAGTGCACTTCATGTTTGCTGACAATCAGCATCCACCATTTGAAATCTACCGATATGATCAATATTTTGGAGCCAGTGATGTCTATAATATTGAGTATAACTTATTTATTCTTAAGTCTGCCAATACTGTCCAAGAAATGTGAAATGGAAATATAGCCCATGGATTCGACATAATGTGCGCATGCTTGCAATACAACGTCAATAAAGTGACAAACGAGACATTAAAAAGTCCTACCTTCAGGCAGGACTCTAGCTGCTTTATTTCGGTTGTTGTACAGGGTGACAACGTACTTTGTGTCATCACTTTCGTACGCTTCGAACACAACATCTGCCGTACCACCGCCAATGGACCCTCTCATCATTAACAGTCGTGGGTCCGTATCTTTCTTGATGTGTACGGGGCTTTTCGGCGTAAAGCCTCCTTTCTGTCGACAGAATATCAAATTCTGAATGAACAATGTTCTCACATTTGGATGAACTTGGTATCACTCGAGACGCCATTTGCTACACAAAAATTATTATTTTCTTTCTTTCCTCTGTTCTTCTCTTGCTTACCTTCAGAATCACCTTAGCGTCTGGATACTCTGGACCGATGATGAACTTTCCTGACCGTACAAACTCCAGTACAACAAAGGTCCCGTCTTCAGGTGAAGTTGTTTTGAAAGTGTACACCCACAAAAGCGCTGGAAAGAAATGAAATACAAGAGAAATATAGGTCCAAAACTTATAACCATATTTTCATGTGTACAAAATTAATTTTCACATTTTGTCTCTTCTATGTTTGTACTTGAACTTATGATAAAAAAATACAACTTAGGGTCATTGCCAACATGAAAAATGTAGGTATTGGATTCGATGTGTTCCTGTGTCTGTTTCCGGATATTTGTGGTCAGCATAAGGAAATTATATCTATATAATATTAGATTATATTATATTGTTGTATAATCTATAGCAGATGGAACATTAAAAGATGCCAATTATGTCAATGATAGCCTAATTTGCATAGTAGATACAAACATACAAAATTTCATACATGTGACATGTCTATGCCAGATGATAAAGGTAAATATCACTATATATGCAGAGATCATGTAAAAGTGAATTTCATTTACATAAACGTTAAAATGGATTTCTGGCAAAGGAAAGGACGTCCACACATGCAATGTATGTAACTTGAGTAGAGACCATTAATCAAAATATATCATGCTAATTACAACATTTCCACAATAAGCGAGACAATATAAGCCAACAACACTTGTAAACGCTCTAAATATTTCATGGATGTGTGAAGTTTCCGAACTTTTGTTGTTGACATTGTTATCTGTTTTGATCTTACATGAATGAACATAGACTCATATTTGTCATATTTAGCAGCATAATTTCAATTTTTCACTTCCCCATTTTATCAATGTTTGGCAGTTTATATAAATGTTTAGAATAAATGTCCGTTGACTCATTCTAGCTGCGATGCTGTGACAGTTCTTTCGACGTTTGTGTGAACTGTTCAAAAAGTACCCGTGGCATGTAAATGTTGCAATCGGGAGGGAGCCAGGTATTCCAACGGAAGAACAAACTTGTGAGACTGTCTCTTACCTTTGCTCTTGTTTTTCTCCGTAAGGGGTGCCCAAGTCAACCGTCCTGTGGGGTTCCCGCCCCATCTCTTTGTTTTCTCAATGAGATAGCCGTAGTGACACTTTAACAGTCGTGCTTCGACTTTCTCAAACGCAAGCACCGGGTCCTTCGTCAGGAGTAAACAGATAACAGATAGTAGCTATAACTGACATGCTGTTTATTGTCAATCTCCAAGCAGATCTTTCGGTGGCAAGACAGTTGGCCAGAGGAGTGTCCATTAGCCACCGAAGGGTTGGGAAATGGATACAGGACGGCCAATGGATACGGTCTTTCGCCACCCAACCGAAAGATCTGCTTGGAGGTTAGTAATAGACTGCCGTGATAACAAACAAATCAACACTAAAACAAGTCAGAGATAAAAGCCAAGTCAAGATCGACTCAGCTCAAGCTTACTTTTGGGCTGTCTTTGCCCTCTTCTGCCATATTGACGCAGTGAGAATGAGGTTGTACTGCACACTAAGCCTTGTTCTTCCACGTCAGCTCAGACCAAAACTCTGCACAGAAATGCGGGATCAAGTCCCCCAGCCCGTTTATATACCCTTCCCTTTATATACCACGCTAAAAATAGAGACAGGTGAAAAATGAAAAAAATATTGAATTGACCCAGGTCGCGTTCACACAGGAAAGTTACAGCTGGCTTGGTCCCCCGCCTTACGTTTCCACTCAAGCCTGCTCAAGCATCACAAAAATAATGTGTCCCTCATTGAAGTTAAGGTTAGGGGTTTACAATAGTGCATTCTTGTGTAGGTTCTGACATAGACCTAAGTTGCGCTTTTGTGACCAAGGTTTGCCGCCAGCTACCTTGTTTTATTAAGGCCGTGTTGATGGAAGCATGGACAATCTGGGCCACAGTTATGCAATGCTCAATCAAATCCGGTGCCATTTTGTGCGCTCTCAAATGGGAAATGTTTCCCTGTAACAGATTTGCAGACAACTGACAACGCTGGAAAAGGGAGTCCTTTGTTTTAGAAGAAAGATATGATATACATGCGATCAACTTATTAGAAAATGTGAGTTGTTTTTATGATTATATGATCACAGCATGATGCTTCTCCATCCTCTGAGTTGGGCCTTCTCACAGCCACTTCACGTTCAATGAGAACACACTTCTGTTCGGGCTTTTGATTGTTAGATGAGTTGTTAAGTCGGTGTTTGCAAAGGTGATGGCCATGGCAAAGTTCAACAACCCTCCTCCATTAGTAAAAACCCTTGTGCCGTGTGTTTAATACTGCAGCTCCGCGGCAGGTCTGTGACTTTATTGTCACTGTTGCGCTCGGTTAGCACTACAAAGTTTTTTGAAGACTCGAATACGGACGTTGGAATTGTTGCTTTTTTTGCGTTTAGAGTCTGGAGACACAAATTTTGGCACATTTGGCACAAATGAAAAATGATGTATACAGATGTAACGTTATATATTTTGTACATCTGCAAACAGCAAACAAATATAGTACATACACATTACCTTACCTATTACGCCATTATTTCTCACGATGCAAAGTTCCATACAATATATTTTACATGTTGTGTTATCATTTGATGTAGATTTCACATGCACAGACTAGGTGATTGCAAAGGAGTCCAGAATATACCACAAGAACAGTTAATATTACACATTATTTCTTAATATATCAAGCATGCATGGTGGAAAACTTATCTTAAAGCTTTGATGTCAAAAAATAGTCTTGTTATTCATCATGATGGTATTCAGCAATAGTATTATATGTAGATACCTGACTTGTATCATTGGGCATGTAACCGTGACATGTACATGCTAATCTTATAAAAGTTCAGCTTGCAATGTTTTACACATCAGTAGATTTAAAATGACTTTGTCTTTCCTGATACAACTTTTAAAGGTATACATACAGAACCAATGGTTCCAAATAATATGGAAGTTGATAGTATAATGACCTCTCAGATTATGTTATCTACAAAAGTAGTAAAATGTGTCATTGCAATTAGTTCTCACTTTTTCTCTCTTCTCTCCTTGATGCCTCTAGGCCAAAGGCGTGCAAGTTTTCAATTGCATTTAGTACAATCTGTATAAAATCTTTATTATGTACAGTCAACTGTTTAAAATGATAATGATACTAAGTGATGATGGTGCAGTCAGAACTGCCCAAGAAGACCACTCAGGGGACTGATAAAACCTGGTCTATGTGGACAGGTGGTCATTATAAACAGGATTCTTCACATTTGTGATAATGGAAGTGAGCCCCAAGAAGGGGTCACATTGGCCAGGTGGTAGAGGGACAGGTTTGGCTGTACTGGAAAACACAGAATCAGCCTAGAAGGACAGTACTATTACTTGATGCTGTAGTGTCCCTGACAAGCTCTTTCCTCTGGTCAAAGCTGGCCAACAAGAATCCCTCAGTCTCCATCTTGTTACAGACTGGTTAGTCCTGGTCCTGACTTCTCTCTTTCTCTTCCTCTACTTCCTCAATAACTCCAACAGCCTGTAGAGGAAGAAAAAAATATTAACAGATGTGCTAGCATTGTTTTAGTGTGACAGGTCTTTCAGTGTGATGTAACCAGTCACTGGTATGTGCCTGTGAAGCTGGAGTGTTATGACAAAAGGTGGTTATACTGGCTGACCGACTCAGGTTCAGACAAATTACATGGGGCAGCCAATATCACCACACCAATTTTTGATTTATAACAGGTCTGTTTGCCTTTTATGTGGATGGTGTTCAGCACCAAGGACAGGTGTGTTTGTTCTGTGTATGGATGGTATTCAGCACCAAGGACAGGCATGTTTACCTGTGTGTGGATAGTGTTCAGTACCAAAGACAGGCATGTTTACATATGTGTGGATGGCATTCAGCACCAAGGACAGGCATGTTTAACTCTGTGTGGATGGCATTCAGCACCAAGGACAGGTGTGTTTACATATGTGTGGATGGTGTTTGATTCTAAGGCGTGAGTGAATGCGTGAGTGAATATGTTAGCTTTCCAATTGTGTCAGGTATATACGCATAATATGTAATCTCAGTCAGATGTACGTATTAGTGGGGCCATCAATTTAGTTTTTTTATCTTATTTATCTTTTAATAAGTTAAAGTCTGTGTTGAGTTGTCCCATGCAGTGTGACCAGCAGCTGTGTGGATGGTGTTCAGCACAAGGGACAGGCATGTTTACATATGTGTGGATAGTGTACAGTACCAGGGATGGGTTCAACTGTATGGATGGCATTCATCACCAAGGACAGGTATGTTTCCATATGTGTGTATGGTGTTCAGCACCAAGGACAGGCATGTTTCATTATGTGTGTATGGTGTTCAGCACCAAGGACAGGTATGTTTCCATATGTGTGTATGGTGTTCAGCACCAAGGACAGGTGTGTTTACCTGTGTGTGAATAGTGTACAGTACCAGTGATGAATTAACCTATATGAATGGCGTTCAGCACCAAGGACAGGTGTGTTTACATATGTGTGGATGACGTTCAATTCTAATGCGTGAGTGAATGTGTGAGTGAATATGTTAGCTTTACAATCGCTGTCATGTAAATTTTCATTATGCAATGTCAGTCAGATGTACTTATTAGTGGGGCCATCAATTTATATTTTCTATTTTATAAGTTAAAGTGTGTGTTGAGTTGTCCCATGCAGTGTGACCAGCAGTTAACCATCATATATCATGGGTAAAACCTCCTCCAGTCTTACCCATACATAGAAGGTTGCTGCCCCCCCACTGACATCCCGGACAGAATCCAGATCAAACTGATCCAGGATCTCCTTGGCTCGTGCCGCGGCCGCCGGCGGAACCTTCATGGGATCACACTCCAGGACTCGCCGCTTCAGACCGTCTTTCCCCGTCTTACCCACCAGCGCCTGGACTAGCTTCCAGTTCTGTATGCAAACAAACAAGGTCACGGACACCATGTGACTCACCTTACCAGACTCAGGCTTGGTTTCAGCCAGCTGAACTACCACCTATTCCAGCATCACTGTATCAGTAGTCCCGAGTGCAAATGTGGGCATCCGAATGAGACACCAGAACACTATTTATTACACTGCACATGTTATAATACTGAAAGGACCAAAATGTTGTTATCCATATCTTGCCTTCATCTTGAAAACATACTTCTTTCCGACCCACTCAATGCAAACGACGCCACATTATGTACTCTACTTCTTACAGGTAGCCCCTCCCTCCCATACCCTACCAACTGCCGTATCTTTGATATTGTGTTTAACTATATCCACCACTCTGGAAGATTTGACCAATCTCAATAATGTTATGCTAGGTATTGGTGCGCCAGCCACTTTCATTTTATGTTAATGCTATACTTTATGTCATCTTTATGTTTACATTTGTATTATGTTTTATGAGCAGCGGATTTACATAAGCACAACAAGTGCTTCCTATCCAATGCTCAAAAATCCATGTGAATAAAATAAAAAAAAAAAAAAAAAAAAAAACAAGGTACTGTTATATTGTACTGTGAGTAGTGCTTGTGCAATCTTCCAGTTCTGTATACAAGCAAACAACAAGGTCCTGTTGTATTGGACTGTCAGTATTGTTTGGACAAGCTTTCAGTTTTCTACACAAACAAACAAACAAACAAACAAACAAAAGGCCATGTACGAATCATGAATGTGAATGAATCATGTTATTGAGGTGCACAGGTTTTAAAATGCAGAGGTTTTAAAATGCATACATAATGTAGATGATCAATATTATTCTTTTGCTTAAAGCACATAAAATGATTACTACTAGTATTTCTAGAGTAGTTCTAGATTATTGCTATACACACAATCATACATGTAATACTATGTACTGGGTATGTATCATAACCATTCAAATGTGTCGACATACGTTTTTAAGGTTCTTCAAAATGAAGAAATAAAGATTACAAAAGAGACAAAAAGATGATCAAACAAATAAACAAACAAACAAAAACAAACAAGGTCCTACCTTGGTCTCCTTCTCCGGGTTGCCCAGTAGCAGGTATGTGGCGATCATGACTTGGTGCACTGCGGCGGGGGGTTTGGAGTAACTGCGGATCTCTGCGACTGTGGACTGTTTCAGGTTCTGTACCTCCTGACGTAGTCTCTCCAGTCTCTTCAACCGAACCTGGACAGCAGAGGTTATGTTAGTGTATGAATAGTTTTATCAGGTTGGGAAGTCACTGAGTAAAGAAATTTTTTTATACAACCATGTCTTTTATTCATATGTGTAGATATGTACTAAATATTGTACGTTTGGGAATGCATCTATAGCAGCGACACCTGTGCTGCAGTGCAATGTGAACCAGTCAGAATTACCCTGAGGAAGGTGACAGACTTTGTATCTCCTTCAATCCTATATCTGCAGTTGTTGCACTTCTTACATTGTGCATGTATTGTTAAATTACCATCAGTGACTAACAGACATTATTTTTGAAAATTAAACAAAATTACAAAACAGGAAGAGAGACATTTAGTGCATGCTACCTGAAACGTCTGACCGTTTCCAAAATCATATCCAGTTGCTTGAGTAACTGTTTTTTTGCCCTATCTTATTACCTGGATGTCTAACCTTCACTGAAGTAAACTCAGACATACATGATACGTACCATGAGTTTGTTAGCCTGGATCATTTCTTCAGGCATGTCCACTTCAAACCCTCCCTTCTTCACAGCTGTTACAGCCTTCTCCAGGTCAGCCAGTTTCCGCTTCTTCATGGCATCAACAAGAGCTGAGAAAAACATTAACAACATGCAGATGGTTTTTGGCAACAGAACGTATAGCAGAATGTCAAAATTTTGTTCTGCAATTTGGAAATACTTTCTGCAAATATACACTTAGTGCAGACTTAAACCCATGGCATATACAAAATTGCATGTTGGCAAACATTTTGCATGCAATTTGAAAAAGCCTTAGTTTTTTCAGTCTGCAAATTTGCAGGTTGCTTAATTTTTCTTCTGCAATATTGAAAATGTCTCTGCAATATGTAGACTGCAGGTGAATACTGTACGGTAATTTTCTAACATTCGGTCAGGGTAACTATTTGTTGTATGGCCTGAAAAACGCTGCCTTTAACTTCACCAAAATACCATAACAGTCACATAATGTCTAAATTGTAGACTGATCTCCCTTACTGTCTGGTAAGAATGCCATTACTGGACTTGCTGACAATGAGTCCCAGTCTACGATAATTCGACAAGCATGCAACAGTGAAGACTAAACTCCCTTAGTTAACAACCCACTGCCCCTACAGCCTGAAAAAAGGCTATGCTTTAAACTTTACCGTAAAAGCTAACTATGTATAACTCAAAAGTGTAGACTGACCTCCCTTAGCCTGGTGCATCTTAATGAGCCTCTCTGCTGCGGCCAAGTCTCCGTCCGTGTCCTTCAGCTTCGCCTTCTTAAACTCCTGAATCGCCGACTCCAACTTCTTCTTCTCCTTGGACTTCACCGCGACCTTGAGGTTGTTCCTGATGCGAGACTCTCGCTCAGCTGGTCAGGAAAACACATAATGTATACATTATTCATGTTTACTGAAGGAAAACATATTAACTGTTTTTGCTCATTTTCTTTTTCCTCCTCTTCTTCTTCTCCAAACAGTGACCTGAACAATGTTGTGTCTGTTACCATGGTAAAGAAAACAAGGAATTTTCATACTATCATGAAAGTTCATCTGTGTTGGTAGTTACATGTTTAAAGTTTGAACTTTTGATCCAACACAAAAAGTTCTCTCACCTAGACTTTTCGACCAGTCACTCCGGTCTTCTTCAGTAGACTGACCCAGTGAGGCTTGTCACATGGCTTCTCTGAAGTGTGACGTCAACACTGGGTCAAAGGTATCTGGTAGACTACTGAGGAAGACTAGAGTGACTGGTCGAAAGCTCTAGGTGAGAGAACTTTTTGTGTTGGGTCAAAAGTTTTAACTTTAAACAAGGAATATCTGTAGATATACCACTTTGAAATACATGTAGTGTGTTTGAGAGATCTCTAGTGCAGCATACTCAAATCTATATTGTACAAACCTTTAGCTTTTTCCTCTGCTTTTTTCCTGGCCTTTTCTGCAGCCTCCTTCTCTTCAGCTGTTTTTGCCTTCTTGGCTGCCTCCATAGCCTCTTCTGCCTCCCTCTTAGCCTGGTTCTCAGCCTCCTCAGCTTCCTGTATCACATCAATCAAACACTAGTAAACAAGGATCCTCAAATGTCTGAGTACCCAGGCTATGGCTGTGCTTTTTTTAGTGTACAACAAACCGCATGCAGCACTTCAAGCCACTTGAGTAACTGAAAACATTTGCAACTGAGAAATATATGCATTGACTTTGTGTTAGCATGCAAACGTGTCTGATAAAATGTCTTGATATAGAAGGACAGCCTCTGCCTCAAGAGTGATGCCCATATAACCACAGCAAAGACTTTGGCAGGCATTGAGTATTTTGATCATAGAAGCACACAGAATTTCTCCAAAAATTGACAAGCTAAATGCTGATACATCTAGTAAGAACTTACTGTACTCTGGGCTATGGAGTATCCTGTGTCCATTGTTAGAATGGAAATTGTACACATTGAGACTTAAGATCATACAGTCACATATTAATTCAAAGAAATATGTAAATTCATGGAACACATACACACACAGACACACACACACACACACACATGTGCACTCACACATACATATATGCTTCAACTAACACCAGTGAGATAATAACAGCTACTAATTGTTATAGATACAAGCAACACTGATACATTTTTTTATTGTATTCAATAAGCACATTACATGGGTTATACTACACTTTGATTTAATAATTATCTACAATGTTCAGCATCAAATATTCAGGACAAACCCTGGCCATACCTTAGCAGCCACCTCTGCATCCTTAGCCTCCTCTAACTCCTTACTCCTCTGCTCCTGCCTGGCTTTGGCCTCAGCCTCCAGTTTCAACTGGATCTCCTGAGCTCGTTTCACCTCGATCAGCTCAGCCTGACGTCTTCCCTCCTCCTCCTCCAGGCGTCTCTGTTCTTCCAGTCTCTGTTTCTCCTTCTCAGCTTCCAGACGTTTTCTCTCTGCCAGGGAAGACAGTTGTGTTAACTGGTAAGTTTATTGCAAATTCCTGCCCAAAAGCTAATTGCAAATAACAAAGATAAAAGGACATTGAAACAGAGTACAGAATCTTACATATTAAAAGGTATTAATTGTCTAAAACTATAGCTATTTCTAAAACTATGTCTGAAGGGTTTGACTTCTCTTTTGTAAACCTTGGAAGGCGAAATGTCATTGTGTTGGAAATGACAGTTTACACTTGCTTGGTAATTACTCCTACCAACACAGATGAACTTTCAAGATAAATATCATATCAGTTGAATTGTCATACATTTACAATGGATTATAATTTGAACTACAAGCAACATAATTTATCCAATTACTGAATCACAGCTGCAGTAAGATAAAATGACGTTTAGTAAATACCTTTCTCTTCTCTTTCTTTCTCCTCTTCCAGCCTTTTCTTCTCTTTGATCTTTTCTTCTTCCTTTTGCTTCAAGTTTCTTTCCTCCTCCTTTTTCCTGTTCTCTTCTTCTGTTCGTTTTCTCAGTTCTTCTGCTTCTCTCTTCTTCCTCTCTTCCTCATCTCTCCTCTTCTGTGCTGATCTTTGTTCTTCTCGTCTTCTGAACTTCTCTGTTGACAGAACAAAAAAGTGAAATCTAATATTTGCAAACGTAAAATTCTTCAAAACATTTGACCTGTAACTCATAAGAGAAAGAGATTCAGTACAAAAATTCTCTGAATAAAGAAAATCTCCCTGTACCAGAAAGGCCGACATTTGCTTTGGAGCAAATGCAGCAGATGGCTTCACCACATACCAAAAATGGGTTTCGTCCCCCTCCTGCACAAATTGATTGTTCAAGAATCACCCCTGTCCAAAATGATAAGTCTTCCAACAACCCATACCTCCATGCAGCAATGGAATCTTCCAACGCCTTCCGCAAATGTCAGGTCATTTGGCCCCAAAAATTGAATCCGTTTTACATGTACATGAGAGAACATTATATGGTTCACCACACCTGACTTTGTGGTATGGTGAAGCCATAATAAAAAGAAGCTATTTGCTGACCCTGTGAGTGTTGTTCCTCCTCCAGCTTCTCCCTGAGTACCTCCTCTCTGTTGGGGATGTTACAGAGATCCACCTCGATCTCTGAGAAACTCACACCGCTCTCGGGAAGGTGACGGGACTGCAGGAACTTCTGCCACTTCCTCTTGGAGAAGAGCTGCCCGTGTGCTGCCTCGAACATGAATCTGCAGGACAGAAACAACAAAACTTGTCATATTATCATGAAAGTTCATCTGTGTTGGTCTGTGTTCATCATAGTAAAACATTAAACTGTGTTGGTCTGTGTTCATCATAGTAAAACGTTAAACGTTCAACAGTGCCTAGTTATGACTGTCCTTATGACAAGTTTTATAGTAAAACGTTAAAGTTAAACTTTATTCCAACACACAATATACAAGGATCAAATTTTCAGCGACCACTGTCGCCTTATATCAATTGCTTACGTCACATATCAGTAAAGTCTCGTGTGAATAAGGTCACGTGTTTGTAAACCGTAACTCTCACGAGATCACGTTGTGAAGTGATTGGTCATTAATTATCCTGATGAAGGCGACAGTGGTCGCTGAAAATTTGATCCCTGTAAATTGTGTGTTGGAATAATAAAGTTTAACATTTTACTATAAAACTTGTCATAAGTACTGTCATGACGAGGCACTGTTGATAAATGAATAGGGATACAAACTAGAAACTTTAAAGTAAAATTTGTAAAGCAAATAATGCATAATGTTTACCTAATCGCATATGGTCTGCTCTTAGACTGTTAATTCTCACTCAAACACATTCATATCTATGGTGACAGGAGTCTAAATCCCTCCTGCTATAAAATTGCAACAAGATGTAACCCAACACCAGTTACCATGGCCACAGCCATCTGGTTCAGGTCATTGACCTTTGGTGCTTGGAGAAAAGGAAGCAGAGCAAAAACAATATGTTTTCCTTCGATAAACATGAAAAACTTACAGCACCTATAATGTGCAATACATTGAGAGGATCAATGGCTCTCATTGACTAAATTTCAGTCTCACAGCACAGAGCCAATGTTTCACCATTCCTTCATGCAAAACAGATGTATACAGATTTAGTTTTTTTCCCACAAACAATCATTGAATGGAACTACCTACCAGCACCAACTACAGACATCTTCAGGATGGGGTGGGCCTCCCCACTCCTTAGTCATTCATTACAGACACATTGCGGCCATGTACATAGCACTGTTTATTGTACACCATAAGCACTTTCTTGTTGTTGTTTTTTCCTTGAACTTTTTTTCCACCTCACCCCACCGGCCGCAATTGTCAAGACCCTGGGCGTGATGCCCCAGTTTGGGGCCTTGCCCAGTACGATATATAGATATACATAGATATAGCCAGTACAGTTTCTCTACTATAATACCGTGCTTGATCCGGAGTGACAGAGTCAGAGTGCCCGTGGTCCAGCAGGCTAAACTCCCACTTCAGGTCCTGTAGGAGATAGTATCTCCTGTCCATCTCCTGTAGGACATCATACAGCTCATCCTCCTCACAACCGTCACCTGCACACACATACTGGATAGATGCCTCCACCTACATAGACATAGGGAAATCATATATAGCATCATCATCATATCTGATATATTCAAAGACATTTCTCACGCTAGAAAGGTAACATTTGCAAGGCAAATGCATAATGTTTACCTTCACATATGGTCTGCTCTGTTAATTCTTACTCAAACACAATCATATGTATGGTCAAACAGGAGTATAAATCCCTCCTACTATGAAATTGCAACATTATGTAACCCAACACCAGTTACCATGGTCATGGTGAGAGACAGTCTGATCATTGACCATGTCAGAGGTCAGTGTTTGGAACAGAAGAAGAAAAAGAAGAAGAAACTGAGCAAAAACAATATGTTTTCCTTCAGTAAACATAACTATTAACCTGTTGCAGATTGATGCCCCCCTGCCTGATCTCAGCGTGCAGCACCTGTAGCTGGTGAGCATTCAGGTACCCAGCTGTCGGGCGCCTGGTGCGGAACACCTGCTGGATAACCGCCTTACGCTCCGCAAGGGTTCCCATGGTGCCTGCTGGCTGGAGACAGGAAATATCAGTCTGGAGTTGAGGCAATCCTACAAAATTGTACTTGACTAAAATGAGTTTAAGGCAAATAATCTCATTTAGGCTAATAATAAATGCTACTATCTATCAGATAATCACAAGGCACCGAGGCAGTTTTTATGACAAACCATAATTTTGATTATGTTCAAACAGGTTTTTCTTATAGCCCTTGAGTGTTCTATCTCATAACACCTGTTCTTATAGCACCTGTTCTTAGAACACCTGCTCTTAGAACACCTGTTTTTAGAACACCTGTTCTTATAGCACCTGTTCTTAGAACACATGTTTTTAGAACACCTATTCTTATACTATAGCACCTGTTCTTAGAACACCTGTTCTGATACATCTGTTCTTAGAGCACCTGTTCTTAGAACACCTGATCTTATAGCACCTGTTCTTAGAACACCTGTTCTTAGAGCACCTGTTCTTATAGCACCTGTCCTTAGAAAAGCCGTTCGAATGAAGAGATTTAGAATCATACTGTTCATTTTCCACACACTAATAAAGGAGGGGGGCGAAGGAGAATAGTAGACAGTTAAGCGATAACAAACTCTTATTGTATCGTCTACGAGATCTGGCCTTCCCTTAGAATAAACTTATAAACCACAGAATGTTCTCAAATTAATGCACAGCTTGCAAAAAATGCTCAGTACTAGAAAAAGTAGGCTTGAAACTTCCTGGTTCGGTGAGGTATAAAATCGCCCCCCTCCCCCTTCGACCGAGAAACTAGGACGATTTAGAACTCACCTCTGACAGATTCACACTGATTATGCAGCGATCAGCCGTACACTCAAACTGTGATTTAGACAGAAAACTTCTCCGTGGATCTGTAGAACTTGTTCAGACGACAAAAGAAGACATTTCTGGACAGAAGAAGACGTCACGACAGCCGCTGCCTGGCAACGGGAAGCCTCTGCGTCAGGGCCGCACGTTTTGCGGCAGGTGCGATTTTGCGACAGTAGTTACCAAATTAGTAAGGATCGTATATATTCCGCGTAATGGATCGTATGTATTCCGTAAGATTCGTATGTTTCTAGTAATTGATCGTATGCATTCCGTAAAATTCGTATGTTTCTAGTAAGGATCCTATTTTTTCCGTAAACTTCGTATGTTTCTAGTAAGGATCCTATCATTCCTATGTATTCCGTAAAATTCGTATGTTTCTAGTAAGCCTGAGGCTATTGACAGGATCGTCCTGTCAATAGCAGAAAATATTGCACTGCTGACAGGACGATCCTGTCAATAGCAGAAAATACTGCACTGCTGACAGGATCGTCCTGTCAATAGCAGAAAATACTGCACTGCTGACAGGACGATCCTGTCAATAACAGGAAATACTGCATTGCTGACAGGATCGTCCTGTCAGCAGTGCCATTTTTGACACTATTGACAGGATCGTCCTGTCAGCAGTGCCATTTTTGGCACTATTGACAGGATTTTTTAAATCTTCCATTTTGGGCTGTATTGACATGATTTCTTCATGTTTTCATTTTTTTTAACCATGTTTTCATTTTTTTTTTCAGTCNAAGGATCCTATGTATTCCGCAAACTGCGTATGTTTCTAGTAAGGATCCTATGTATTCCGTAAACTTCGTATAATTCTAGTAAGGATGATCCTGTCAATAGTGCAAAATTATTGACAAGGCCATCCTGTCAATAGTGGAAAGTTTTCTGTTATTGACAGGATGGTAAAAGTGCAAATTTTCTGTTATTGACAGGATATGGTCCTGTCAATAGACACATCCAAGTAGGTAATTCACTGACTGAGACTGACATGTTCTGACATTCTTAACGTTAAACCTGCTTAAAGGTCATACCTGTACTAAAGAAAGCTTTGAAAACAGACTTTTCCGTGAATTTTAGAAATTTGCAACGTAACTACATCAATCAAGTCTTTACTTGTACTCTAATAAAGTGGTTATAATGTCTCTATTTACCCTTGAACCTCGCTTGAAGTCCACGGTCGTAGTTTCCGTGTTTGTTTAGCTCAATTGTACCTGATAAACACAGTTCGAAGGCCACAAATGCCGCCCAGACATAGCAAATTAGCTCATAGATTGTTTGTTTGACCATTCCGACCACATTTGGATCCTTGACCTTGTGGTAAAATTAGTTGCAAGGGTGGTCCACTTAGACAAACCTCTGATCCTTAAACATGTATGTTCTTATCTTTTCGCCATCATAGTCTCTACCTGGCTTCGAGAGGCGGCTGGAAAGAGTAGAAATCGGCCAAATAGCTATAGAGAGTTAACATGCCAGGGGAGTTGGTCCACTCTAGAGTACAGTTTGCCGATTTCTACTCTTTCCAGCCACCTCACGAAGCCTGGTAGAGGCTACATCATAGAGAAACGAGGAGAATTCAAATTTACGTAATTATAAAATAGATTATGGCGCTAGTGCTAGCTTGATCATGTATAGTTGTATGTATATACAAGACATTCCTTTGTACTTAACCCAGTGGGTATTTTTGTACAATAAAGGTCTTCATTGTTAATTACGAACGTTACCTGGAACCTAGCTAACTGGTTTTATTCACTTGAAGGACAAGTCGGACTACAGTCCGCTGTAGGGTCGGCCAAACTCCCAACGGGTTAGATTCCCACGTAGCGGTGATTTAGACCGGCGGGCGAATGGCTTCTGGCTGCCGAAGGGAAACGGCTGGCGGCCCGAAACGAGTCTGGCACCCAGGGTACAGCCTGTATAATGTGCTCTTGCATATCTGCTGTGCATACCTGCCGGGGGTGCTACACTAGTAGACCTCTCTAACACATGACTGTTTTTCAAAGTGGTGGATATATATGTCACCTGAATAAATGTTAGTTTACTACATTGTCTTAATAATATACATAATCAATTCAAAGGCAAAGAGAGCCTATAAGAAGCAGGATTGCGTCATGGTATGTGTACGAGCGGTCAGGAGTCTAAAGGCCACGCACAACTTGTCAGATACTTCCTTATTGACATTTCTTTTAACACTACGTTAAATTCTATGAATTCTCAGTAGGCTAACGGTCATCCACGCTTAGGGTGACTAAAATGCTATTTTAAGTATTATAAAATTCTTTGAAAAGTGTATTTTTTTCCTAAGCTTGTAGGCAAAAACACAGAATATATCCTGAATAACACTCGCAGGTGTGCAAAGGTGGAAAAAGTATTGATTTTGGTAAAAAGCGATCTATTTGCAAGGCACATGCGCAGAACTGAGACCGGTATTTGGTCCAGTGAACTGTCATAAGGTAGTTGGAGAAAGCCCAGTCTGCGCTGCACAAGTTTTCCAGCTGTCTAAAAACCGTGAGTAGTCTATATTTTTTCTGCGGGGACCCATATGTGCAAACCTTGTGAACTGCATGTATCGATAATGTTATACATTCCACGACAAAACTGTTTTACATGTACAGTCTAACTTTACTTGAATGCTTCCGTATCAAGGTAGCAACTTTTCGAACAATATATATATATGAACCGGCATTTGCTTTTATAATCAATATATTGGTCTGTTTTGAAAGCTATTTTCATTTCATGATAATCTTCTAATTTTTGTTGGTTTGTTTCATTCTTCTATATTTGGCCAATTTGAGTAAGAAGTATGCACTTACACAACTAAACAGCTACAGTGATATTCCAATATATTCTTTTAGAAAATATGCTATATAGTACGTGGCGAGTAGACTTTAAATTTGTTTCAAAGCCTGGGTGCCATCGTGCTTGTATATACATATACTGGATATATATATATCTTAAGATATTTCAGGGAGCCCCGGTATACAAATAGGATGATGCTGCATAAGGAAGTAAATGCATAGCGATTGTTAGAATGTACATTTAGGTAGGTGTCGATACTTGCTGTAACGGTTCACATAACTTAACATTTTTCTAAAGTCGGGTACCTAAATTAAATGTTGCTTGTAGCCTCTTCAGCAAGGGTAGGCAAGTTTTTGTTGACTTATAACGTTGTAGATCAGTTCTGATCATGACCCTGTTTCTGTTAGCATGTCTATCGTTACCATAAAAGCCAAATGGTCGTATGATCCTAGATCGACCTAAGGAGGTTAATAGTCACAATCCAACAGTTGATCTACTTTTATCTTTTTCTATCTTGTCAACGGCTGCATTATATACCGTACCTTAATATAATACCATGTCACATCCAAGGTTCGTTCCGAAGAGCTCACCAACGTGGCCCAATTGATCTAACTGAATAAAAGTGTCTGTGGCGTCAAAACACTTTGTAAACGATTCGTACTCTAAAATCAATGAAAAAGATCTATATTTTCTTTCGCGCATGTTTTCAACTTGCAAAGATATTACTGTACCTATCACATTGTCAAGACGTTATGCTAAAATGAGAAAGTGTGAATTTGCGAGAAAACTGATATGCATATCATAACGTTTACTGTCAAAACAGTATCGATACTTGGATACTCGATTATTCCATTAACTTTCATACACGTACAAAATACATATACAAAGCCATTAAAATTACGAAGTTTCTTAATCATATACACCTATTACGGCTTCAAATCTCGCGCGTTCTCGTGATCTCGCTCTGAGAGAGATTCGCGAGAGTTCCTTCAGTTGTTTTTATACTATCGGCTTGTGTCGTGAGTAGAGGGTTAGTTGTGTAATCACGCACTGTAAAGCCTACTGATGGAGACAGATCGCAATGTTGTCCCAAATGATTGTCATGTTACTACAACAAAGTGATTGTCACGTTTACTATACTGCAACACAACTCGAAATAGAACATGACTTCACTGTTGTTGAACCCAAAATATGTACTTCCACCACTTTCACCGATTCTTGTGGAAGTTTAAATAGAGTGGGCGTGAGTCATTTAATGACAGGTTGTAGCGTATTGGGCCAGTCTTGCATTTTGCAAACGTTCGAAAGATTTTCTCCGAAACACACACGGAAGTCCGGGTCGCAGTGTATTTTTAGTCTCTACCAGACTAACTACGCTGGCTACACTGTATATATAGCTGAATATTTGCCAGGGGGGTTTGGCCACCTTGTAGGTTTGATTGGCCGCGAAGTTCGGAGGGAAAGAAACTACCTCCCCGCGGCTCCCCCCCCCCGGACTCCCTTGACCAATTTTACTCTCTTTTTTGCCAAATTCTACGATCCGTATTCCCGTAGAAAGGCCTGGTGGAGGCTAGTGTATTCTGACCAGAGGTTGCCAAACTAAATGAAGAACATCAAATAGTGACTCCGTGCACGTGAATAGTGTCATCAGGTTGGTAAGACACTGAGTAAAGAGACTCTTTTTTACTTTTATTCAGCCGACGTTTCGGTGACCGTCTGTCACCTTCCTCAGGGCAATTCTGACTGGTTCATATAACACATGTGTAGATATGTACATATTGTATGTTTGGGAATGCATCTATAGCAGCGACACCTCAGCTGTGCAATGTGGACCAGTCAGAATTGTCCTGAGGAAGGTGACAGACGGTAAACGAAACGTCGGCTGAATAAAAGTAAAAAAGAGTCTCTTTACACATATTGGTAGTGACTTTTGGCATCGCGTTCAAAGGTTGGCAACAGGACACAGCGTTCTCTTTAGAGAACCAGAGCAGTAAAACTCACTTCGAAAAATGTAATGGCTCTCAGTGGCAAATGTGCTGATGATGACACTTGGCGCACCAAATCCGTAGTGTGCTTTTGGCCTAAGAGGCTCGGTAGGCGTCACTCCACGCACCGTTCAAGAAAGTCGTGTGAAATGCCTTTCCCAAGGTTAAGGAGACAACGACGGGCCACGGTGAGTATCGAACCCGGGACCTATTGGTTCCGAGTCCAACGCTCTAACCGTTGCGCCACCGACGCCACATTAACTCACTTAACCTGTCAATACGATGTAACAAGCAACTTACCGTTGGGAACGAAAACTTTATACTTAAAAGGATGAGGCAGCACAAGCCATTCTTTCAAACCTTTGAACACAAAATTGTTGACTTAATTTTAGGGCACTCAAAGCGATTTCGGGACAGTAAAGTTTATTTTCAAAGCCAATTTGCCTCTCTGTCTCTGCCATGCTAGTATCTATTCGTCTAGTAAATCTAGCAATCGAATTAACTACATAGAGAGACAAACATCATTATACAGTTATACAATGTTGTCAACTTTATCATCACTGACTATACTTTCTTCATATGTCACACAGGACGAAAGATCCAAGATGGCGTCAGGTCTGCCCATCCAACCTCAGAACGTGAACGGTCGCCTTAAACTTGACCTGAGTAACCAGGGTCTGACGTCCATCCCGGAGGAGGTGTTCGACCTCACCGACCTCGAGATCCTCATCGTGTCCAACAACAGACTAACCGCCATTCCTGAAGCGATAGGCCGTCTGCAGAAACTTCAGTGGTTAGACGTTGAGCACAACATGGTAACAACATTGCCGAGGTCTGTATGTTCACTGTCCAACCTTGAAGTGTTGATTGTCAGTTATAACAGTCTTTATTCACTACCTCCTGGTGCGGAATTTGCAAAGATGAAGAAACTAACACAACTGTACATCCACGACAACCATCTAACAGAGGTTCCATCAGGGGTTTGTACTCTATCCAACCTTGAGGTGCTCACGGTCGGTAAAAACCCCATAAGGAGCCTTCCTGAAGATATCACACGTCTTACTAGACTGAAAAGTCTGGACATTGTGTCCTGTTTGTTTAGAGAGTTCCCCAGACAGGTGCTGAAGTTGAAGTTGCTGGAGAAACTATTTGCTGGACAGTACAAGGGTAGAATGTTCCACGAACTTCCAGATGAGTTAGAACAACTGCAACACCTGTGGTACTTGTCTTTGTCGAACAATGCTCTCAGAACACTACCAAGCACCTTGAGTGGCCTACACAACGTACGCGAGGTCTACCTCAGGAACAACAAGTTTGAAACTTTCCCAAGAGTCCTGTGTGAACTTCCTGAAATGCAGAAACTCGACATTAGGAACAACCAAATCACCAGGCTACCAACCAGCCTTCACAGAGCAGACAAGCTCTATGACTTGAGGGTTTCTGGAAACCCCCTGTCGTACCCTCCTCGTTTTGTGTGTGAACACGGGACCAGTGGCATTCTGGCCTTCCTGAGGCGAGAGGCTGAGAAACTGGACCGGCATCTAGACTACACTACAGATGCTACTGGAGGCCAGGCATTGGATGAGCTACAGGCAAAGTGAGTATACTAAGTATTTAATATACATTGGGCCATTGCATGCAAACTATCTCTTTATAGTGGACAATGTCAATCAGGATAAAATGTACGTGTGTGTGCGCGCGCGTGTGTGCATGTGTGTGTGTGTGCGCGCGCGCGTGTGTGTATGCTTGTGTGTGTGTGTGTGTGTGTGTGTATGCGTGGTGTGTTTGTGTATGTGTGTGTGTATGTGTGTGTGTATGTGCATGCGTGCGTGGGTGATTGTACGCGCGCAGCTAAACTTCCGCTTTTGTATCTTCAGACAGGACATCTTATAGTCTTGTTCTACCTAAAACTACATATACAGAGTCCAGTCTATACTATACTAGACAACTTACCTTCCAGAATGTAGATTTGTCGCTATTATAATAGTATAAAAACGGCTAATCGTCACTGCCAATCGTCTATGTCTTTGCTACCTGCAATTAGCATGGACTTACAACAAACATTATCAATTATTTGCAGTGAATCCTCTCCATTGCCTGATCGAAGGACAAGTCTGGACCTCCTGACGGTTGACGAAAGCTTTCCCGTCATCCACTACGACCAGCTCGACTTTCCCGCGGAGGCGTACTTGGGTCACGGCGGGTTCGCCTCGGTGGAGAAGGCCTACCATCGGGACTGGAAACAGAACATCGCTGTCAAACGTCTGCTTCCGCATCAAATACAGGGGAGGTCAGTGTGGACATCACCAACTCTTGAAAAGTTAAAAGTTATTACACTTACTATCGAGATTTGGCAAGTACAGTTTGTGGACACAATTGTGCGAATTAAGGTTAACGTTTTAAGCGTAGGGTTTTAAGCTTAGGGCTGTTTTTTTTCACTAAAAGACGTTTGTATTTCTAAGATTATCATTGGTGGTTTTTAGAGTGATCTTACAGGATAACAGGACAAAAATCACCGAATGAGCTAATAAAGAAATAAACAACTTATTTTCAAAGAAAATCCACGAGTAAAACTTCCTGCAAAGCAAAGTTTTTATCCAACACAAAGAAATTCTTTCACCTATAGCTAGAGCTTTCAACCAGTCACTCTGGTCTTCCTCAGTAGACTGACCCAGTGAGACTTGTCACGTGGCTTCTTTGAAGCTTGACATCAACACTGGGTCGACTGTATTTGGTATTTTTTTGTGTTGGATCCAAACTTTTATCTTTAAACTTCTTTTCTCTTATGCCATTGAAGTGAGCGGGAGCTTCTGTACTCGGAGGCGAGGAAACTGAACCTGGGCAGCCGCTCAGACCACGTCATCAGTCTGCTGGGGGTCTGTCTGAAGCCTCACTTCGCCATCGTGATGCCCTACATGGAGAACGGCTCTCTGGCCGAGCTGCTGCTGCGGGATGTGGACGTGCCCTGGGCCCTGAGGTGGAGAATGGCGCACGAGATCTCCCTGGGGATGACTTTCCTGCACTGCCAGAACCCGCAGATTCTCCACTGTGATCTGAAGACGGAAAACATTCTTCTTGATAGTGACTTCCACGTGAAGGTACGACGTAACGGCCATTGTTTCTTAATCTTGCTTATCAATTTAAGAATTGCAAACCTTTCTCTGACTGTAGCATAGTATAGAGTTCCAAAGAAGTGCCATTTGCAGAAATCATTGAATGGATAAGACAATGAGGTCAAGTGGCGTAGCGGCAGCGTGCTCGACTCGGAACCAAGAGGTCCCGGGTTCTAGTCCTGACATGCCACCGATCTTGTGCCCTCGGGAAAGGCACTTTACACCGACTTTCCTGAGTATTGTCTTGTCCTGTATTCGTCCTCTCCGTTGGTGGCGGCTTGAAATAAGTTGAGATATACCTTGAGTGTGCTGTCACCATTTCTAGTAATGAAATGTTGGAATATATATATAAAAAAAGAATAAGACAGTTCATCAAACTTTTTTTAAAATCAGATTTCAGACTTTGGCCAATCGAAATGGAAGAGTCAGTCACGTGTCCTGACCGGAACGAGCCCCAAAGGAGGCACGATCACGCATGCGCCGCCGGAGTTCTTGGACGACATCAATCACGTGCCGACCACCAAGTTTGACGTCTACAGGTACCAGCATGCACCGCCATTCTTGTACTTCTTGTACTTAAAAAACAGTAAAACGTTAGCATGTCAGTGTGTAAAAAAATCTAAACACTGCTTGTTCTTTGAAATCTTCTAACTTCTTCAAAATTCAGTAGTTTTGATTCTTTGAATTTTATGATTACAGCTTTGGCGTGCTGCTGTGGGAGATTGTTACAAGAGACGAGCCTTATAAACGTGAGTACATGGTTGCTCAGTGTACATCGATAATTTTCATAATCATCATGATTTGATTGTGTTCAGCACCAAGGACAGGGCTACTTATATATGTATTGATAGTGTTCAGCACCAAGGACAGGGATACTTATGTATGTATTATATTATATTGATAGTGTTTAGCACCAAGGACTTGGATAGCTATGCATGCATTGATAGCGTTCAGCACCAAGGACAGGGATAGCTGTGTACGTGCTCATTGTGTTACGATAAGTACGATATTTTACGTACTGAATTCCCAACTCGTCCGTCAACAGTATTGCAAACTGTTTTCTTGTAGATCACTAACATGAAAAATTCTCTATCCCCACGCCCCATACAGATGCCACCAAGTCGGAACTCATCAGACTCGCGGTAACGCAGGGCCAGCGGCCAGACCTGTCCCCGGTCCCCTCACAGCTACAGGACGTCAACACAGTCAGCAAACTCATGCAGAGGTGCTGGAGGCAGAATCCGTACGATAGACCGTCATTCAAGGGTAAGAGTGCCTCTGGATTTATTACCTACAATATAACTGTTCATACAAATATTGTGACAAGCAACCAACCAAACAGAACGTTCTGACTGATGCAGAGGTGTTGGAGACAGAATCCGTACGACAGACCATCTTTTAAGGGTAAGAATGCCTGATTAAGTAGTACTTAAGTCCCGAAGGGAGTGCTGTACTGTAAAGTAATATGCATTTTTCACTTCTTAATATTAATGTCTGTAGGAATATAGCACTCCCTTCTGGACTTTAGTACTCCTTCAACAATCTTCAATCTAACTCTTCATACTTATTTAGTAACAAACCAGAAATTTAATTTCTGTCTGATCCAGAGGTGTTGTAGACAGAGCATCATTCAAGGGTACGAATACCTCTTAGTGTTATATAACCTACCCGAATTGTTCAATGCATATCTAAAAATGCTTACTGGTATCTTCTCTATGTCATTAATTGCAGAGTGTGAGGGTGAACTACGGGCTGTGAGCAGCAACTCTAGCAAGGAGGGCGTTCTCCAAGCCATCATCCAACTACAGAAAGAAGTGCAATCAAGCTTTTTGTGACCTTAAACTAAACATAATGCACCTAATGAACAGGATTCTGCTAAGAGTCCTGTGATTTGGCAATTCCAAAAAATGAATGGTATATGTATTGATAGCGTTCAGCACCAAGGACAGGGCTAGTTATGTATGTATTGACAGTGTTAATCACCAGGGTCAGGGCTAGTTATGTATTGATGGTGTTCAGCACCAAGGACAGGGATAGTTATGTATGTATGTGCTGATAGTGTTCAGCACCAAATGTTCAAATGTTGATAGATTCAAAACTTCCACAGTGCAAGAACTGAATCATATCTGGCTAGGCTTATCTACATCCCCACATTATACTATTGCAATACAGAAATTATCTGGAATACAATACTATATAGGCAATATTTATTGTTAGCTTCTATAACATACCACCACCAATACTAACCTAATACATATCAAAGTACAAGCCTTATTGTGCAGAAAAAATATTTAATAAAGCCTCAACTTATAGTACATGTACATATCACTTGCATGAGAATACTACATGTACTTCATACCTTACACCAGTTTTTTGTTTACTGCAATATGCATAATAATCTACGTTTTCATAAATGCAAGAATTTACACGTACATTGAACATATCATTTTAAGAAAGCTGAACAAAATGATACAACTAATAGCTTCCTTACAAAGTGTGCTGCTCAAAAATGTTACATACTGTGGTATCAGCTTCAAACATGTACATGAAGTAACAATTTCGATTCAGAGTTTTTTCCAGACAACACTGACTTATGTTAAATACAATCTCTTTTGGGCTAGCTCATAAATTACACATGTATTATGTAAACGTACTGCTTTATTATTCTCTGAGTCTGCACAAAAACTTAAACTGCAAAAAAGTACAAATATCAGGAAATGTCACATTTTGGCAATACAAAAGGGGACTTATACATGTATACTGAGTTTTATCACAAACAAGATGTGTATGACCTGAAATTATGTATAAAAACTGCTCCATGCATCTTGACAACATGTATAATATGTATTTTCTTTTTATAAAGAGAAGTCAAAAATGGTCAACTTTACTTGTTCTGTGTTCCTTGACTTGTACAAAAATGTAAGACTTAGTGGTGTACATAACATAATTTTTACACAGCCAAGTCTTTTATTCAGCCAACGTTTCGGTGACCGTCTGTCACCTTCCTCAGAGCATCTGTAGCAAACGAAACCTGTGCTGCTGTGCAATGTGAACCAGCCCTGAGGAAGGTGACAGATGGTCACCGAAACGTCAGCTGAATAAAAGACTTGGTTGTGTAAAAGAGTCTCTTTACTCAGTATCTTACCAACCTGATGAAACTATTCACGGATTAGTGGTGTACAACTTGTGAGAGGAGAAGATACTACTTAAAGTTTTTTCTAAGATGCTAGGAGGTTTTGCTGTATAATACAGGCGAGCCCTCGGTTGGGTTATAGTCTGTGCTCCATAGTCGCGTTCTGTTCCGGGGGGAGGTGTCCGTTGTCTGGAACGGCGACCCCCAGGGGGAGTGTTGTAAACCTGGAATGGCAGTTAGAAATTAACGTTAAATGCTATTCTTTCAAAATCTGTACAGCTCCTCAGCTCCGATATAATCTACCGCAACAGACTCTTCCATAATATCTGCGTCCGTCTTTACTTAAGCTGGGACAACTAAAAAGACAATTTGGGACATTTTTTGGACAATAGAAAAAAAATCAACATCAGAATGTCAGCTCTTCTTTTGTTTGGCTACATGAAAAGCACCCCAAAATTTCCCATTTACTCTGCAATTATAGCGTGCCTGGAAGTCAGAACGTAACCTAAATAAAGCTGACTTCAAGTTCACTTCCTGAAAAACAGGTTGGGACAGTTCATCATCACTACGGGACAATTCCAATTTTATTTTTGGGACAGTGCTGGGACAATAGGTTTGAGGCCTGATATGGGCCATGGATGCCTGAAATAAAAAGTAAAGAAAGTTACCAGGAGAAGTAGAGCTGTATGGAGGAGGTGGCACTGCGGCGGGAGACTGGTGCAGGTACAGACTGCTCTGCTGGCTGGGCTTGGTCGAACCCGAACCTACTATGGCATGGTACGCTGCAACACAGAGTACAGGTGTATATTAGACCAACACATCACATCTAACTCTAAACTAGGGTGGGGTAAAGTGGCATAGCAGTAGCATGTTTGACTCAGGACCAAGAGGTCCTGGGTTTGAATCCTACCCATGTCACCCTTGGGAAAGGCACTTTACATGACTTTCCTCACTTCACTCAGGTTTAAATGAGTAGTACTACCTAGCTTCGATTATGGACGTCCCTCGGATAGGGACGTTAAATGGAGGTTCTGTGTTTTCGTGGAGAGCCACACCCCACACACGTTAAAGAACCCACCGCACCTACATGTGTATCAAAAAGAGTCGGGGACCTTCCCGGTGTGAGTGGTTCAAACCTTACAGTCCGGTCTTACACAGCTTGTACTTACATGTACAAAAACTGGTGTGCTACGCCGAAAGGCAGTTTTATCAGTTATGCGAAACAAACAAACAAACATCTATGTCCATTGTATAATGTTGAATTTCGGTGTCATAAACACTAAAAGGTAGTACATACTGATGAAAGTAGCAGCACAGATAGCGATGGCTGTCAGCACCAGGAGGATCCAGAACTCGTAGTTCTCCAGGATGGCTCTGATCAGGACTCCCCACGTCGGCACTCCTTCACGCGGGTGATCTGTGGGAGAGGGTGGGGGGGGGGAAGGAGGGGGAACATATTATTTAATTATCTTGAAAGTTTATCTGTGTTGGTGGAAGTCATTATGAAGAGTTTAAATCGGCACTCCTTCACGCGAGTGATCTGTGGGAGAGGGTGGGGGGGAAGGAGGGGGAACATATTATTTAATTATCTTGAAAGTTTATCTGTGTTGGTGGAAGTCATTATGAAGAGTTTAAACTGTAATTTGACTCCAGTCTTTGTCAAGGAATAAGCACGTGACACATGTGATCCAATCCCTTGTGTTGGAAATTACAGTTTAAACTCTTCATAAATTCATTCAGTAATGTTGGCTACAAATTAGTGTCTAGTTTTCCTCTTCATTTTACATCAGGATTCCCCACGTTGGTACACCTTCACAAGGGTGGTCTGGGGAGGGGGGCAACACATGTTCATCATGCCGTAATGGCTTTGGGGTTCAACCCTTATCACAAAGATGAAAATTCTGAGTACATGTATCTAAAGCTTCATGGTATTGTCTCTTCATCATCATCATCATCATCAGCTTGGATCAGAACTCCCCACGTTGGCACAACATTAGTATATTAAAACTACAGGTTTGCAATCAATATAGGCGTACGATTAACAAACCAATAAAAATACATGTTTCATACATTATAAATTTCCCGGACAACATTTGATACAGAAACAGTGTACTACATTTAAAACGACAACAGTCAGGGGTTCAGTCCATAGTTATTGAGGAGCTGGACCATAAACGGTATAGGCAAGTTCTTATATCTATTCGTTCTTGCTCTCAGACAGTCTAGCATCTCGCTGTTTCTAGTACTACGGCCAGAGGTTTAGGTTTCGCTTATTATGGCTTCACCACAAATATCAAAACCAAATGACCTGAAATATCCTTTGATCCGCTGATTTCCTCCAATCAAGATTGGATCACAATGCGTTCACACTTGTTGGCTCATCCAATCGCGAATGCGTTCCTTCCACACAGGAATGGACCTATCACATTATTACGTCACAGTTTGTTTACCGCAATGAATGCCGGTCAATCGACGTTTATATTGTACAGGGGTGCGTAGTGTGGTGTGTGTTTGTGTAGCGTTAGCCTTAATATAAGGCTTTTAATACAGTACATTTTCGTCTAATTTCACAACTAAATCACCAATTACGGCATGTAATGCTGTGTGAACAAAACTAGACGCAGCAAAAATCAAACATACCTGACTTTAAAAACTTTGAAATGATCTTTATTCTCTAACTGACCGTTCTATAAAGTTCTTTAGAACAGGTAAACAAACCGTGACGTAATAATGTGATAGGTCCATTGCCGTCAATCCATCTTCCAGTCTGAACGGGGTGTTACTTACCTTACTTTGAGTAAAAACAGCAATTGTAGCTTGAAAACCCAACTGACAGTTCTAAATAGAACACTGGTTCTAACACGGGTTCTACCGGGGTTCTATGTGTTCCAACAGCAGAAGGTGTTGGAAGATTCCATTGCTGCATGGGGGTATACACTATTGGAACACTTCATATTTTGGACAGGGGTGATTTAGGAACAGTACATTTGACCAGGAGGGAGATTTTTGGTACGGGGGATGTGGTGAAGTCCGAGCAAATGTCTGCCTTTCTAGTTTTTGATATGTCTTTAGGGTTTTTATCTTGCTTTCTTTATTGTACTGGTATCTTTTTTTATGCCAGCCAAACGGGAGGCAAATGACAACTGCCAGGCCAATTTGATACTGTCTTTGCAGCCACCAAAAGATCTGCTTGGAGATCAGTCTGTCGGCTCTGTAATGTATTAACATTGATGCAGAATATGGCAAGTCTACTATAATTAATAGCTCTATAATAACAAGAGTTCCGAGATCTCATACCTCCATGAAATATGAATATACAGGTATATGTACATGTACATGTATACTGAATATCATTACAATCCATCCAAAGGTTCAAAAGTTATGCTGGCCGCAAATGTCTGGAAACACAAACACACAGACAGACACACAGACAGATACGCCAAAAACAATACCTCCATTTTTCATGGAGGTAATAAGGACACAAAATGGAGACGTACATGTTACAGTCTGCACTTGTTCTACTGCCTCAGCGACCAGGCTGACAGGCACCTTCACCACCTGGCCCGTCAGGCTGCAGGTCAGGGTCAGGGAGGTGTCAATCAAGTCTCGTTTCCATGGCGATTGTGTGTCCTGCAAGCTGATTGGATAGACCACCCTGGTGTAGGTGGAGTCAGCCACACGAGGGCTGCCTACATGCAGCAGGGAGCCATCACTGGGAACTACCTGGAATCATGAAAATATACCATTGAAATATATATGATTGTACTGCTTGTAAGTGAACTGAAAGCAGAAGTTAGGCTGCTACAGGGCCGAAGAAACCTGCTAGAAGCCCACAAAAACACACACACAAAAACACATACACATGTACGTGCGAAAACATAAACACACTGTTACACACACACACACACACACACACTCAGACACAAACACTTACACACACACTCTAACAACACATAATATTATGCATGCACGCACACACACAATCACACACACACACTGAACAACCTACATGTACAGATTTTTACCAACAAACCTGTATTTTATCATTATCAAACCTGTATGTTGTTCAGCACATATAACACCACAGTGACCTTACACACACACACAAATAAACATACACACACTCCTATATTGTACACACTCTATCATTCACACACACACATACACACACACACACACACAGTGTGGCTGCTTGTTGCTCAGCACCAGGTCAGCCTTACTCACACACACACAGCCCCCCCCCACACACACACAAACCTAGTTAGACATGTACAGATTACTACTAACAAACCTGTATATTATTGAGCACATCTAACACCCCCGACACAGTGACCTCCCACTGCACACATACAAACACACACACGCACACTAACAACACACACACACACACTTACACACAGACACACACACAGACACACACACACACACACACAGAGAAAGATGTACATACAGATTATTACAGTAACTATACACAAACCTGTATGTTATTGAGCACATCTAACACCCCCGACACAGTGACCTCTCCCTGCGGCTGCTTGTTGCTCAGCACCAGGTCAGTCTTACTCAGGTGGAACGCAGGGTAGAATCTCAGGCTTGCGATTGGCGAGCTAACTTCTGTCTGGCCATCTGAAGGTTGGACAAAAACCTGGAAAGCAAAACAAAAGTGTCAAAAAAATCATCTGTCACAGTGAAAAAAAAAAATCTGTCACAGTGTCACACTTTTTATCACAGTTTCACACATTCTCACTCACTCACTCACTCACTCACTCACTCACTCACTCACTCACTCACTCACTCACTATCCGGTTTATCGTCTGATGTTCCCGAACTTCCGAGGGTTAGACGTGCTTGCACAGCAATACTGAGGCTTGATGGCAGCCTGCCACATTCATACCAATCAACAGCACAAGAAATCATTTATTTTAGACATTCTTGAATAAAATTCCAGTAGTACATTCCAGGATATATACACTTTACATCATTTGGTGGTTAGATACAGCAAAAGGAAGAGTCTACTCCATGTGGAGGGGTGTACCTGCAGCTGGAGGGACGTCTCCACGGTGCTCATAGCCTGTATCTGGTGGGTGTTCTGCTGTACCTGACTCACTCGACAGAAGTAGCGACCTGGGAAAAGTAGCGCAAAACATCACAATATTGTTGCAAAATTCATAAATCGATACATTACTTTTTTTTAAATTCAAGTGTAGGCTACAGCATACCAACTTGATCACTCCCTATTCTTTGTACATGTGTATCGGGCATTACAACCATCCCTCAACAGAGACGGGGGGTGCCACAGACTTTCTGCAACCTATGATCCACTGCTCACGGAGTCACGTGTGTTATCTGCGTGACGTCACAGAAGCGGTGGATTGCTCATTCCTTGACAAAGACTGGAGTTGTGCAGTTGAAAATTTGGGTGAGTCCAATTTTTGTTGTGTTGGAAATCACAGTTCAATCTTGTTCATAATGGCTTCTACCAACTCAGATGAACTTTCAAGATATTGTTAAGTTTACTTTTCAAGATATATATAAAGCTCTCTACAATTTCAAGATGTTTGTTATGCTAAGGTCCCACCTGATTCTGGATCGAACCCTGGATTAGTTTTTTTTCTATGTTTAGTCATGGCAATATGTATCTGTATGTGAGTATTATTTCAAGTTTGACATAAGCCACAAAAAAAGAGGTAACCTGTTACTAATCCGTGTATTTTAGCAAAGCTGAAATAAATAAAAGATGTTTTCTTCGCTTTTTAATATCGCACCTGATTCTGGATCGAACCCTGGAGTAGCCAGGAACATCTCCCTAGCAGAGACCTCTGTCAGCTCAGAGGAGAACAGCAGGCCACAGTGGAAGAGAGACTTCTGAAGGAAGGCTTGCTGATCAGTCATCGAAGCCAGAAGGTCCTTGGTACAGTTTCCTGGGAAGGTAAAGAGCATAATTATCGAACTATTATTTTGGAATAAACTACAGTATGTTTACCAAAGGAAAACATATTGTTTTTGCTCTGTTTCTTCTTCTTCCATTCCAAACACTGAACTGGTCAATGACCTGAACCAGACCGTCTGTCACCATGGTAACTGGTGTTGGGTTACATCATGTTGCAATTTTATAGTAGTAGGGATTTATACTCCTGTCACCATATATGTGAATGTGAATATGTCTGAGTAAGAATTAACAGAGCTGACCATATGCGAAGGTAAATAATGTTCTGCATGTACCTGGATATCTATCCTTCATAATTACATACATCTAATTGGCGTACCTTGTAGGTTGGTGTTTCCAGTCCCCAGCACCACTGGTACCAGGTACGGCTCCTGCTGCGGCACGTTCGTCACAAACTTCACCCCATTGGTCAGGATCTGCACCTCCTCCACAGGCACAACTGTCACCTAGTAACCATCGCCATGGGAACAAGGAGTCAGGCTCATTAACATGCAAACTTCTACTACAATACACATGTACAATACACATGTACATTTTTTAGAGAGGCAGCTTTACTATCAACATCTAATACATGTACTAGAAAAACAACTATCAACATTGTTATCAACGGAGACCACTTTCTTTCATCGCAAATACCCATTTTTAGTGTATGTTTACAGTTCATTAAATGATGTTTGGTAAATTGTTGTGCATTTGGCCAGCAATTGGCTTACTCGCATATTCTATTTTTGAGAGAGGTCACTGAAAAATTTGGAAATAAAACCAACACAAGCATGATTATAAGATTGATACATACAAAATACAGTACTATCCATGACCATGTAATAGCAGTACATGTACCTCCGTGTGTGTTGATTGTGTTGCAGACAGTCTGTAGTGAACAGTGGTAGTACCAGGGTTTGCGGCCAGGGCCAGGCCAGTGGTACTCACTACCTGCACTACCCTGCGGTCTGATGTCTCCCACTTTGCCAGGGAACCTAGAAATAGTAAAATATCACAAGGAACGTAAATGCATATGGGCACAATGAACCTATACATACAGTACTGTATACATCATCTGACTTTTCTGTTACCACCAGTGAGCTAAACTGGTTTAAAAATAATTTAATTTTTTTTGAGCCCCAGAATTGAACAAAGAAATGTTTTCAAGCACTTACATGTCCAAAAAGCAACACATAAAATTGGTATCAAATATTTTCAAAAAATCTCCACATTGCTAAGGCTTTTATAGAATTTTTCATTAGATTTAAGCTTTAAGGCGTACCTAAAAAGTACTGCAGAAAAAACAACAACTATCTAACCTTCTTTAAGCTCCAGTTGAGTTGACAGACAGATGACATCACCCCTGGATACGGTTGCCTGGGCGGGGCTAATGGCGTAGCCCACGGGAACTGGGACGAAGTCTGCTATCCTGGGGTTCGCCTCGTCCCAAACCTTTAGTATGACATCCGGGAATAGTTTCATCAGGTTGGTAAGACATTGAGTAAAGAGACTCTTTTTTACACAGCCAAGTCTTTTATTCAGCCAACATTTCGGTGACCGTCTGTCACCTTTCTCAGGGCAATTCTGACTGGTTCACATTGCATAGCAGCACAGGTGTCGCAGGTACAATATTTACATATCTACACATATGTGTGATCACAGGGAAAATGTATCTACAAAACAATGCTGTCCCAAACGTGGGGGAGTTGGATACGGGCTAGATGGAAGAGCTACCTTCTGCCTTAAGAGCCATGCTGGCTCAGAAGAGGATTAAGTGAGTGATACATTTTGTACCTTCAGTATGGTGTGTCCGACGTGTGCTGCCTTCAGAACAAAGGTGCCGTTCTCTGGTCCTCGTGAAATTTGGGTCAAGTCAAACCTGATCAGATGTACAAGGTGATTAGAAATGGCAGTAAATGTTAATATCAGACAGATTTCCTCATTCAGAATATTTCTTTTGTTTTGCCATCCTAAACTTACAATGTATGCCTTTAACATTTATCACATTTAAATCTTTGTTTGTATCTGTATAGCCGGTACTATAACCGCCTTTCGGCATAACACACCAGCTTTGCAGGCACACGAAATAGCCGCAGCTACATCACACCGATCGACTTGTTACACCTAACCCTTGGACTTCTAACTCTAAACATTGTGTCAAGCTACTGCATCTAGTGATAATGCCTCTACGGTACTTGGAGACAGCAAGTTCCACTCTGCGATAAAATCAGCTACAGGCCAGCAGCATATATCTATCTGTTGGACTTGCAAGTTGCACTTGATTTCACCTGTTGGGTCTTTTCTTCAGCACAGCGCTGGTGGCGTGGAACTCCTCCCCCACGTTGTCATGGAAATTGACACGGAGGGTCATCGTCATGCCGACGGGAATGACGGACAGCTTGTTCCCGTAGCTGGCGACGTCGGTTTCACTGTTGACTGTGATGTAGGACACCGGCTTCACCTGCAGAAAATTTTATTATATTTGATGTCATGTTTGGAAAGAAAACATGACCAGTTCTAACCAGACATAACCAGTTCTAACCAGATATGACCAGTTCTAACCAGACACGACCAGTTCTAACCAGACATGACCAGTTCTAACCACATACGACCAGTTCTAACCAGACACAACCACTTCTAACTGGACATAACTGCATGTAGTTCTACCCGGATGTGACCAGTTCTTACTGGACATGACCAGTTCTAACCAGTTCTAACCAGATATGACCAGCTCTAACCTTGACCAAGACAATGATGGTCTGCTTGAGTCCGGACTCCTCCAATGCAGTGACCCTGACGTTGGCTTGACCGGTGACGGTCCCGGCGGTCACTCTGCCCTGAGAGTCTACGGCCACGACTGACCCTTCCTCTGGGCACGTCAGCAGCTCGTACACCACTTTACAGGCACCGTCTCTGTGGGAGGGAAAACAATATCCAAGTTGCTTACAAGCGTCACCTGGCAATTCACTGAGGAAATGCAGCACAAAGTAATCTCCAAGCTGAGGTGAATCTATATTATGTATATATGTTTGACAAAAGTTGTATGTTTGTCTTTATTCTTCAACATTTACAACACGACAAAAAACTAGAAAAATTTGGCACAGAATTTCTGGATTCAGTGAAATCATAGCTTACAGAATTTCATTCTTAGTATTTCTCACTGTCTCTGATTACTGATTTTCTACATCAAGTTTTCAAGTTGAGATGATTCATGTTCTCTAGCTGATGACCTTCGAACCTCCCCCCCACACACAGACACCATAAAGAACACTTTTTTCAATTCCTGAATTTTAGCACAAAAATTCTGGATTACTAAAATCATGGCTTAAGCATTACATTTTTAGTCTTCTCCAGATTTTCTACAATTTTCTGAAATCTATTGTCCTTTAGCTGATGATCTTGGCTTTGACCTCTGACCTGTTAGTCCTGATCTGACCCACAGACTTGGGGCTCATGAGAAGGAGGCTCCCGTCTGTCTCCGGGTGGACCAGTCGCAGTTTCTCAAACACATGCAGGTGTGCCGTGTCCGTGAGGGTTGCACCAGCCTCCACCTATGTAAAATTTATTATAATGTTATGAGGGATGTACATCATTGGGCCCAGGAAAAAAAAGTTTCCCAACTGACCCTAGAAAAAGCTGCCGACCCTAGCCTTTTTTTGGGTGGACCCTTGCAAGGTATATAATTTTTCAAGCTGATCAACCTTTACTAGCTCCACGATCTGACACCTGAGTGATAAAACGTTGTACATTTGGTTTTCTAACATTGACATTGAAAATAAAAGTGTCCTCTTGCAAGTTTTACTTTATCACTTAGTCTAGTAGTTAGTGTTTGAAGAAGAAGAGGAAACTGAGCAAAAACAATGTTTTCCTTCGGTAAACATAATAAACAGCTAACCTGGTCATAGCTGCGAGGTGACCACTTCACGCGAAGTCCGATGTTTGTCTGGCCCTGGTTCAGAGCCCGGACGCGCATCGCGTACGCATCGTCTTCTGATAGAGTCACACCATTCTGAAAGACGGTAGAAAGAAAGAAAGTAGAGAGTTCAGACTTTCAGGAAGTGTTAAGATTTTTCGTGAAGATATTCATTCATTTCATTTCACTGGTTGACCATATATTACCGCCCATAGAGGGTGATATACCCTTTTATTGGCTGATACAAGACAGGGGTGCCTGGCCTCCATCCCATCGCACACTGGAGAATGTAGCAGGGTCTGTTTAGGAAAACAGAAGGTGTGGATTGCTCAGTCCAAAGACATGAGTCAAAAATTTGGTCCATTTTTGTGTTGGAAATTATATTTTAAAGCTAGCCTGGGTGCCATTAACGCTGGCATTCATAAGCAATAATTTTTTTTGGGGGGGAGAAGCCCTAATATTACCGCTAAAGTATCCGCCGCCCAAAACCCTTTATCTTTCATGCTGGCGGTAGCGAAGAGATAATTAGAGCCAGGGTGCCAAATCGGGGTTGGCGGGGCGTATGGCTTCCCTGGACAAAGGGGTTATCACTCATTAGGGGCTGGCACCCAGGCTATTTTAAACCTGGTTCATACGGTATTAAAAAAAAAACAGTTCACATCAAAAACTTGCGTTCTCTCCCTACCTCCTTGTACACCGGTTGGAGGTCCACCACGTCCTTGTTGCCTAGCGACCAGTGGAAGGTGAGTCCGGGGACGGAGTGTCCGAAGGTGAACGGGGTCTGGTGCTCGTTAACTCCCATCACGTACAGCGGCATCTGGCAGACAGTTAATTTAGTATTTCCATTTAGTGATACAAAATTTATTTATCTATTCATTTATGAAGGTTTACCACATTTGTGGAAGGATTGACATAACACTGTCAGGTAACTATCACCTCTTCATAGATGTCAAACCCAAGACCAGACTGTATGGTTTGAAACAACGGGAAGGTCCCCTACTCTTTTCGATTAGTGCGTAAGTTCTTTTATGTGCGTAGGGTGTGGCTCTCCCAAACACGGGACCTCCATTTAACGTCCTATCCGAGGGACGTCCCTTACCGAAGCTAGGTATTCATTTACAGCTGAGTGAAGTGAGTACAGTGCCTTTCCCAAGGGCACAAGATCGGTGACATTGGGCAGGATTTGAACCAGGGACCTCTAAGGTCTGAGCCGAACACTCTACCACACGACCTCACTAATTGTATAAAAATCTTTTTGGACACGCTACCTTTTCCCCAGTTTGTATCCTGTTGAGCGGAGTGTGTATCTTCACTCCCGTCAGTCTCACCACGTACACCAACACCTGGTCCTGTGAACACGTGACAGTGGCACGGCTCTCAGGGTCCTCCGTCTGAGCCACTCCTGTTACCACGGTGTCACCGACTGCCACAGCTTCTATCAACCCACTCCTGTCTGTGTGGGAAATACAGAAAACTGGTTAGCACATTCAAAATGTCGGTATGTCGAATAAAACATGTACGCTCGTTTTCAATTTCTTTTCCTTTGGAAATGATTTTGGCATTCTACGACATTAGTACCGTTTCCAATTTTTCTTTTTGCAATTACTGCTGCGTTTCTTCTTCTCCAAACAGTAACCTCTGACCTGAATAAACCAGACTGTCTCTCACCATGGTAACTGGTGTTGGGTTACACAATGTTGCAAATTTATAGTAGGAGGGATTCAGACTCCTGTCACCAGATATATGTGAATGTGTTTGAGTAAGAATTAACAGAGCAGACCATATGCAAAGCCAAAGGTAAACATGATGCATTTGCTTTGCAAATGTTACTTTTTTAGTTACCTATTGTAGCTATGTCCCTGTTCCCTATACTGTAGACTATATCGGCCAGCGGCTGAGGCCCTCCTATAGCCACAACCTGGAACACTTCACCTATGATCAGGGTGATGTTTCTCGGACTCAGCTTCAGTGGCGGGAAAACCTGGACAGAAAAAAAAGGGAATTGCAAAATCACCACTGATACTTCGTAGGTGACATATTTTCAATTTTAAGCGCCTTGAACATTAATATATGTTCTTCTGAATGCATGAAATGATTATACTTTTGCTCAATACAAAATTAAAGAATTAAGAAAAATCAAACAAAAAATGGTGACCAGACAAGGTACATGAAGAAAATGTTTAAATCTAAAATACTAGTTCTTGCATTCTGTGGGGCAAATTTTGCTGGTAGACTAAGCTTAGTTTAATGGCACCTCTTTCCATATCTTTAGACAATTTTTGTTGGTCATACATTTTGTAGATGGTGGATTGGCAAAGTTTTTGTTAATTATGAGTGACAAAAGACAGATACTGGTTAAAACTTCAAACACTTACTTGTACATTCATGGGCAGACTACTGATGGTTTCCCCAGACTTGGCGCTGGCCTGGAAGGACAGAGTGGTGTGGCCCAGGGTGTCACCTCTCACTTCATATCGTACTGTGTATGGATCAGCCGAAACCTGCGGGTCTGGTCTGGATAAAGAAAAATAATATTATTATTCATTCGTATGACAATCAGTAGTCTGACTCGTATGACAATCAGTAGTCAAACTTGTAGAGCACGTCAGCAGAGCGTACTGCGCCTGCACAAAACCTAGATTTTTTATGTGTTTCGTTGGATGCGAAAGTAAACATTTAAGCATTTCCTTTGCAAATGTTACAAATGTTACATTATGTATCTTTTAGACACCGCACAAGACTATTTCCTGAGAGGGGTGAAGGAGGCTATTTACAACAGGGCCCATCACCCTTCACTGAACTGCGACAGGGTCCGACATCGTCTACCAGACACCTTTGACCCAGTGTTGACGTCACACTTCAAAGAAGCCACGTGACAAGCATCACTGGATCAGTCTACTGAGGAAGACCAGAGTGACTAGTCGAAAGCTCTTAGTGAGAACTTTTTGTGTTGGATCGAAAGTTTTAACTTTAAACATGTAACTACCAACACAGATGAACTTTCATGATAGTATGTATCTTTCTAGTTTGAATGAAGGGTTCAAACCTACCTGACACTGATGATGTCAGTAGCGGGGTGGGGGGTGAGATTCATCAGGGGAAAAACTGACGCCGCGAGAGGCTCCCCGCTGGAGTCCAGAACACGGACATCTGCACGGATCACGTTGTAGAGTTGCACCTTCAGATAAAACAGATTTTATCCTGTAAGTATTTTTCATTCTGAGTGGCTAAAGACACAAGCGTGTCTCAATTATACTTTAAGAACACATCTGAAAGTACATTTGTACAAAAATGATGGTCATACATTTTGTACTACATTGTAGTAGTGCTAGGAGAAATAGTGATAGAAACTTTTAAACAAATTTGTTCTGAGTGCAAGGCTCAGATCAGAGACCAATTCTAGGTTGTGAACTAAGGTCGAAGAACTAATATTGAAACAGCATTTCTTCTCCCAAACTCACTCACTCTCTCCCATCACTTCTTCAATAGTTAGCAGCAAAAAATCAAGGAATACCAGAACACAGATGGAAATACCATTGACTGTTTCCTGCTCTGGTGCAGGAATGCAGAGAAAGGTATTTCGAGTCCTGCAGTAGAAGTAGAACAGTTCATATTGTGTATGTTTAATATTTGTATTGTTTGGCACCCGAAATCAGCCATGCTGCCTGGGTGGCCAATGTATTGTCATGTTACAATTGAATTAGAATAAAATAAAATAAACAGTTTACCTTGTCCACCATTTTGACCTCTATGACCTCTACCCCAGAGATGTGTATGACAGCGCGGGCAGGGCGGGGCATCTCCAGACAGAGGTCGTGTACGGTCAAGGTCAGGGCTCCGTTGTCCACCGGAACAACCTGGGGTCAAGTACAGAGTATAAATTAACCTTGTCCCTGCTGCCTAACCCTGTAACCAACAGAGAATTGGTAGCCAAGTGGCTGCTTTGAAATGCTCAAGGGCAGTTACATGTATACTTGCTATATGGATAAGTTGTTACATGACATTGTATAAATACACTGTCAGATACTTCAGTGTGCTTAAGGTTAACATACTGAGGTAGCTGTTTGGCTGTCCTAGCAATTTTCTGGATGACAAACTTCAATTATATAGTTTGTGCATAATTATACCACAATAATCAAAAAGAATTGAGATTATGTACACTAAAATTATGACATTCTTGTAGCGCATTCTTGATCACAACAGCTATTGATATAAAACTACAAAAGTAAACATAATAATGCTTACTGCAATTCGTGCCTTTCAATACAGAAACAAGTAATATACAAGTAAAAGAGAAACTTGTGTACCTCAATACTTCTAGTTTTGTCGTTATAGAAGACCTGGGAGATTTTGCCGTCACTGGGCTCCACATGGAAGTGGCCTGACCCTCCACTAACCACAATCTGGACCTGCAGAAGGGGAAATGTGGCTATAAGAAATGCCTCCTCAACTTAAGTGTCACCAAAAACAGAAATATATGTGAGTGATATTCTTTTTTTCTGTACAAATAAAATGTACAGTTTATAGACGTTAGCAAGAAGGTAAACAGTAAACCATTTCTGCATGAATACGTGGTTTATTAACACTAAATGTTTACCTTTGTATAAAAAACATAGTCCACAGCAGGAAGGTTTAACAGTTAACCCATCAATAATTAACAAATGAAAACACCATCCCTGTCCCTGGTACTGGAAACACCATCCCTGTCCCTGGTACTGAAAACACCATCCCTGTCCCTGGTACTGAAAACACCATCCCTGTCCCTGGTACTGGAAACTCTGTCCCTGGTACTGAAAACACCATCCCTGTCCCTGGTACTGAAAACACCATCCCTGTCCCTGGTACTGAAAACACCATCCCTGTCCCTGGCACTGAAAACACCATCCCTGTCCCTGGTGCTGAAAACACCATCCCTGTCCCTGGTACTGAAAACACCATCCCTGTCCCTGGTACCGAAAACATCATTCCTGTCCCTAGTGCTGAAAAGACCATCCCTGTCCCTGGTACTGAAAACACCATCCCTGTCCCTTGTACTGAAAACACCATCCCTGTCCCTGGTACTGAAAACACCATCCCTGTCCCTGGTACTGAAAACACCATCCCTGTCCCTGGTACTGGAAACCCTGTCCCTGGTACTGAAAACACCATCCATGTAGCATGTTAGATGGATGGCTGAAAATGGGCAACGAATCTGGTGCTAGCTTTACTGTACCTTGTTGGATGGGTGGTTAAAAATAGACACCGAATCCGGTGCTAGCTTTACGTCATCCACCAATAGGAGGTCCAGGCTGCTGCTGATCCTGGGACTGAGATCAGTGGCGATCTTGATCCCGTGGTACTGGAAGAAACGCTGGTTGTAGCCTTTTATGGTTCCTGTAATCGTCATAGAACCTCGCTTTCTCTTGGGCACAACCGTCTGCATGGCTGTGGAACAATGTTTTTTAAATGTTAGGGATATCGTGGGGTAAAACTATCCAACTACAAATTTTAAAGCAGAACTTTTATGTAAGAAACTATTCTTTAATGACTGAAGACCTTCAAAAGACCTTTATTATATGTTAATGCTCTTAGGAGCTTTATAATATATAACTTATAAGTTATGGTGATGAAGTAGTTCTAACTTCTAGGTACAATTACAGATTACAGTGTATATGTATAGTGGCTAATATGTACTTATTCGACTTCTCACTTCTTAATATACATGTAGCTATAAATGTTGCATAAGGATTATGAATTTTTCTTTGTTCTTCAAATATTGCATCCAGGGAATTTATTTGTATACAATTCAAGAGGATTTTCCTCTTATTGTTGTAAAATAATGATTAATCAAAACATGCAAAATGTACTCACAAGTGAGGACTTTATGCCCAGTGTATTTCCCTTGCCCATGGACCTCTCTTATTGTGGTGGTGGGGCTGGCAAAGTCAGCCAGCGATTGGTCACTGGTTTCCCAGGCGATGGCCAATGAGGAGAAGTTGTCAAAGTGCCTCCCGTTGCCATCGGTGACCACAACATCCACATCCAAGTTCTCATAGTTGTGGACTGGAATCTAGATGTTCAACAAGACATTACTAGTAATAGGAATCCAGTTGGAAAAATTCCTGAACTTACACTATCCATGTGCCAAAAAAAGTTACTCAAGCAACTGGATATTAAAACTATGGATTACACTAGCCTTGATAACAATGAAATGGACTTTTCTGAACATTTTTACCTCAATTTTAACACTAAATCAGAACCATTTGGTAAAAATACCCCAATTTGAAAGGAAATGTACAATGAAACCTTAACTCAATTACTGCAGTTTACAGTAGTAGTATATGATGAACCAGAAGACTATTACAATTCAGGAGGCTACTTTAGTCCCTCTTTCACAACCTTTGACCCCACCTGTTGTCCTGACTACAGTGAGATGGAGCTAGTAGTATATGATGGACCAGAAGACCATATTCATTCAGGAGGCTATTTCACCTCACCTTTTGTCCTGTGAGATAGGGCTATTACTAGTAGTAGTACATTTGTAGTAGTAGTAGTAGTAGTGGCAGTAGCAGTAGGGCTAGTAGTATATGAGGGACCAGAAGGATATTATAATTCAGGAGGCTACAGAAAGTGCTAGTAGTATATGATGCACCAGACTGCTATAATCTTCAGGAGGCTATGTCGCTCCCTCTCTCACAACCTTTGACCTCACCTGTTGCCCAGACTCAGGCGTGATGGGACAGGGAGGGTCTGACTGGGGGTATCTGAGGACAGGGTACAGCTGCAGGGAGGTGGGGACTGCACAGGAGAAGTGGACAGTCCCTCTGGCCGAGGCTGGAAACTGGTTCTTCGAGGTCGGGCCGTTCTCAACTGTAGATGTTAGGGTCTTGTGGAGAAAAAACAATATGTACATGTAAGGCTATATGTTGTTAGCAAGATTTCCATCAATCAAAAAAGGCAATTAATACATTTATGGCAAATTCTTGCCCAAAGGCTACTTGCAAGTAACACAAAAAAATGAACAAATAATAAACAACAATATAACATGTATCATTCTGTATCTGTATCGGTATAGCCGGTATAACTGCCCTTCGGCGTAACACACCAGCTTCTGTATCTGTATAGCCGGTATAACTGCCCTTCGGCGTAACACATCAACTTAAATATAAAAAGAAACTGTTCAGTGAATGAAATGAACTCTTACCTGGTCCCCAATATCTTTACACAGCACTCGGAAAATGTGAAGGTTTTCTGCAATATGAAATATAAGTCATTAGGGGAACATTATACTAGACATTCAAACTACTGAGATTATTTGAAGATTTACAGTAGCAAAAGCAATTAATTATCAATCATGGTAATGTATAATGTAGCATCTTGAACCACATTGGGTTTTACATGTGTATCACAGATGAATCTAATGAATTGTTTGAAAGTTGCAGATAACCATACTCACTCTGGCCTCCATAGGATGGAACGTGGTCTATAGAAACGAGTGCATCTTTCTCAGCCAGTGCTGGAAACAGGAAAAACAAAACATTACTGGATGGAACATAGCTTCAACAAAATAAGAAATCATGTATCAGTCCCTTAGTAATGAAGACTATTAGTTACTATTTGCAATTCCCTCTAGAATAAAAATTTCAAATTCTGTGACTGCAAAAAGCTTTCCATGAGGAGAACTTAATAGCTGACCCCATTTATTTCCCAAGCCAAATACAAAAAATGTGTGAAACTGAGCCCTAAAAAATAGGATTATGACATGTACCTCTGGGGTGATATTTGGAAGTGTCCAGTACCCAGGGAAGAGGTCCTCCCTGGAACACCACATCTTTAGATGAACCAATGGCAACCACAGCTGTCTGCTCTGGGTCTACAGGCTACAGGAACAGAGTGCAGTTAAGTGATGTTATAAAACAATCAGTCGGTCATTGATAAAGACTGGTACTGGTTGTAAAGTTAAACTTTTGCTAGTGTACTGGTAATTATAGTTACATGTAAATCCTGCAGCTACAGTAGTACTGATGCTGTGTATTTGTTAGAGTAGAGCCTTTGATCTGGTACAATTGGCAATTCTACCAGAGATTCTGATCAAAGATCAGGCTGTTGTTAATGTGCTATGGTGGTTTCCCATTTACAAATCGTAAAGTTCAAGTCATCAATTGATCTAAAGTGAGTCATCAGAGATTCAAATCAGAGTTTCTTTCCACTCTGGATGACAGCAGAATCACCAATTCTACCCGACCATAGTCTCTACCCTGACATTTTTATAATACTGACCTTAAGTGGGTTGTAAGCTGCAATAGTTACAGTAGCCTGTAGGCTGACGGATGCATGTCTGTATGTAGCTGTGAGCAGGGTGTGACCCTGGGTCAACGCTTTCACCTGCACAGCCCTGCAGCTGGTGTTCACGGGAGATTCCACAGCTGTTGCACCTGGAAGGGGGAGGGGGGCAAATTACTGTAAATCACAATATTTTTAATTTGCAGTTGCTTTTATTATGTTTACCGAAGGAAAACATATATTAATTGTTTTTGTTCCGTTTCCTCCTCCGCTCCAAACACCCAAGGTCACATGATGTCTGTCACCATGGTAACTGGTGTTGGGTTACATCATGTTGCAATTTCATAGCTGGTGAGGGATTTACACTCCTGCCACCATATACTGTACTAGAAATTCAATGTGTTTGAATAAGAATTAACAGAGCAGACCATATGCAAAGGTAAACATTATGCAGTTGTCACTGTTTTCATGTCTGACCATTTCCAAAATCATATCCAGTTAGTTGCTTGAGTAACTGTTTTTTGGCGTATCTTGTTACCTGGATGTCTAACATTCACCGAAGCTTCATTGTGCTTTTACAACAGAAATATTTCATACTGTACCTTCCACCAGCTGGAAAACAGCCTTGTCACTGAACTTGAAGTCCATCTTTAGTTGTCTGCAGTCCTCATAGTGGTGTAACACTCTGGGTTCTGGTAAAGACAAAGAACAAATTTATAACTTTTAGCACACTGAAGTACAATTCTACAATTCATACAGAACTGACATATGTTTACTGTGACTCATCTCATCCTTTTGTGTGACAGGCTGAATAAAAGTTCTAAACAGGAACTATGCGGCTCCAGATGTCTTACTGAGGGACGACTACAGTGTGCTAGATGTCGGTTAGCTTGAGAAATGAATCCCCTCTACTGATTAGATTTGATTTATTGAAATTGCAACGGTGCAATACACGTGGGACACAGGCAGCTGTTGCTGGTGTTGTGTCCCACACGTAGAAACAAATACAGGACAGACAATACTCATTTTCACTTGAGTTAAGTGGGGAAAGTTGTGTCAAGTGCCTTTCCTAAGGGCAAGGATTGGTGGCATGTCAGGACTCAAACCCAGGACCTCTTGGTTCTGAGTTGAGGACTCTGCCATTGCACCACACAACCTTCCTACTATACAGTTTGTGTAAAAGCTTACTTTGAGACAGGTCTGCAAACATTATGTCAAACAATGTATACAGTCACATACATAATCAGAAAATGTAGCAAATTCTGGCTTCAATTGAGAAAATTACTCTACAATTCATCCAGAATTTGATCCTTGTTTACCCTTGTGTTGGAATCAAGTTCTGTATTGTACTATGTATGCACTACAGAAGTGAGGATGAAATCCTAAACCAGTTATTACTGTGGGAGCCCTCACATGGAAAAAGTCGAGGTTGTCCAGCAAGAAACTACATTATTATTAACCAATAATTATTAATGGACGCCACCCAGCTCAACAGGAAAAACATGATGGTAGTAATGAAGGATAGGAAGAGATGGAGAGCTGTTATTTGCACCGAGAGAAGCTCGACCCAGTTAGTGAGTGAGATTGTACTATGATTACTACCAACACAGATGAACTGCCATGAGAAATTACGTGTACATGTATGTACTGTGATATCTTGTTGCATCTTTGACACCTTACTTTGAGCCAGGTCTGCAAACAGAGCCAGTGGCAGATCCAGAGTTGTGCCTATCTCAGCTTCAACTGGTGAGGGGAGGAACTGGATCTCACTGGGAGGTAACACATACACCTGGGGGGGACGGAATGGAAATACAATGTGAGACATATATTATACACCTGTACAATACTACATGTAGTACACATAAACAATGTAAGGTCTTCAATAAGTGTGGGTGAAAATACAGGTAAACACTGTACATGTAAGATATATCATCATACAGAACAGGCAAGAGACTGAAAAAGCTTTTTTATTCAACAAACAGTGGGTTTGTAGATCCTCTGTGATATTATGTGACAACACTCTATGTTTGGGACCACATTCGTAACATTGCAGCAGTGACACCTAGCTGCAGTACAAATCAGAACCAGTCATTGTTGCCCGGAAGAAAGTGACAGACGGTCACTGAAATGTTGGATGCAGAAGAGACAACAATCACCTGTTTTGTCTTAACCCACTGATTGTTGAATAAAGAGACTTCTTGTACATAGAAATGTATACCAAGTGCGACACAGATTTGTTCCCAGTACCTTTGCCTGCCCGGTGTGGGCCGTGTTCTTGACGTCTGCGGCAGTGATGACGGTGGAGCCCACGGTTGCCGTGGTTACCAGCCCCTTGCTGTTCACCGTGGCAATGGCAGCAGCTGAGGACGACCAGGTGAACGCACCGCTTCCTCCTACAGCCTGGAGCGGAAAAAACACAACCGTCATCATCATCATCCTCAGTCGACCATATTGGTCGGGGTTATACCACCCCTTATGGAGTGATATACCCTTTCATTAGCTTAATACAAGACAGGGTTCACCATGCCTCCGTCCGGGTGATGATGTGAATCGCTGTGATGTGTCGGATACGAAGCGGGGTTCACTAGGTCTCTGTTCCTGTTTTTTGAAGTAAATTACCAACTTCCAGACAGCAGAATTTGTACAATTACACACCAGGGCATGCCCCTAGTCTTTTTCAAAAGGTGTGGTGGGTTCTTTATCTTGCTTCCCTTTCTTTTTCATTTTGAGAGACCCATCCATTTAAACAGCTAACCTTAACCACAGGATACAGGCAAATGGCAGGCTGCCATCAGGCCTCAGCATCAGTCTAACCCTCGGAGCACAGGGAAACAACAGATGATAAACTGGATAGTAAGTGAGTGTGACATATAGCAGTACCTAATGCAAAGCTACATTGTATGGAGGTACAATGTACATGTAGGGTCATTAACAGTACTGGATTTCAAATTACCTTCAGGGTCTTCTGATAGGTCAGTCTGGTGCTTGGTTCCCATGGAAACACAGTGATTGGCGGGATGACGAGGATGGGGTCGTAGATCTCCACAGACTGGGAGCCCTCCACAGGGGTGGGGAGGAGGTCTGGTTCTCCGTTCTGGGGGGGGGGAAATTTGGTTACCATTATAGGACAGACACCTATGATGCTACATGGCACAAACAATGCTATTCTTTCATATGCCGTATCCTCAACATCATCCAATCTGTTCTCAAAGCCGATGTGATCTTCCGTAACAGATTCTTCCGCAATATCTGGGTCAGTCTGTACTGATAGTCATATTTTTAACTGTTGTTATTAATTTATTATCACAGTGTATTTCTATTCGTATGATTTCTTTTATATGGGCCATGGATTCCTGAAATAAAGAATAGAAGAAAGTAAAATGGATACAAAAATGAAGCAGTAGCATCATGGCATTCAACTGTTCTGATCAAAATTTCTAAGGAAACGATGTCAAAGAAGTCAATGTTAGCATAAATTCCTACTGCAGGAAGCAAGTCTACTGAGTGCTCTGCAGAGAAAGCAGTATGTACCATTTCAAAGTCTTTGATTAAGAATTTTTAAGTCCTTTTCCGAGCCTTTGGCATGGCCCAACTAGGGTTTGAACTCACAACCTCCCAAATACAAAGTAAAGGCACTGGGCTCTTGTACCAGTACAGACAACATGTAACAACTCTAAATAAAATTGTCAGACTCACAGATTTGACGATGCCCCTCATGGACCCCTTGATGTCAGGGAAACCCTTCTGTACAGTCCTCACCACATGGTACGACCCGTTCTGGGACGAGTGAAGAACCTCGAAAAACTCCGCTGGAAAATGGCCTTCTATCAGCAAGTTCTGAAAATTGGAATAGAAAATTTTGCATAAAGATAATAATTCTTATTCATGACTTTATTGTGTTCTTTTTTTTACCCGTAAGTCCTACAAGTAAGGCGAGCTGTATGTTAACTAGTTGGTGTTTCTACAGGTTGCTGTATCTGACCATCATGTATCTGTATGTGTACTTGTAGCTGCAAAATTGTTTAGGTACTTGTAACTGGACAAATAGTGGATACCATTTTGAAATTCTTTTTACAGTAAAGATAGGTTAATCCTGACTCAAAGATGACACTTATGATGATTGAGCACATGAAAATTGGGAAAACTTGTAAACTCTCATTCTTTAAGGTCAAATCCTCATACAAAGATGTAAATTTACCACTACAGTAACTTTAATACTGTAGTAATGTAATACTAGTATCATGTGATTGTGAGGTCCTGAATTGTAATTTTTCTGTGAGTGTTTGGCAAGATATGACTGATGTAACATTGGGCTCCATGTAAATTTAATCAAATAGAGAATGATTTTATTACTACATTTTTCTTCAGGTTCATACCTCTGAAGGGTAGATCTTATGTGGATTCTTGCTGTAAACCTCTATGGTGACTTCATACTCCCGACCTGTCTCTAAAACATTGCTTTTTCCAGGCGCGATGACAAATTCTGAAAAAGAAACAAATTAACAATTTCTAACCTGTACAACAGTCAAAATCATACTCTTGCAAAATCATGCAGTAAATTTATTTATCTTTTGGGGGAATCAATTTCGTGGTAAGGGGAAAGAGATTTTCACTGTGTTTTATTTTTGCATTTGAAACAATTAATATGTACAGGGTATAGTATTAGTAGTTACTAAGTCAAACTTTGGAAATGAATGCATATTTGTGGTAGCATAAATTTCCATTGGAGAGGTCAAAATAAAACCATTGCCAACATTTCAAGATTCACAGTAACAACTTAGTTTACTACACATATTACTTTCAATACAGTACTTGAATAGTTGTTGATTTTGATGAAGAAACACTTGAAAAAAAAACAACTAAAAGTTGGAAGAAAACTTACTGAGTGAGCCTGGTTCTACAACATGAATCCCTGCAGTTGGATGATGGGGAGCTTCCTGTAATTTGATGTCTGAAATTCCAGGCTAAGAAATGGTACTTTAAAACTTCTAAAGTCTTCTCTATTAATGCTGTTACTCCTTGTACATTCCTATTACAGTACTACATGTAAATTCAGTCTTTTAAGACAAATGCTGTTTTTTTTTTTTAGGAAAATTGAGTATGACCACATAAGGCAATGCCAGGGAGGGGAGTTTGTGAAATGAGTCATTTTAAGACTTTCCAGGGGAAAAAGAGTGGTATTGTCAGTAGTGGTCAACCTGAATTTTCCACTTTCCACAGAATCTGCAAAAAAACACGCCTTACCAAAGTACGTCTGTATGTATCTCCCATATACTGTAGTATTGATGAGTTCATACAGAAAGGATACTCTTGTCGTACAGTGTGATAGTGGTTGTGCCCATGGCCAGTGCAGTCACTGTGGAGGTGTCCCTGTCCAGACTAGCGATGTTACTGCCCTGTAACTCAAACCTGTACTGGGGGGAAGGCATGGCCACCTCTGGAAGGGAACAGAAAAGAAATAAGGGGGTTCAGAGAGTTTACCACTTCACTGGTACTAAGCATTAGCCCAGTGGGCCTATTTTTTTTTCAAAATGGATATAGCCCTTGAAGTATAACAGTACTATGATGTCATCATCATATCATGAAAATGCACCTGCACGAAACCTGTAATGCATTGCGCATAACGCTTTGGCAGAACGTCTCATATAAGGTTGTATTCGTGCTTGTAAGGTTAACATCCTGTCTGTAGTTTCCAAATGTTATGTTGCGAAAGGTATCGTCTGCAACAGGCAAAATTCTGATGCAACGGTGAACAAACATCCAACGAAAACAGTGAAAAATCAGGGTTTTGCACAGGTGCAGTACATTCTAGTGTACCTAGTACAAGTACATACCATTGATCTTGCCCTGTCTGAACCTCTCCACCCTGTACTTGATGCGCTGCCCCTGGACCAGGTACACATCGTAGGACGGGTTCAGGAGCAGGTTATCAATCACCACCAGCTGAACCTCTGCTGGGGACACATCCTGGGAACAAACAAATATCAGTAAGGTTAGGCCTCGGAAAAAATGTTTGTGTTTCCTGTTTCAGTCCTGAAAAACTTAGGGTCGGTACGTAGGGATCCTTTTTCTCTTTTTTTTTAGATTTCAGTGATCTATACAAAATGTATAGGGGTCCAACCTACACAATACAGTTTAACAAAGTAAAACTTGCATGAGGACACTTTTATTTTCAATGTCAATGTTAGAAAACCAATTGTACAATGTTTTATCACTCAGATGTCAGATCATGGAGCTAGAAAAGGTTGATCAGCTCGAAAAATTAATTATTCATGTCCCTTGCAGGGATCCCCCCAAAAAAGGCTAGCTATAGGTTGGCAGGTTTTTCTGGGGTCAGCCGAGAAACAGGAAACATAACATTTTTAACATTGTTTTCCTAGGCCTGATCATGACCATTTTTCTCAGACCATAAAATTTTGCTACTATGAATACAAAGTGACTAACAGTAACTCGCACCTTCTGAGAAGGTAAACGTAATAGCCCCTACCTTGTATATGGGGTCCTTCAGTCTGATGTTGACCTTAGCCGACCCAGTTTTGATGCCCTCCACGAGCGCGACGTTCCCCTGCTTCCCCGCGCTCTCCAGAGTCAGGACGTCCGGCGGCGCTGCGTAGGAAGTGTCCGCAAACCGCAGGATCCTGGACAGACAAGGGGACAGGGTTTTAGTCTTAGGCCATGCTGATGACATCCTGTGATGACCCTCAAACTAGTGCGTGCGGGCTAATAAAAAAAATTCTGGCCAAAAATAAAACTGTAACTAAACCACAGGAATGCAAAGCTGGTATTGTGAATTTGCGGCAGTACATAGCAATGCATACAACAAGCTGGAACGTGCTGGCTTTTTGCGGAATTTGTAAATTGGCACTGTAGGCATGTACTGTGTTCTTTGAGTCATGGAACTTTGGTAGCCTAGGTGCCATTCACCAGAGTTACTACCGGCTTCGTATTGTTGCTAACTACCATGAACTACAAAGGCCAGAGCCTCAGAGGATGTGCTCTTTTTTTTTGAGAACAGGCGAAAATCAATGCAATGAATGTCATCCATAAAATCAAGTTGGTGTGGCCTAACTATGCCAGACAGAGAAATCCCTCCCCCCTTACCTGAGAATGGTAGTGGCCGGTACGTCTGATTCAGGGTCGTTCACTAACGTCCAATCAAACTCCTCTCCCTGCAGGCTGCTGAAGGTATTTAGTTCATCATCCAGCGCTTTAATCTCGAATGACTCAGGCGAGTCCTCCAGGTACAGTTCCCGAGTGGTGGTCTCCACGGTGATAGAGTGGATCCTGTCCACGATGACGTCACAGCGCAGCATCTGTCCTGTTTCTGTGGGATAAAATACAGATACAAACTGATACATGTATTCATCTATTTCATGACCAAGACAAGCTGTTATAGTGGACCTTTGGTAGCCTCTACCAGGCTTCAGGAGGCGGCTGAAAAGTGTAGAAATAGTCAGTAATAACATGCCAGGGGAGACGAGTTGGTCCGCTAGAGAGTACATTTTGTGGCACCTGAATACTTTCTAGCCAACCAACTTATCTCTCAATTTGCCTTGATCTCAAACGACTCAGGCGAGTCCTCGAGGTAGAGTTCCCGCGTGGTGGTCTCCACGGTGATAGAGTGGATCCTGTCCACGATGACGTCACAGCGCAGCATCTGTCCTGTTTCTGTCAGACAAAATACAGATATGTATCCATCTATTACATGACAAAGTCAAACAGTTAGAGCACGGATCCTTTTTTTCTGCATACATCACAAATCTGCACTGCTACTCAAATCTAGCAGAAACAGAATTTAGGAAGTATGGATCATGCGAAACCTGTCAAGAAACCATTGTCATTATTTCTTTTTATAGTGCTTACTGCAGGCTTACTGTATATCCCAGTGCATGGCCCAGTACGTAAATAGTTACTCTAACCCTTCCACCGTAACCTAATTACCCTAACAATAATTCAGGTTGTAGGCTGGCATCAGAAATATTTGCACACAGCAAATTATCAGTTTTACCTGCACTTACCTGCTATATAATCAGACTAGTACATGTCCCCATGTGGCAAACAGTTTATCATTAAATCAGAAACAATCTGTAGTGTTCCCTGAATCTTACCTTGTTCCTCAGCCAGTATGATGGAGGTGAGTTTGTTGGGTTGAGTGGACACCGCCGTAACAACCGCCTTGTTCGAACATTCCTTCCCATGGTGCAGTGGGATAATCTGGACAGTGGCAACTTCTGGCCTTGTTGACCTCCTAAAAATTCAACAACAAGAAATCAAAGATTTCATACCTCGATGAAGTATTTTGACTAGAGTGGTGGACTGGTGAAGCTATTGTTTCATTATGTTTACCTTCCCAGAAGGAAAACGTATTGTTTTTGCTCTGTTTCCACTTCCTCTTTTTCTTCTTCTCCAAACAAATGACCTGAACCAGACGTCTTGTCACCATGGCAACTAGTGTTAGGTTACATCATGTTGCAATTTTATAGCAGGAGAGATTTAGACTTTCTCCATATATATATGAATGTGGTTGAGTAAGAATTAACAGCAAAGACCATATGCTAAGGTAAACATTATGCATTTGATTTGCAAATGTTACCTTTCTACTAGTTCATAATTTTATAATTTGATTCTGTACATTTTCACACTGTAAAAATATCAGCAAAAGTACCTAAGTAACGGGTTCCTCCCTCAGTACTCGGTGTTCAGTACTGAATGTGCCTTCCGAACTGAACTTCCAGTTCGGAAGTTCTGTCAGAACTGGGCGTCCAGATCTGAGGCGACTTCAGAACTGGAAAACTCTGAATCAGTTCTGGAAACCGAGAACTGAACGTTCCTTCCGTACTGGAAAACGCGGAGCGGCTTTGGTGTGAGTATAGCCCGGCTTACAAGCGCTGCCGGGCGGTAGTAAAGCCGGGCAAGCTGCCGGACGGCCGCCGCAACATAAGGCGAACACGGCTGCCGGAGGACAACGAGAATACCTACAGGAAGCGTCTACGGGAGACGAGAGAAACTGCCGGGCGGCTAACAACGAAGAGCGGGCTGTTGAAGATCGGCACATCGACCAGTTATAGACCAATACTAGTTTATACGTTGGTGATGTCAGCAAGGCTACTTCTACTACTGTATTGAGACATATCGTATTCACTACTGGAACATCCCAGTACAAATTAGAACGTGAGAACAGGAAGCCCAGTTCGGAAATAATTTGAAAACTCGGCTTCCAGTACTGTAGAGTCACTTTTTACTGGTCAATCCAGTACGGAACCCGTTACTTAGGTACATCAACACTCGGCTTTCCAGTACTGAATGACCTCCGAACTGGGTAACCAGTACTGAATGACCAGTTGAACCAGCCTTCCTGTAGCCGGGACGCAACACAGTACTGGGGTCCGAGTACCGACGGGCGTTCAGGTCTGGAAAACGAGTTCCGAAACAAGATTCAGTTCTGAACTTCCAGTTCTGACGAAGCTTCAGTACTGGAATAACGCCGTTCCGAACTGGAATTCCAGTTTAGAGCTTTCTTCAGAACTGGGCCCCGAGTATCGACGCTATTTTCTCCACGGTTTCCGTACTGGGCGCCCAGTAAGGAACCCGTTACTTTCGTACCTTTGCAAAATATCATCAGGAAGAACTTGATCACAGATCAATTATGATAGTTCTTGTCACTGCATAGATTGATGATTTGACACTCTCATATGTAGCAAAATCATACCGCACACGGCAAATTAATTATGATGATGAATCATATAACTTATAACCCCCCAACAAATTCCTCGAATTTTTCAAACAGACTCTTGTTTGTAGCTCACTTTATACTTGACGAAAATGCTGTGCAATTTGGACGACTGGTGAAGAAAATTGCTGGTTTCCGAATCCGTGCAAGGCCGAAGTAATTTACTATGGGGGAGGGGGGCTGTAGTTCCGAAGACAGGCGCACATGTCACGGCGAAAATTCTGCTCAGAAATTGGCCACTCACCAAGTGAAACAGCCATCGCTCGCCTCTAAAGTGAAGTTCGTGGCGACCGTGGAATAGTACGGGAGTAAGACCTTCGGCGCGTTCAGTTTTGAGGAGAAACAGAGCGAAATCTGGAGAATAATCGGCAACAAAGATTTGTAAAGTGCCGCCATGCTGCCTAATATAATATACCCCGAGGACCCTTAGTAGGCCAACGTAAAATAAACGCTGCCGTGACATTTAAATGACTTGATACGGGCCATACCCAATAATATAATCGCTAAAATATATCTATTAGTAATATATTATGTCAACTATACCTATTTCTGTTATATATAGTACAAATATGGTCAATTAGTAACTTTTCTTTTAGCCGTAAATTTAGAAAGGCACCTAAATATTCACGAAAGACAGTCTAAAAAGATAGTTAGGACACCCAAAATCCCGCCAAGGTGAAATGAAAGACCTTCCCGGATTGGTCAATTCCAGTGACTTATGTATTATTTCGTAAATTGCCGCTTTTGGTGTTATGAACTTATGATACTTTTTTTTCGCAAAAGTGAAACGTTATACATTTCGTTCTGTTGAGAATTTTGCTGAGAAAAGAGACGCGGATCTTTTCTTCATAATTTAACGAAGTCCTTAATTGTCTTTTTCGCTATTGATTTAAAGTATATGCTTAATTGATGCTCGATTATAATCGCATAAGAGTTGTTATAGAATGTTATGTAGCCTATCCATGTAGGATGCTGTATTCTCGGCCAAACGGAAATATGTCACTATTATGATAACCACTGTCATAATGCTAGTATCAAGGACATTAAAGCTGGGCCGACTGGGCATGGGGCCCTCTAGACAGAATTACTTGTGATGTCATTATGTAAAAGCAGTGTTTCCTGATAGGACGATAGCCCTAAACCCGGGTCAAGAGTACACAGTCTCCACAGGAAGACTGTAACAAAAGCTTGGCCCGGGGCAGTTCCCGGTCGCACCCGGGTCGGACGCTTATGCCTTTCAGTAAGTCGCTGAAGGACATTTTCTTCATTGATATCTGTCTAAGACAAGAACTGTTGAATATAATAGTGACTGCCCAGACTAGGAAACCAGCGATTTAACTACATTGTAAATCCTCCTCTTTATCTCTTATCACTTGTGATTCGTGGAATCTAGTCTCCACCAGACTCACTTTGGCTAACTACTAGTAATGGTAGAAATCGGCCTAAAAGGAATGTACATTGTAGCTTTATACTAGTAAAGGTTTATAGGGCAGGGGAGTCGGCCATAGAACTAGAGGGTCCAGTTTGCCTGGTTGTTCATTTGTGCTTGGAGTTAAAGACCAAAGCCTGAGATGTGACTTGAATACTTAAGTTATACTTAGTAGATTTTTTAAACAGTTGACTGAAATAGTTTCATGAATTTATCCATTGTACGACAACTTTAAACCACACTCACTCACTGACTCACTCACTCGCTCACTCACTGACTCACTCACACACTCACTCACTCACTCACTCACTCACTCACTCACTCACTCACTCACTCACTCACTCACTCACTCACTCACTCAATCCTCTTGAACATGATGCGTAGAGCTGACTAGCTTCGTCAGGGCCCGCCACTTTCCTCTGTCTTCAGTGTGAGGAACTACTGTGCCCTTACACTCACTCACTCACTCACTCACTCACTCACTCACTCACTCACTCACTCACTCACTCACTCACTCACTCACTCACTCACTCACTCACCAACCAACGATGTTCTTATCTATAACGGTTAGGTATTTAGCTGGTTTATGGACTTTCCCCAAGTTTACAAAATTAAGCGAAGTTTAGTAAACAACTCGAAATGTTCCCATGGCCTTTACCTCTTCATGCCAGCCTCACCTGTTAATTTATTCACGGAGAGGAAACTTGGCGACCAACCAGATCCCTGGGCTTGTGCCACGTGATGTGACGTCATGCTTCCAATTTCCCCAGAACTTCTAGTCCGGAACCGTCCCTGGACCCTGGTCGGCCGCTGCGGTGACTAGTCACCCTTAACGTACCCTCTGGGACGATTTGGCGACGTGTCTTCTTCTGGTAGCCCTGTCTCTCTCACCGCTTTTTAAGTTGGGAAAGAACTGAAGAAAGGGCGACCCAAGCAACTTACAACAAGACGATGTTGGCCAAGACTTTGTTTCTCTCTGTCGTGGTACTGTTGGGAGCTTTCTGTTCAGGTAAGTGAATTAGGCTTAGCGACGGCGTTTGTGTGTGAATGTATGTATCAGTAGTCAGTTCCTGTTGGTAGGCGAGTGCGTGCAACAAATCGAAAGCGCAAAACTGTTTGTACATGTATATAGCTGTACATAGCCTAAACCACACGGTGCATTGTGGCGCAAACCAGAGGCCTTCTTTAAACTAGTGCCCTCCTACGCGACTCTAGCCTGTGCCAGGCCTCGAAAATGTTACGGATAGTTAAACTGGACAAAATAGGGGAGTGAGTTGCGCATTTCTCCTCGTAAGCGCTATGATTTTTCAGTGGCTGCAAGAGTATGTATCAAAATGTGGCAGGGCAGTATATTTGCCACCCAAAGCAATGTGGCGTAAGATGAAAGATAACAAAAAAGAAAGCCCGGTAAAAACGCCTTAAGCATGTACGTCAAAACTAAGACGAAGCCTAAACCTCTGCTTAAATGAGATTATGGTGGAAAATTGAACATTCTCCCTATAACCAAGGACGTTCTATCAGAGTAGAATGTCCTTGCTATAACCGAGGTTGCTATGGCCAGCGGAGTTTAATAGTTTGGTGGCCACGGCCCACAAAAGCTCAATTTCGTTACAATTTCTTGGTGGCCCGCCAAACGACGAAATAAGTTATGCGTAAAGATAAAGCCTTTAGCGTGAATGGCAGCGCTGCTGACTGAGGAATAATGAACCCCAGCCACCGCCGGGCAGTTATCTACTGGCCGGGCGGAGATTGCGTGTTGTGAGGTCCCACGGGAGCTTCATTAGCCACTAATTAGCTTGTAAATTAGGTTGATCAACACACTTTGTAGAAGCGCCTTGGGTTGTAGTATATACCTCAAACTTACAAGGGTGTAAATTAAGGTTATGAAGTCACAACTACTAGTATCTGTCAACAAAATTCCAGTAAACATTTACCGAAGGAGATTGGTAGTCTCCACCAGACTCCTTTTGCAGGCTGATAAATAGTAGAAATTGGCCTAAAAAGGGAATGTCATTGGCCAGAGGAGATGGCCGCCATAGAATCTCCAGCTTGCCTTTTTATGCCAATTTCTACTATTTATCAGCCTGCAAAAGGAGTCTGGTGGAGACTAGGAGACTGGATAGATCAGCTTGGATAGATGCGTAAAATGTTATGGGCGAACATAGCAAACAAACAAAAACTAGCATCAGAAAATTGGGCGAAGCTTGCAACATCACTTTGTCCTCTTTAAAAGAACATGTGTATATGTATAGTTTTTTTTTCTTCTTTTTATCCACAAGAAGCTTGCATTTCTCCTCTCGTCTCTCAGTCATTGACGAAAGGTAGTGGATACTACCTGAAACGTCGACGTCTGACCGTTTCCTAAATCATATCCAGTTGCTTGAGTAACTGTTTTGGCACACTTTGAGAATTTACACTTAATTAAGTACTTGTGACCAAACTACGTATACATGCAGTACTAGTACTAGTGCTAGCTATTGTTTATCCTTGGTGCATTTCGGCCCACTACTGTAGGCTGTATGTTACTGTTTTCCTAGACCAGCTGGATGGTTTTACGTGTGTGTGACTTGGCCAGCTGGATAAGCTTAGGGCCAAAGAAACTTTCAATAAGATCTGAGACACATTTCACTGCGTCTACAGAGAGAATATCAAAGCAGAGAAATGTTAGAATGTCCGTAATCACGACCAGACGTCAAGCTTTCCGCTAGCGGGAAACACGCTGGAGTAAATTACAGTGTTTCTATATCTAGATCTGTCTGTATAACCTCACGCCTGAACCAAAACATCTGTTACTACAGTAGAACACAAAAAACTCGGAGAAAGAAAAACATAGCCAGGCCTTTCTACTAGCCTCCCAGTAGCAGGCTTATAGAACTGGGGGTTTGGTGGTCTTCGGCTGTTTTCTGACTAGCCCAGTTGTAAAACGGGGGTAATTCAACCAGGCCGGCTATGTTGTCTATATGCAATCAGAAAATAGCACATAAAAGCTCCCAAAAGAGCTGAAGACCCCCAAAACTCACAGTTTTTGGCATGCTATGGAGGCTACCTTTCTACGGGAGTACGGATCGTAGAATTCGGCAAAAAGAAGAGTAAAATTGGCCAAGGGAGTCCGGCCGCGGAAGGTTGTTTCTTCCAGTCAAACCCCAAGGCGGTCAAACTCCCCTGGCAAATATTCTATATATCACCAGCGTAGTTAGTCTGGTAGAGACTAGCAAAAACAACTGTATTTTCATCTGTTGTTTCACTTTGACGTGAGCACTTCCGTTAAACATGTGATGTACTAATTATGGTGTGTAGAGTGGGGTAGTTGTGGTCAGGTTGTGTTGACGTAGTCTTGATAGGGTCTGGGGAATATCCTGCCGTCCTTTTTTTCCTGTGACTGACCGAGTCGGGGAGTAGCCTGGAACTCAGACGTCATGAGGGTGTGTGATAGCCTCTACCAGGCACCGCGGATCGCCTGAAAAATAGTAGAAATTGGCCGAAATAAAGGGATAGTAAACCTACTATTTTTCCAGAGATCCGCGGTGCCTGGTAGAGGCAAGGTGTGTAAGAATTTGTAGCAAAAAGCTTCGCCATCTTGGCGCGAAAATAATTTGCAAGGACTCCTTGACAGCGTTACTTGGCGCACCTAATAAGTAAGTAATTTCTTATGTAACGTAGCCTAGATACTATCCTAATTAGGACCTGTTTGATTCTGTAGTCGTGATAATTAGAGACAATAGCCCTAAAATGGATGGCTTCTAGCCTCTACCAGGCTTCGGGAAGCGGCTGGAAAGAGTAGAAATTAGCCAAATGGACAGATAACGTGCCAGGGGATTTGGTCCACTAGAGAGTACAGTTTGCCGCAACCGTTCTACGATTTCCAGCCGTTTCCCAAAGCCTGTTAGAGGCTAATGACTTCCAGTCTAAGGCAACTAGGCAACGTTCTAAAGAGGCCACAACCTCTGACAATCTACGTTATCAAGTTTGGGCAATTATTGAGAAATTTGATGATATTTTCCAGACACGTCGTTGAAATCCTGCTGAAAAACAAGTCTTGAGGGATTGACCTTTTTTTCACACTCTGAATATTGTCAGGATTACAGTAAGACAAGGGTTAAACCTAGAGGCACGCAATGGCGAAACAAGAGGAGAGCTGGCTAGTACTAGGCACACTGGACTCTCTATGGCCGGCAAACTCCTCTGACCTATTACATATCCCCCTTTTGGAGCGATTTCTTCTATGTATTCAGCCTGCAAATAATAAAGGAGTCTGGCGGAGACCAGCCGATATTGTAGAGTCTTCACTACCAGAAAACCATAAGAAATCGTCCGTTTCAGGTTTATTTCGAGTCTATAAAACTTCTTACCATAAGAATTTGCCCTGTCGTCTAAAAGGAGAGAAATAATGTCTGCCCCCCCCCCCTGACAATTTGTGTCGGAGAATAACTTGTACAACACAAAGGTTGTCCATGCATAAAGTTCTTTGCCAACGATTCAAATTGCCAGTAAAAGTCAGTAAATGAAATGGTTCTATTAAAAACGACCGGCGCCCCGTGGCATCTTGAATACTACAAAACTAATTAGTTGAGACGATTCGAACGTAAAGAAAATCCAGAACACGTTTAACTGGACATTAACAGTTTATCATTGAGCCTTACCCCCTCCCTCTCTTCCATAAAACATATTTCCAAGCTCTTGCAATTGACTTTTCTTTTTTTTCTAATATCAACTTCCTTTCGCACTTTTTCTAATTCTTCTTTGCTTTATCGACATTTGAAAAACCACTGTCATTGAATTTGTCTTTCCAAAAATCGTTGCTATGCCATTCATAAGATGATAGACTCGCAGACACTGACCCTCTGTGTTTTGTCCGGAATGTCCGTATCTAGGGCACTTGACCACACACACACACCATGACCATCCTTATTAACGGTGAATGTAACCAGGAAAAATCGGTACCACCTGAATGACTTACAAAAGAGACCAGAACAAAAACATCTGCTAGAAAATTGACCCATTATGCGCCTTTTTAGCCACCTAAATACTGGTTAGCTCAAAAGGATGCTATTTAGACAATGCCGCATTCCTCTGGATACATTCTCAGACAAGAATGTGAGTTAGAGGGGGGTACATCAGATTTGGGTATTATGTGGGATTACCTTGTGCAGGTCGAGGTCAATGACCTTTGTGAAGTCGACTACTACTAGTACTCGTACTACAACAGTGAACTGTTTTAGGATATCTTATGATTCAAAGGTAGAATTTTCTTAAGCTTGTAGCTTGTACATCAATGTACATTGTTTGTATATTTTCGTTAACTAACACACATACTGATGATTTTTTTTTGTCGTGGTAAAGATTCAAGATGTTTTTCAGTGAACGAAGGTTTGCTTTGCGAGAGAATGCGCAGGTTTTGTGTAACACGACTGATCATGAATAAAGTCGTCATGCTCTGATTCGTACAGTACGGCATCACATCCCCACTATGCATATGTAGGTATAAGAGAATTTTTTTTACCTCCATGGCCTCACCCAATCCTTTACAGACCTTGATTATGAACACACGTTTTAACATTCGCCCTCCCTATACTATACACTGTAGCTTGTCAGACGTTTCTACATTTCTTTACCCACCCAGAGCCTGGCGAAAACCAGATTAGATAAACTCTTAGCCTCTACCAGACTTCGGGAGGTGGCTGGAAAAAGTAGAAACAGGCCAATAGAGAGATAACATGCTGGGGGAGTTGGTCCGCCAGAGAGTACAGTTTGCCGCACCCGAAGGCCAACTCGCCTGGCACACTATCTCTCTATCCCTCTATTTTGCCGATTTCTACTCTTTTCAGCCGCATCCCGAAGCCTGGTAGGGGCTAATAAACTATGTCAATGCCCGTTTGTGCCCCGAGATGTTGTGGAGCGTATGCAGGGATTACTACAGTAAAACAGCCAGCGGGCAGGGGCGTTTTGACTTAGGTCAAGCCCTGGGACTTATCTCTGGATTTAGAACGAGAAGTAAGAAAACACAAAGTTCGATCTGCGTTCACGCAACAAACGCTAAAAATCACATCCAGAGAAGGTAGATTCTAGTCCCTGCTATCAAATTGCAAACAGATGAAGGCAAGTGGCAATATCAGATTTTTTTTTCATGGAATTAGAAAGAGTTAAGTTAGAGGGTTCAATTCGGCCATGTTTTTAAGCTTCCCTTGCGTTTTATATACTATAGCTACATGTCCAGATCACTAAAGAATGCCGAGACACATGACAAGATATGTTTAGTCAGAAATAATAGCGAACTGGAAACAGTAAAGTCAATGATCTTTAATTTTCTTGGTGCAGTGTCTTATTAAGTTAACTGTTCAGTCATCACATAAAATCGTAGTAAACATAATGTACTACTAGCTTCGTATCTGTTTCTAAGGCAAACAACATCTGATTACATGTACATGTAATGTCCTTGGTACTAGGGTACTTATTACTACAAAACTAAAACATGTATATACTTCATTGAATGCTCTTGAACTATTGGGACCACTCAACTATTTATATGTATGCCAACACACGGACTCTAAACAAATTACTCTCGGAATTTACAGTCTCCTTTGTTTGCGCACACATAGCTGACATTGTGGCTGTGCATTTTGCACGGGTTGGGGTTTGTTAGACAGAGAGTTCTTTGTTCGGACGGCACGCTAAACTTCACGGGGGTACGCACAGCAAGAACGGCCGTCCAAAATCATCCTGTCAAACACAACAGTGTCAGTTACATGCATATGCGATGTTTGTACGTATATTGTAAGAATTAGGAGAGTAGAAGCACTCCTGGTCCCGGGCCGGGGATCGAACCTACGCCAAACCCGGGCACCAGCTTACAACCCCGACGCTCTAACCATTCGGCTAAAATGTCTAGACCCGTCAGACGGATCAGTTGGTAGCGCCTATACCCCTCCCTCATACGTATTGCTGCATAACAGCTATTTTCTAGACCGAAATGTTCGCGACTTTCTTTTCTAACCCTAACGGCGCTCACATATAATAGAACTCAAAGAAGCCAAAAGCAGAGAAGGATTTCCTAGTCTCTGTGGCTCTATCAATAAACAATAAACAATAAACGATGTGACAACACAACGGACAAATACAGTTTACAAGTCAGACAAACAAACTCTCACTACAACAAAGCATGCCACGGTTGTTGGCTAAACCGTCCTGAGTGGGTCTGTAGGGTGACACGATGTCATAATGGACAGGGCGACTGTTTTGTACACAAACTGTTGGTTTTAAACAGGCTCGTTTCATTCCAACAGTCAGCAGGGATCGTCGTCTCATGTCGATATTCGTTTCGAATAGAAATTGTTTCTGTTGATCTTCCTTCGCTGACGACTTATAATCCTATGATGATGTGAAGATCTAAAGTAATCAAAATTCGAACAAACAAACAAACAAATAAACAGGCAAACAAAACCACAGATCAGGTCACTCTTTCTCAAGCGTTGCCCACATCATGACTTAGCCTCTATCAGGCTTCGGAAGCGGCTGAAAAAGTAGAAATTGGCCAGACGTACTCCTTTTGGCGGACTAAGTCCCCTGGCATGTTATCTGTCTATTTGTCCAATTTATATTGTTTCCAGAAACTTCTGAAGCCTGCTATACGTAGAGGCTACAAAGTAGATCTGGAATATTCCGTCTTGTTTTGTAGACACGGAAATACAAGGAAATAGATTATATCAAATGTTGTCTACAGAAAATCAGGGACCGTATCTAGCTCAGGAACTACATACAACACTTAAAAGGGGGGCTATATGAGGGTACCAGCGGTCTCACTGAATTTAGAAAGACAGTGGCTAGTATATTGTATTACGTTCATTTAACAAGCTGACTTCTCTTTACGTCAGGTATAATTTACGTACGTAGAATGCACCGATTTAAGTTTTTAGCATTCACTTTTCATTAAATTTAAGTGGTCCTTTTACGAATTATGCGCCAATTCAGAGGAAGATTCCTTTAATAAAGGACATGCAGGGCCCCTTGAGTTGAAGAAGAAAGATTAACTAAGCAGCTAAGGAAAGGCGACTTAAGGTCAAGACGCCATGCAGCGCCGTCTTTAGTTTGTTCGGGAAGACGTTAATCTTGTGTTGTAGTCAGACGACAAGAGGTCGGCAGGGAAAAGCGGTATCTTGAAATCTCTCTTCCGGTTGTGGAGTTTTCACAGCTGGATTTGGCGGGAAATGTCTTGTTGAGGACGAGCCCATTTTGCGCGTTTGTGGGGGTGTTTTACCCGGGTTCGTTGGTTGGTCGTACTCTCCGGCCAAGCAGAGGTTTGGGTTTGGGGTTATTTTTTGGCGTGTTTTTGGCCTTTTTTTTCAATCGGGGTTTCTTTCTTTTGCACTAGAAGTAAAAAAAGCCTAAAAACACGCCAAAAATAACCCAAAACCAAAACCTCTGCTGCTTGGAGAGTGGGTTGGTCGCAAGTTAGGATACTAGTATCAACGACTACACAAGGGTGTACATATCATTACTAGATGGTAGGTATAAAATAATGCTTACATTGTTTGAAGATTAGATTACGTTACGTCTATGTTGGGGATGTAATAGGTCTATCCCCCTAGCGACTCCTTTCCAAACTGCATATCACACCTTTTTGTGTCATCCTTTTCAGGCGCCAAAGCTGCGGTCCTTGGCCGGTTGGAAACCAGCCTGGACAGAGTTAAAAGGCAAACCAATGAGAATGAAGGTAGGTTTCGTACAACATTTCTGTAAGAACTAACGTTGTTCTGAACCAAGACATACAAAACTATTCTACGCTGCTTTTAGCCGCACAAGAACCCTGGTCAGTGTACAAATAATACTGATTTGTCACTGACGAAAAGTAGTTGATGCTACTTAAATGTTTTCAAAATCTATCCTGTTGCTTAAGTAACAATTTCTTGTGTTATGCATTATTAAGAAAAAGCGCATTCAATGTGAAATTGAAAGCAAAAAAGGCAAAGTCGTAGAGTCTGCTAAGTGGGCTAACCCTCCTTGACGTTTTGGTAAGTTTTCACTAAAATCAGAAATGACGCCACCTTCCTCATATATAGTCTCTACCAGACAGACGCTGACTATATATAGGAGAATATTTGCCGGGGGGGGGGTGGCCGCCATGTGGAGGGAGGGAAAGAAACTACTCCCCGCGGCCGGACTCCCTTGGCCAATTTTACTCTCTTTTTTGCCGAATTCTACGAACCGTATTCCCGTGGAAAGGCCTGGTGGAGGCTACCTCATATGTCTTTCTCTTCCCTGCAGCTCTGATGAAGGACTTCATCTGGACGCCAGGGGTCGCTGCTTCAGTGAAGGACGGCATGGAAACGTCCCTCCAGGCTCCGTCCCCTGCCGACTGCGCCGCGCGGTGCGTGGAGAGGGGCCGCGCCCGGTGTCTTTCCTTCGAGTACGTCAAAGTCCGGAAGACATGCCTCCTGAAGAAGGGGAACTCTTACACCGTGGGGCTGCGGCTTCGCCTGGAGGCCAGCTCCGACTTTTACGAGTTACGCGAAGGTGAGGAGGTGGTTTAAAAACAAGTGCTTTTTAAAAAAGCTGGCGCGTAGTAATGTGTGATATCATATACAGCTGATATTAAAAAAATAAAACAAGAATGACAAGCGAAGTCTATAACATACACTTTTTACATTTTTGTGTACATGTACAGTGGAGCAAGGACATTAGACAGAATATAGAATGTCCGACTTAACTTCATGCTTGCAGGACAAAACTTTGTGTCTGTGCGTGTGTTTGTGCGTGTGTGTGTGTATGCGTGTGTGTATATGTCTGTGTGTGTGTGTGTGTGCGCGCGCGCGTGTGTATGTCTGTGTTTGTGTGTGTGTGTGCGCGCGCGCGCGTGTGTGTATGTCTGTGTGTGTGTGTGTGTGTGTGTGTGTGTGTGTCTGTGTGTGTGTGTGTGTGTCTGTATGTTTGTGTGTGCATTCCAATTTACAGTTCTACTCATGTATTCACTAAATTCACTAATTTATTGTGTTGCCACAGAATTAAAACCACAACTCATGAAGCCGAGGGAAGAGGAGCCCCGGCCGCTCGTTCGTGCAAAGTCGGAGCCGAACCGAGCGGACCCGAACGAGCCCGAACCTGAGAAAGCCGAACGCGGCGGACGAAGGGGTGGAGGAAAGAACAGGGGGAGGGGGAAGGGAAGGAACAGGGGGCAAGAAGAGAGAGGTCGCCAGGATGAGGAAAGTTTTCTGAGGAAGCAAGGAGAAGGAGACGACGAGCAACAGACCACCCTTGCGCCGGAGCTTACTACACCGGAAAAGGAGATGCGAAAGCCCGCCATTGTACCAACAACCACCCCTACCCCCACTGGCAACAAACAGCCCGAAAAGGAAGACAGGAAAAAGAAGGGTGGTAAGAAGAGAGAGAAGGGGAAGAAAAGGAAGGACGGGAAGAGAAAGGGGAAGGGGAAGAAGAGGAACGGAAAAGATGACAACAACAACAACAACCGGGTTGCCGCAAAGTTCAAAGAAGCCGCCGTTGTCCCGGATGTACTGGACAACCCTCCCATGGAAAAAGCGGAAGTGAAGTTCGATGACGTCAGAGTCAGTTTCGGGAAGACCCTGACCCCAACGGACACCAAGAACGAGCCGAAAGTCACGTGGCCAGCCGAAGACGGTCAGCTGTACACCTTGGCCATGATAGATCCTGACTCGCCTAGTAGGGCTGACCCTCGGTACGGCCAGTGGAAGCACTGGCTTGTGGGTAACATTCCCGGAAATGACGTCAGCAGAGGCGACGTCATTTCCGAATACATCAGCCCCATCCCTCTGGTCGGTACGGGGCCGCACCGTTACGTCATTTTGGTTTACAAGCAGACCAAGAGGCTGGATTTTGACGAGCCCAGGCAGACAAGCATAACGGCAAGAGGCAGGGGGTTGTGGAAGGTCCGCGCGTTCGCTGAAAAGTACGAGCTGGGGGACCCCGTGGCGGGAAATTTCTTTGAAGCTGAATGGGACAAATGGGCCAAGAAGGTGTTTGATCAGCTGGCCACCAAAAGGAAGAAGTAGAGAGAAACAAACTTTCAGTAGAAGCTTTAGGGACTATATATATATATACTAACGTTTTTAGAGTTAAAACTTTAGATCCAACACAAAAAGTTCTCCCACCTAGAGCTTTCGACCAGTCACTCTGGTCTTCCTCAGTAGACTAACCCAGTGAGGCCTGTCACGTGGCTTCTTTGAAGTGTGACGTCAACACTGGGTCAAAGGTATCTGGTAGACAATGTCGGCCCCCGTCGCGGTTCAGTGACAAGCCTCACTGGGTCAGTCTACAGGGGAAGACCAGAGTAACTGGTCGAAAGCTCTAGGTGAGAGCTGAATTTTTGTTTTGGATCTAAAGTTTTAAATCTAAACTTGTAACTACCAACACAGATGAACTTTCATGATAGATTATATATACACTAACATCGGTGAAAGAATGGGGCCAGATTATCTAACATTCAACTGACTATTGTATTCGTCTTTCTCCGCCAAAAGTTGTCGTTTCATTCCAGTTGCGTCCTTTTATTTCTACACTCCTTACACCAAACGGGGAATGATTGCTAAAGCATTAACATGTTACATGTACTTTGAGTTTATACATGTAATATGAAACCTTAGCCTGAATGCACTTTGCACAAGTGTAAAACTAAAGAAGAAGACACTATACTCAGAAGTTGGACGTTGCACAGATGTACTATTTTTATTCACCGATGCTTGTTATTAATTATTCATAATTCGTTTAAGGGGTACTTTCATACAATATATTCTATATAGAGCAACGTTAATGTTGGTTTCTGAATCTAGGTGATTAAATGTTGGTGGAATCAGTTTTTGCGTTACTTGTATTTTTTGGTTGCTTGTTTTTATGTTTACTCCGTCTATACATATACATATAGTATATGATCCTGGATAAACGCCTTTTTTGAGACTAATCTTAGGTAATACCACATTACAATGCGGCAAGGCTGCAGCCATTGTGTTACCTGGTGTTTAACAATAGACATTCTCATTTCTATACACTGTGGCCTGTAAGGTAATTTTCAACACAGGTACTGTGTTAACACCTCGTCACAATGTGGTGGTGTTAGAATACAAAGAAGAAGAAACGTCGCCTTTACGCTACGTTTAAGCGTTCTTAAAGACCAGTTTTGATACGTGATGTTGTTCATGTGGCATGTGTGGGTGTGGTTTCCACCACTCTACCTAACTAACCTGACACCACTAGACCGTAAACTGCTGAGGGTCAAAGGTTTATCTTCAGAGAGCTTATGCGAATTGTCTAATTACGTCCTTGAATTACGTCATGTCCCACCTGTCTCTATTTTTAGACGCGGTATATAAAGGGAGGGGTATATACAGGGGCTGGGGGACTTGATCCCACATTTCTGTGCCGGGCTTGGGTCTGAGCTGACGAGGAAGTACAAGTGTGCGACACAACCTCATTCTCACGGCGTCAACATGGCAGACAAGGGAGAAACGACAACAGTAAGTTTGACTTGACTTTACCGCTGCCCTGCTTATTTGTTTAAATTTGTCTCTGCGCAAGGATTAAAAACATCCTTAGTGTGTGAAAGTGTGCGTATGTGCAGGTTTCCGTGCATGTGTGTGCGTACGAAAGAGTCCTGTATTGGCAATAGCCATCCTCATTCTCAATAGTCAATCGGTTTAGCCCTGACGATTACCCTTTTTTAAAGGTGCTTGAGTTTGACATTGTGAAAACAGCCATGATATGTAACCCTACTGGAAAAGGAGTCCTCTTCGAGAGGAGGAGGAACCGGAAGTCCACACTGATCTGGAGGAACTACCTGACGGAGGACAAGAAGAGCAAAGGTAAGGCTCACAAGTTTTCTCTTCCACTGGAATAACTGCCGCCCTTCTTGCAACAAACACTACTGCATTTTTAAACCTAATTCAGTAACTTAGACGCTTTTAACCTGGTAAACTCTTGTTGTTAAAACAGCTGTATTGCAGCTAGAATCAGTCAGCAGTTTACTCTTAAGTTTTATATCAGCAGCCGAACATGGAAATTATGAAGCTAGTTAAACTATGGATAATTAAGTATGTATGTTTACGAGATCCTCTACAGAGAAATAGGTGACACATCAATTAAAGAATATTTTGAATTTCTAATATAAGCATATATAATATGCAAACAGCATATACAAGATTACCCATGAAAATCTGGTGACAAATTTTGAACTTAATGTTCTCTTGTGTTTCATTGATACTAGCGCTTATCTGGGTGCACTCCTACAAAAGCAGTCCACCTGCAAAAGGGACCTATGTTGTACTAGAGTTTGCCGATTCTAGAAACTTCATCTTCGGCAGCGGAAATGCTATTAAACCACAGTTGTGCGTGGGGGTAAGTAAAACTCTAAGAAAGAAAGGAAGAGAAAATGTATGTTTTTTGTGAAGCTCTTGGTGTTTTAAGTGAGGACAATTTTAGCCAATTGTGAGGAACGTTAACGATGTCCATTCAAAGTTTGTTATTTCCATGCTAGGAACCGGATGGTACCGATCTTCCGGATGATCCCGAAGACATCACGACCCCCACCGACCCACGAGTGTTCCTGATGAAGCCCAGTCCGCATGGTTCCACGGATGTCGTGTTCGCCTGGAAGGGCTCTACCAATGACGTCATCACCCTGTTGCCATCGCCAAATGCACGAAACAAATCGTCCGGACCATGTGGACTCATGCCCGAAGGTACGTTTCATTTATCAGTTGCGTTACGCATATAACCCTTGGCTGCTTCATTAACACAATATTTGCACAGAAAAATGATAATGTGCTTATACACTGTAGATAACGAAAAACTAAAATATACTAGTAACAGATATGACCCTCGGAGAAAATAGGTAAATCTGAATGGTAAATATCTGTTGTCCGACTTCCGCAAAAATCAATAATCGGGCATGTCACCCACATGATGAAATCAGTATGGTTGAAGGTTGTCGTCAATATTTTACTTCCACAGGAAATGGACCAACACTGGAGTCGCAGCTGTTTCAGCTCAATCTGCCGTTACTTCGCAAAGCTGACAGGGCTTCTGAGGCTGAGATGTCAGATCGTCTGGAGGTTGTCCCCTTCCCATTTCCGTTCCTACCACCCGGCCTTGAGTCCGAGGCTCGCCAAGCCTAGAAACCACAGCATCACCACTGAATCTCGTCATTCTCTTAAGTTGAGGAATATTTTCGTGAGAAAATGACTTGATCAAGCTAAGAAATACAAGGTTCTTAATCGATTCAGATCGAGAACATTTCTTAAATCGTTTCCAAAGGGCACGGAAGTGGAACTTCACAAACAGAACAGTAGCAACAACAACAACAACAACAAAAAAACAACTGGTAGCTTGTTCTTTAGTCATGTTTATATCATAACCCAACAAAACATTACATCAAGATGTAATACAGTTCTGTAATACCCGGAATAAAGTTATACTCGGAAAGATAAACGTTACGTTTAAAGAAGTTTTAAATTTCATATCAAGAAGTAGAAAATGTCGAGTCGATAAGTAGTTACTGCATGTATTAGTAACACAACAGGGACGGTATATAGTCAATAATCCAATATAAACATAATTGGGATGACTTTTATATCTTATATGCAACAGTTTTTCTCCTGTAGGTGATGGTGAATGGTTAGGGGTGACAACAATTCTGTATTATATGACAGATTGTACCCAAAATACTGAGCTATGACTAGTATAATACTTTAGCATAGCAAACATATAGATTTGTATAAAAATATATACATCTCTGAATGTTAATTTGAGAACTTTATAAACACTAAAAAAATAAGCGGTGTGTTAGGTATGCCTATAGACCACAAGGGAGGTGGCCTGTCACCTTTAGAGTTTTCTATCGGTTATTAGACTTAGTCTGTATGTTTTGATCACACTACTTTGTAACAGGATGTATGAACGCTGCACCATACCATGTTTATGCTTGGATACCTTTGAAAAGCCGCAGGGCGTTTTTCATGCTGTGTGACCTGTCAATCTTGAAGTAAATAAACAGATGTGGTGAAGGTATTTGAAGCGTTGTCGTGTCTGTATTTTGCTATGGATATATGGTGAATATAATATGTGCACCAGACAACATATAGTCCTGTTATTTATCAAGAGGTTGTTGGAAATTGAAGTATTTTATATGCCGTATACCGTATCATCGGTCAAAAAAATGCAACAAGATTCAAGAGGTTGGGATAGCTGTTGAGACGATCTTCAGTTTGTTTTAGTTTGTAGCACCACCTGTACAGCCATTTCTTATTCTTTTATGTGCCCAGAGGCTTTTCTCATGCTGCGTGAGAAGTCAATCAACAAGGTGCTACGAACGATGCGTCTGTAACGCACCAAGCGTAGAAAACAAACAACATCAAAACATAGTGCACTAGTGCCCCTTAGCTATAGGACACATCATTGCACTTTTCTAACCTGGCCATGGCACGGTAGTACGTAAACACGTTTGTAACTTTGAACACCTGAGTACGAAACAGGCCCAAATGCATATTCAATCTAGCCTGAACCTTACAACATTTAAGATGACACGAGCGTACAGTCCCCAGCTATCCATTGTACAACATTGCACCTTCTTAAAGTTGAATATAATAGGCCATAATACTAGTACAACAAAAATTACCCACATCAATTCGTCTATCTACAATGACATTCTGCTGAAGTCTGTAGCTAAGTCAGCCAGACGATCATCCAGATTGTTCACAACCGCGATGTTTCTTCTTTCCTCCTACTCCTGCCTCCTTGGAAACTGACGCCACGGTTCAGAGCTCGCCCTCCCTCAAGGATAGGTGTAGCTATAGGGCACACCTCACGGATTGCACCTTTGTCTGCTTGCTGGTCTCTAGCAAGTCGCTAGGTGCCGCCTGTGCCTTTCGTTTAGGAGGAGCAAGATGACGCTAGGGGCTACATTGGTCTTCTCCTGGTCGAGGACAAAATTTTCGGAGGACGAGAGAAAAAACAAACAATGGTACTGGTAAGCGCAGTTCCCTAAAAAGACTTCTATGTAGTACTATGTACAATCTGTTGGGTTTTGATTCAGTGGGAACATGACATATACACAGCCAACATCACATATCACTGCATCAAAGTAAGAAACAAAGTATTAAATCAGAGCCTTTCCTTGTCTCCTCTCTTCATATTCATCTGCCATCCACCTTCCGGCATGGCAACAGACATTTTTGCCCATTTTTATTTTCGGCATGTTGACCACTGTCAGAGAGCAACAAATTTCTAGTTTTTTTTTTCCAAAATCAGGCGAAAATTAATGCGCGCGCATAAAATTTATGTCATCCATAAAAATTACTTGCTGTGGCCTTAGCACAGAAACACCCATGCAATTAATGATTCATACAGTAGCATCGTACGATGCCACAGCAATGAATTACTCATATCTCAAAATACCACATTACAATGCGGCAAGGCTGCAGCCATTGTGTTACCTGGTGGTTAACAATAGGCATTCTCATCTCTACACAATAAAAATTGACATATGTTATAATGTAGCCTGTAAGGTAATATTTAACAGAGGTACTGTGTTCACAGCTCGTCACAATGTGGTGTGGTTAGAATAAAAAAGAAGAAGGCCACGTTTAAGCGTTCTTAAATACCAGTTTTCGTGCGTGATGTTGTTCATGTGGTAATTTGTGTGGGTGTGGTTTCCAACACTCTACCTGACTAACCTGACACCACTAGACAATGAACTGCCGAGGGTCAAAGGTTCACTTTTTTCATTAATTTATTTCGGCTTACAAAGAAGCCAGGGTGTCCCAACTAGTCAAAGACTATTATTAAGGGACACCCTGGGGAAAAAGATGAACATCGTTAGACATGCATGGGAATGCATATTACAAATTACATACTTAGTGAGATATACAGCTATATACAATAGTACAATAATATATACGTACATTTTTAATAAAAGTACAATAATACAATAGTAGAGTCCTAGTATATACATAGTTGCCGAGGTAATATGTTAACCGGGTTATGATACAGACGTAGTGTGTTAAACAGAATATGGATCCCCAGGGATTGCCATACTTTGGCTTTAAAAGAAAACAGTGTAGGAGCTGATTGTATGTCAACTGGGAGGGAGGTCCATAAAAGGGTGGCTCTGTGGAGGAAGGCATTCTGTGTTCTACAACTTTTGTGGATTTGTACACAAAGGTTATTCCCATTTCTGAGGGGTATCTAGAATGAATGGCGGATGACCTGGTAATTGGCAAAATATTAACTAGGTGGGGCGGACATAAACTATCTGAAGATTCACCTTCAGAGAGTTTATGCAAATTGCCTTTCCTATTCAGTATATTTGTTCAGACGTGTGATAAAAAATGCAACAAGATTCAAAGAAGTACTAATTGCTGTTGAGACGATTTTCAGTTCGTTTTAGTTTGTAGCACCATCTGTATAGCATTTCTTATTCTTTTATCTGCTCAGGGGCTTTTCTCATGCTGCGTGAGAAGTCAATCAACAAGGTGCGACGAACGGTGTGTCAGTAACGCACCAAGCGTAGAAAACAAACAACATCAAAACATAGCGCACTAGCGCCCCCTAGCTATAGGGCACATCACTGCAGTTTTCCAAACTGGCATAGTAGTACGTAAACACGTTTGTAACTTTGAACACCTGATGAGGAAACAGCGCCATAGGTATATTCAATCTAGCCTGAACCTTACAACATAAAAGATAACACGAGCACACAGTCTCCAGCTATTCATGGTACAACATTGTACCTTCTTAAATAGGCCACAATACTAGTACAACAAAAAATAACCCACATCAATTCGTCTATCTACAATGACATTCTGCTGAAGTCTGTAGCTAAGTCAGCCAGACGATCATCCAGATTGTTCACAACCGCGATGCTTTCTTCTTTCCTCCTACTCCTGCCTCCTTGGAAACTGACGCCACGGTTCAGAGCTCGCCCTCCCTCAAGGATAGGTGTAGCTATAGGGCACACCTCACGGATTGTACCTTTGTCTGCTTGTTGGTTTCTAGCAAGTCGCTAGGTGTCGCCTGTGCCTTTCGTTTAGGAGGAGCAAGATGACGCTAGGGGCTACATTGGTCTTCTCCTGGTCGAGGACAAAATTTTCGGAGGACGAGAAAAAAAAAACAATGGTACTGGTAAGCAGTTCCCTAAAAAAGACTTCTATGTAGTACTATGTACAATCTGTTGGGTTTTGATTCAGTGGGAACATCACATATACACAGCCAACATCACATATCACTGCATCAAAGTAAGAAACAAAGTATTAAATCAGAGCCTTTTCTTGTCTGCTCTCATAGTTATCTGCCATCCACCTTCGGGCATGGCAACAGACATCTTTGCCCACTTTCGGCATGTTGACCACTGTCAGGCAATAAAATTTCTAGTTTTTTTTTCAATAATCAGGCGAAAATTAATGCGCGCGCATAAAATTTATGTCATCCATAAAAATTACTTGCTGAGGCCTTAGCACAGAAACACCCATGCAATTAATGATTCATACCGTAGCATCGTACCATGTCTCAGCAATGAATTACTCATATCTCAAAATACCACATTACAATGCGGCAAGGCTGCAGCCATTGTGTTACCTGGTGGTTAACAATAGACATTCTCATCTCTATACAATGTGGCCTGTAAGGTAATTTTCAACTGTGTTAACAGCTCGTCACAATGTGGTGTTGTTAGAATACAAAGAAACGAAGAAACGTCGACTTTAAGCTACGTTTAAGCGTTCTTAAAGACCAGTTTTCATACGTGATGTTGTTCATGTGGCATGTGTGGGTGTGGTTTCCACCACTCTACCTGACTAACCTGACACCACTAGACAATGAACTGCCGAGGGTCAAAGGTTCACTTTTTTTATTAATTTATTTCGGCTTACAAAGAAGCCAGGGTGTCCCAACTAGTCAAAGACTATTATTAAGGGACACCCTGGGGAAAAAGATGAAAATCGTTAGACATGCATGGGAATGCATATTACAAACTATTTACTTAGTGAAATATACAGCTATATACAATAGTACAATAATATATACGTACATTTTTAATAAAAGTACAATAATACAATAGTAGAGTCCTAGTATATACATAGTTGCTGAGGTAATATGTTAACCGGGTTATGATACAGACGTAGTGTGTTAAACAGAATATGGATCCCCAGGGATTGCCATACTTTGGCTTTAAAAGAAAACAGTATAGGAGCTGATTGTATGTCAACTGGGAGGGAGGTCCATAAAAGGGTGGCTCTGTGGAGGAAGACATTCTGTGTTCTACAACTTTTGGGGATTTGTACACAAAGGTTATTCCCATTCCTGAGGGGTATCTAGAATGAATGACCTGGTAATTGGTAAAATACTAACTAGCTAGGTGGGGCGGACATAAACACTCTGAAGATTCACCTTCAGAGAGTTTATGCAAATTGTCTAATTTGAAATACGTCATTTTCCACCCGTTTCTATTTTTAGACAAAGCATATAAAAAGGGAGCTTTGTTGACAGTCTTGTTGCCCCGACGGCATTCACCTGACTGATATGGGACTGGTGAGGTGAGTGAGGATATAAAGAAGAGTTTTGACCCCACCTTTCCGTGTCGAGTTGTGGTTTGAGCCGAGAAGAAGTGTGTAACACAGGTCTGAGCCATGTGGAAGTTGGCTGCTCTACCGATACCACAGGTAAATACCACTTTACTTGACTTGTTGGTTTGTTCTTGTGTGTTTGTTGGTATGTGCGTGTGTGTACATGTGTGTGTGTGTGTGTGTATGTGTGTGTATGTGTGTGTAGTCTGTGTGTGTGTGTGTGTGTGTGTGTGTGTGTGTGGTGTGTCCAAGTGTGTGTGTGTGTGTGTGTGTGTGTGTGTGTGTGTGTGTGTGTGGTGTGTATGTGTGTGTGCTTGTGCATGTTTGTGTATGTGTTTAAACGAAAGAAAGGAAGAACGAGGAAGACTGAGGAAGAAAGATAGCGAGACCTTAGAATAGCAATTTCTACCTATAGGCTAGCTTAATCGTCGACGAACACACATGAAGTCGGCAATTCCCTAAGTCTATAGTCCAGTAGACAGCGTTCGTTTTTTAGTCCATTATTTCGATATTTGTGTATTTAAGTTTATGTAATCACAATCCCTGTATTTCACCCTCAAAACTAGTGACACCTCAATAACAGCCTTTATAAGGTGTCGTTTATTATTGTTGACAAAAAATCTTTTTTAGAAGATACAGTTTCATGGGCAACCAGCAAATCGACTGATAGAGAACCCGTTCCCAACGTACAAAGGCACCCTTGTTCAGAAGACCAGGCAAAATGGAGACCCCAAGGCCAAGGTGTTCCGGGCTGCTCACGTGCCGGCGGGCAATCGCGATTGTAAGGGGAATTTTCACATCATTTATCATTTATAGGAATGCGGGCCGCTATACTAATCTCCAAGCAGATCTTTTGGTGGGGGTAAGACAGTATCAAATTGGCCAGTCTGTAACCATTTCCCCACCCAAGGTTGCAGACTGGCCAATTTGATACTGTCTTACCCCCACCAAAAGATCTGCTTGGAGATTACCGCTATACAACGTTAACTACGCATGTTTCTAACTGCAAACTGATTTTTCGTCCCTTTTTCTTGACCTTCATGATTTGGCAACATAGAAATGCCGAACGAATGGCGAACTCACACCTCAGTGGTAAATCAGCACCCAGCATGCAAATAAAAATACTCATTATTGTTACGAGCCACCTAAACACACTACAGCTGAAGAAACAAATACAAGTGTTAAGTTTTAACTTGAAAGTTTTTAACATAGAGACGGTAAATTCTTTCATCAAGTTGAAATAATTTTCCTCCTGTATTTTACTTCTCTTTTCAGCGACAGTGCTCGTGTATTCCTACACCAGTACACCGCCTGTAACCGGCGGCACCTATGTTGTACTGCAGTTCAAAGAGTCTGGACTGTACTTTGCCTCCAAGGGCAGGAGCTGGTACCCCAGGCTAGTTCTGCAGGTGAGCTACAACAGGCATAAATCGGGCGATACTTGTCAATATGGGCTTCTCATTAATAATGTATGTTTTTTACGGTGGAGCTTTAAGTGTTTTATGTATAAAAAATCAGCTATGTAAGAAATAGGGCCCCTTAACTGCTTGATTTGTAAAGAATCTTTATCAAATAACTAATATATAAGCGCATTTTGTGTTGTGTTTTAAAGCCTTCCCAATTCAGCCAAATATGGCTGCTTGAAGGCTTTTGTGTGTACTTTTTGTAAGGCACAAATAAACCAGTCTCTCTCTCTCTCTCTCTCTCTCTCTCTCTCTCTCATTTTTTTACCAACAGGAGGGTGAGGATGCCACAAAGATCACATCCACTGCCGACCCACGGGTGTTCCTGATGAAACCGACTCAGAACAGTGCAAAGGATTTCGTGTTCGCCTCGTGTGTCGCCTCGAAACAAAAGCCGGACGATCCCAGCAAGGCCCGCGTCATCACTTTGTCCAGGAACAAAGATAAGCCCGCTGTATTAAAGCTCGAAGGTACAACCTTTTGAAGGTTTGTCACTGCTGAAGCTGTACATGTGAACTCAAAGCTAATTGAGAACCGAGAGGAGTAGCTGTTAACCTGTGTTACACAAGCTCTCAGCCGGGGCCCGACCGGGTTGTTTGCGGGAACGAAAAGTTAAAAAAAGTTAACAATTTGTATGAAGAGTATACACAAATAGTGCTCATGGTTAATTTTCTAAAACTTTTTTTTTGTGTTTTTCTGTCTTATATCATAATTTTCGTTCCAAACGACTGCCAGGCCGGGCCCCGGGTTGGGAAATGTGACGGCGCTTTTAGTCAGGCTAAGTAACTGTGATCCTGAAAAAAAAAACTAAAATTGGTTTGTTCAAAGATACGTAAGTTTGACCATAACCTTTCATTGTTTTCACAGAAAAAGGACCGTCTTTGGAATCGCAGTATTTCAAAAAGAAAGTCGCAAGGGGGCGCTCGCGTCGTGGCGAGCAGTCTGACGAATGTCAAGTGCAGGAAGAACAGCATCGCAACTAGATATCGTCGTGTGGTTTAACGACAGAGTGCGCGACTCGGAACCTAGAGGTCCCGGGTTCGAGTCCTGACATGCCACCGATCTTGTGCCCTTGGGAAAGCTAAGGCACTTTACACGAAAATGAGTATTTTCTTGTCATGTATTTGTCCCCTGTGTTGGTGGCGGCATTAATATAAGTTGATAAAACTTGAGTGTGCCGTCACCACGTCTTGTGATTACATATTGGAATTTAAAAAGAGATATCGTCGCTCTCGGAAGACGAAGCAAATTTGTATGAGATTATTTCATAACCAAGTAGTAAAACTCTTATCCGTTATGTGCAAAACTGTTCTCCACACATTCGCAAAATTTGAGGTTGCAGGCATTTTTTTCATTAGCATCGGGCAGCTGGATGAAAAGATGGCACATCTTACTATTTTTCGACTAATGCAATTTAAGTATCAGCTAGAGAGCTGTTTTTACAATCATTAATTTTAAAGTAAACTAGGTAAGCTTATAACACTGTCTGTTCAGGCTATCGCAACATTTAATACTGAATCTTAAATGAGTTCTAGATAAAGGGACACATGAGAAAAAAAATATTTCACGTACGATTGCTTACACCAGCGTTCGCAATATTTACTGTCCAGCAAGGTTTTATGACAATTGTGTTCAGAGAGTTCCAATATAAGTACAGATAAGATACAATACAATAATCATGACGCATCTGTTAGCGTTAATATATCACGTTACGTACAATTATAACAGTGATATCTAGATTTGACGATGCTACCGAATGTTCGTTAGGCTATTTTTTTCATCAGACACTTGTATTTTAACTCCAGTAACGTTTACATGTTACGTTGTTCCTAGATTGTAACGATTCTGTGTTAGGTCTTTACCTATGTTCATTTGGAGAAACTTTTTACATCACATTAAATAGATATATCCATTGCTGTCCTTTTACCATAACAAGTAAACAAGGCCAGGTCAGCAGTTACATTTTGGCCACTTTACATTACTTTGTTGAATCATACTGTTTTTTTTTTCATTTAGTTGCTATGCATGGTGATAAAAGACGTTGCTATACAATCAACCATTCATCAAGAAGTAACCAAAATCATCATTTCGGATTTCATCATTCAATATGCATTATTCACAAGTTCACAATTTGTTATCTTCCCATCAGGCTACACCAATTAATTACAGAAGTACAGGGCAGGGACAACAACGTCAATATGACGATTCTTTTTTTTTTTTCATTTTTAGTTTTAAAAATCTGAGAACCGACGGATTAAATTGGTGTGGCCTTAATATTGATTTTAATTTTCATTTGTTACAATGTATCGCCGCGAATACACGTTACACAAAACGTTCTCATACTTACAAAACAACATTACAAAAACATCATATTTAACAGTCACATAAGTCATCGTCAAATGTCATCTACAACTATCACAATATCTTATAGAATACTCCATTTTATCTTACATTTTTTTACAGTTGTGTAACAGCAATATATAGTATGACACAGATTTTTGAAAGCACGATGTCTTTAGTTGGCAATCGTTAAGTACAACAATGGTGATTACATCTTGGAGTGCGGTATTTCTACTTTCATCTATTTGTTCGGATGTACAAGTACGTACAGCGAACTAGACATTATCTACTATATAATTACAAACGGCTGGCATAGACCATGTACCCGTGATGCCAGAGCTACACTTTTCCATGAATTTTTACACTGAAGTAACTCTACATACTTATCTCCTTTTAGAAGTGAGTAGTCAAATAATGATTAGAACCAAGAGGTCGGGAGTTCGAATCCCGGCTTCTGACGCTCACATGCACGCAACTGTAAAGGGCCGCAGTCCTTAGGACGGGACGTTAAGCCATGGTCCACTGTACTTGTCGCAAATAGCTAGGGAAATGAACCTGTAAATACTGTACATACCATCTGTCTCCTCTGTCACAACCAGGGGAAGATTAGCCCATATGTGAGCTAGACTGTTTTCACTTGTCCTTTTTTGTCAACAAGCAAATACATCCGTTCCAGGTAACTTTTCCAGGAACCTAACTTAAAGTTTTACTTAACCTATCCACGATGCAACAGTACAGTACATACATAACATTAGTTACCTATTATGTACACTTGGGTTTGGGCACAGGGTGGCCAAGTACAAGGAAAGGGCCGAATTACCTCAGCATTAGGCTAAATAAGATATTTTTAAGGTATCAGGTACCGTTTTTGTAGGGTTTTCTCAATGACAAGGACATGGCAAACAATGTAAAAGGACATTGTACTGTGAAAATGTAACATATTTAATTCATTAATTCGCCTGATTTGGACTTAAAGCTTCATTTTGACATGTTTGGCTCTGACTTATAGTTATGTTTCCATTTTAGTTCACTTGATACAAGTTCTAAGTTCTCTAAGTGGCCTCTGGTTGATAGAAGTTATGTTTTGGTTTAGAAGAAGGGCTGCTAGAAATGTGGTTTGGTCAGGCTATGATCTTGGCTGTTAGGCAACGAATGTCAGACTTGTGGTGGATGGGTTTTTCCTGACGATATAAAGTGACAGGATCTGGATGTTCCCAATTCTCCTAACTGAGGCATTAAGCTTCGGGGGGGGGGGGGGCTGACCACTGCTAGACGACGTTTTCATGATGTTTTATCCTGACCATACTATGACCATAAATCAACAGGATTAAGACCTTCCTAATATTTGGTCATCAAGCTTCAAGAGACCAAACTAGAAGCATGATATCTAGACTGGGTTAGGGTTGGGGCTTGGCTGCTAGACGACGTTTTCATCTACATCAGAGTCGTGGTAGATGGGATTCTTCCTGACCATACTATGCAGAAATCAACAGGTTCCAAATTTTCGGTCATCAAGCTTCTTGAGACCTAACCAGTGGAAAGGCTACCACAAGCATGATATAGTACATAGTCTAGCCTGGGTTTAAAGGCTAGGACTAGGGCTATGATATCTAGGCTGGGTTAGGGTTAGGCTTAGAGCTAGGCTGCTAGACAACGTTTTAATCCACGTCGGAGTTGTGGTAGATGGGATTCTTCCTGACAAGGTTAGGATGTTCCAAATTCTACTAACTTAGACATTGAGCTTCTGTGGGGCCTGTCCAGTTGTGAAGGGCTGCTAGAGGCATAACATGAGTCAGGTTAGGCTGCTAAACGACGTTTTCATCCACGTCAGAGTTGTGGTAGATGGGGTTCTTCCTGACGACGCTGGACTGTCGGAAGCTGCTTGTGCTGAGGTCAGTCATCATGGAGGGCGGCCCGCTCTGTGGGGACATCATCTCAGCAGCCTGCACCTGTCAATCAATCGATCAATCAATCAATCAATCAATCAATCAATCAATCAATCAATCAATCAATCAATCAATCAATCAATCAATCAATCAATCAATCAATCAGTCGATCAATCAATCAATCAGTCGATCAATCAATCAATCAATCAACTTAATTGCTCAACAACTGTAACTGGTACAATTTATGATTATTGAAGTAACATTTGCAAAGCAAATGCATAATATTTACCTTCGGACATGGTCTGCCCTCAGGCTGTTAATTCTTACTCACACACATTCACATACATGTACCACGAGTATATGGTGACAGGAGTAGGGCAGACCATGAAATTAGAACATTATGTAACCCAACACCAGTCACCATGGTGGCAGACGTCAACAAATCATGTCATTAGCCAGGTCAGAGGTTACTATTTGGAACAGACGAGGAGGATGAAACTGAGTAAAACATAACTTCGGTAAACATAATAAAGAAGAAACAACAGGGGTAGATACATAATTAATACATAAACTATAATACTAAAATAGAATTCTTACAGAGCCAGTCCAGTACTAAAGCTAAATCACCTCGATCCCCAGGTTGTCGGCCTTCATCGCTTTGTGTGCTTTGTTGTCGTTGGACTTGTTCTTCTTGCTCTTCCTGAGACTGAACCCTCTGCTAGGTTTCTGGAATCACGTGTGTGTGAAAGATAAGACTATTAAATTTTGTGTCCAAGTCTATGTCCTATGCTGGTACGCTGAAGGTTAGACCTTCAAGCATCAAGTTTCATTGTGATGCGGTTTTGTCAAAAACACGTCACAATTAAAATGGTTGTAATACCATTTAGTATCTGTACAAATTAATGTAAGTGTAAGGATGCATGCCATTGGGTAGATGTTTATTGATTTATAAGGACTATACAAATGTATTATGACTTCAACTATATGATGTATGTATCTTAAAGTTTGCTATATTCTGTCTGACCTTAATACATGTATCTCTCCCTTCTGACGTCAACAAAAAGTAGCCAGCAGGATAATTTGAATTATTTAATGAACAAAGGCTCAAGCAAACAAAAAAGCATGTTATGTGTACCTTCATGTTCTTATCAGCAGCACATTTCTTCCACTTGCCGACAGCGGCTTTGGCCAGCTGTGTCTCCTTCTCCTTCCTGGTGCGATGGCGTTTGTACGCGATCTCGATGAAGATCAGAAACACTCCTGCTACAATCCCTCCAGCCACAAGCATGAAAACGCCTGGAAAGAAAGTATCGAATAAACACTTTGTATCAAAGGACAAATAATTTCAGTTGTTGGACCTTTTAACCCAAAACCCAAAATCATCATTTGCTTTAATCCAATCCTGCCACAATTTGGAGCGATTTACCAAATCCATGTCTGCACATTTGACTGTGGTAGGGCTGTGATGTATACACCCGATTCACATATGCAGGCAAAAACCGTATGAAAACTGCGTACATTTATTTTTTCCTCTGTGTACCCCGGCTGGTTTTGATGCATGTCAACAGCGAACGTTTAGATCGTATGCTATCTCAAGGCATACAATCTACAATCTTTAGGTACGTTAAAGCAAGACAATTTACACGGAGGAAAAATTTGACATATATGGCAATGTTCGTACTTGAAGTTTTTGCCTGCGTGTAAATTGGGTCCTATGATATACATGTAATAAGGGTAGCTTGAGGGAGGTAGAAGTGACCAAGGAGCAATTTATCTGTTAGGGGGTTTACATATACATGTAGTAGTTATGAGTTGTGATGTGGTTGTTCCCTACCTGCCATGTTCTCGAATGTGAGTGTTGCGGGTGAGTTCTTGCTGGTCTGGCAGTCCTCGTATCGGACCCACTCCCGGTCCAGCTCTTCCATAAACCCGCTCTCGTGGAAACTCAGAATCTGCAGGGAGATCTCCTGGCCCCACGGACTGTCCTTTCTCATCCCTATCCCAAAACCTGGGGAGGTAAAGTAGTCCCATAGACTTAATTATGAGGCAGTAGGGGCAGTGGGTTATTAATACACTGTGTTAGGGTACAGCATTGGAAGCTGAAAATCTGAAGCGAGATCTCCTAGCCCCACGGGCTGTCTTTCCGCATCCCTATCCCAAAATCTGGAGGGGAGGGGGTGGGCAGGTAGTCTTTTAGTTACGGTTATAAAGGTAATGGTAAAGGTAGTCCCACAGACTTTATGAGGCCATAGGGGTAGTGGGTTGTTAATACACCGTGTCTAGGGCACAGTATTGAAGGCAGAGCCCATTCCTCTCCTTCAACTGTCTTTTACCTCCAAACCAAAGTCAGGTACCCATTCTAACACCTGGGTGTAGAGAGGAAAGTAGCGTAAAGTGCCTTTACCAAGGACACAACGTCTTGTCTAAGGGATCGAACTTGCGACCTCTTGTGCCAACTACCCATTGCCATTTGGCCACTTGACACCATCAAAGGGTTCTTGACTTTGAATCTAAAGGTCCTGAGTACAAATACAGACCTGAGCGGAAGAACAACTCTCCGGCTGTCACCAGGTCACAGTTCCGCGAGGCCTCGAAATCCAGGACGGCTGAGTCCCAGATAAACGCATTCAGGTCACTGCACATGAAAAATGAAATAATGAATGACTGAATGACGGGTTTATTTATTTAAAATGGTACATTGCAGCCATAAGCGGAATGATTATAGTGATATCAGAATAATCATGTAAAGATACATAAAGCTGGTTGCTTTTTAGAAGCTATTTATGAAACCTAACTGAGTGCAAATTCAGAATCACCAGATCCGTAGTGTGTTTTTGGCACACAGTCAGACAGATTAGCATAAGAGTCTTGGTGGGCGTCACTCTACCGTACAGGTGGGGAAGTTGCCTTTCCCAAGGACACAACGTCAGGCCACGGTGAGTATTGAACCCAGGACCTATTGGTTCCGAGTCCAATGCTCTAACTGTTGCGCCACCGATGCCACTGTGGTAAGTTCAATGTACATGTCTAATAAGGGAGTCTTTTTACCCGCTTTTCACAGCAGCGATGGCATCTGCAGAGTTGTCGTAGTTGTGCTTCTCCATGGCCCTGTACATGGTGCTGAACTCCACCTGCCGTCGGAAGTACATGTCCACCGAGCTGCCCTTCACCGTGGCGTAGATGAACTTGTCAGATGGGTTCCTCAGCTGAAGAACAGGAGAAGAAAAATCTTTATAAAGTTTAGGCATCCAGGAATGGATTATAAGTGTTTTCAATGCAATCTACACATGGACAAAAGTTTTCTGTGACTTTTTGAATGCCGTTTCAGCATTCTTCTTCTGAGATATAATTATAAGCAACACATAACATTAACATAGCATAGCATAGTATAACATAACAACATAACATAACATGGTGTCAGAAGCGGGATTAGGGTCCTAGAGACTAGTGAACCTAATGTAAGGTTTGATCCACCCTTACTCTTTTGGATAATTCTGGAGGGATCTTAAATATATGCAGAGAACCATAAGTTATATACTAATTTTCAACCGAGTCAAGTGAGGAAATAAGCGTAAAAAGCCCTGAATGATACAACTTGGAGCCTGCTTGGAATTCAAACCCAAAAGACAATAACCCTAGACCAAAAGACCACCCTGCCATCTATGTACTAGACTGTTGCAGTTACCCTTGCATTGTTGATCCCAGAGATGCTGGCTTCTGGTCTGGGATTTGAACCCAGAACCGTCAGGTTCTATGACACAACAGTTTCAGTTTCAGTTTATTTATTTAACCAGAAGATACACTCAGGTCATTTGACCTGTTTTTCAGGTAGATCTGGGTACAATAAAAATGCAGAAACAATACAATGATAACAACACAGTACATAGCACATAATAGCCATACAGCAGTACAATTACAATATAATTACAATGAGTTTTTGAAGGCCGTTACAGTTCGGAGCTTTCTCTGTTCTATTGTGAGCTGGTTCCACAGCACTGGACCCTGGTACTGCAGGCTCCCTTTGTATGTGTTAATGTTTGCCGGTGGAACAACCAGCATGTGAGGGTCCCAATTTGCTAACTGGTTTACAACTAACCTCGTCCGTCTGTTCAACATTGGGGGTGGCATCCACTTACACATTTCAGACAAGTAAGGCGGCATTTTCTTGTTTAGTACCTTAAAAACAGTCACTAGTGTGTTTACTTCCACTCTTCGTGATAGTGTTTCAATACCCGCCTCTGTTAATTAACAAAACTGTACTTACCCTTGCATCGTTGATCCCAGAGATGCTTGCCTCTGGTCTGTCCAGCACCAGGAAGGCAGCCAGGTTGGCAGTGTAGGAGGCTACGATGATCATGGCAAACCCTGCCCACACCATGCCTAACACACGTGCACTGAAACTGCGGGGTGTCCCTGTGGTAGATGTGTCATATAAAAAGTCATGTCAGTGAAAAGAAATCTTTTCTGCACCAGAATGATGGTGCATAGGGTTGCACCAGGGACCTTGGGACACACAGTTGTGCAACACTACAGCAGGGGGCTAGTCCACTGGTATTGGTGTGTTCAACTACCATGATACTGTTTCCCAAATTCTGAGTGCTAAGCAGAGAAATAAGTCTGTACCATTTTCAAAGCCTAAATTGCTATGGCTTGGCAGGTGATCACACCCACAACCTAACAAATGCATTTAGGCAGCCACTGCACTAGTAATAAAAGAACAACAGCTTTAAGTTAATCATGGCAGAAAACAAGAAACTGTAAGTAATGCCGGTAAAGGCATTACATTGGTGCTACCGATGACCATCAGTTACTAGCTGCATACCTTCTCCGATCCCACTGTTGAGCAGCACACCCCAGGAGAACCACATGGCACTGGACAGGTTCAGGGCATCCTCTTCTTCCTCATCGTTACTGAGCTTGAACCGTCCGAAAGGACTGAAGCGGTCCAGAAGGTACAGCATGAGAGCCACCACGTGCACGGACAGACCCACCAGTAGCCATAGGGTGCTCTGGAAAGGCTGGAGGAACGAATCCAGGCTGCTCTTCTGGGTTTCCTGAGGGATGAAATTGGTTTGAAAATTTCATCAAAAACCTGTTGGTATATAATGCCTCAGCTAGAAATGCTATAAACAGCATTTACAGAGAAATTTTCAATAGGAGCAATAAATTTTAGTCAGAATACAACACAGTGTATTCCGATGTATTCTGATTGCCCTACAACCAAAGGTATCTTATTTGTCAGACCCACTTGAGAAAAAACAGATTTTTATGTGAAATGTGCCAAAAGTTGAGAAAATTTGGTGTCCCTAAACAAAAACTATATTGAACATCATTGTGGCCCAGGTACAAAATAAACAGTGCACATCCCAATAGCTACTTTAGTTTCAAATGAGGCAGTAGATAAACTTCACTTTACAAAAAAAGGACCTCACCTTTTTCACCAGAATGGTTAGGCCCTGGTACTTGAATGGCTTGGAGAATTCTATGTACTGGGCACGCTCATTGTTGATGGTGAGGGGAGCAACGATCAGGTCTGCCTCTCCTCGCAGCAGTTCCCCAATCATGCCGTTCCACTCTTTCTTGTTGCTGTTATTTGCCTGGGGCAAGATGAGACATGTTGGAATTTGATATCAAAGAAATTATAAAAAACACTCCAGTGTAGATGTCCTTGGTGCTGATTGGCTATTCAGTGCAAACAGATTCAGAACTGAAACTGATTTGCTGCTCAACAACATTGGCTAAGAAATGGAAGGATAACAGGATAGCACATTTCATCATTACTACAGTCACCAAAGTAGGAAAGGTGAGATTTTAGTGAACTTGCATCATTTAGCCACTCTACACTTGAAGAAGGCCTCAGGGGCAAAACCAGTTGCAACAGGCTGACTAAAAGTTCTATGTGGCTACAGATGTCCTACTGAAGAAAGACTGCAGTGTGCTAGATGTCAGTTAGCTCGAGGAATGGCTCCAGTCTATTTCATATTACAGTCACCAAAGTACATGATTTACCCGTTCTTGTGTTCCGAACTTGCCATCCTTGACCAGGTGGACGTCATAAGTGAAGTTGAGCTTCTTGGCCAGTTCCTTGAGCAGGTTGATGCAGAACCCTTCACAACACTGCATCTCACCAGCACTACTACCTGCACAGAGAACCTCGTTGTTGCATGGTCTACAGCTTAAAGGTCTACATTCAAGAAGTTCTTGGCCTCATCAAAAAATTCACCTGGGCATAGTTTTCTTTCAATGTATTTCAAAACTCCAAACTTCTTATTATTCTGTAGCAAGTTTATTTTTATACAAACAGTTGATGGCAAAGACAGATTTTGGCAACACCTCAGGAGCGGAGTCTATTATGTGCGAGAATGGAAGAAGTCCATACCATAATTGGTGTCATTGGGGACCAGGCAGGGAACCTGCTTCGGCCGGCATGACCCATCACGCTGGGCGTCCAGCACGTAGATGAAAGGGTGCATTTCTATAGTCACTGTCTACGTAAAGAGCACCAGATAGAGTCATGAGTAACCTACGCAGGCAAACACTCCTCACGGCAGATACTCAACGTTGACCCTTCAGCACTGCTGTTTTTCTACCAATTTTCTATTGCGTCGATGAAGGTTAGACATCCAGGTAATAAGATACGCCAAAAAGCAGTTACTCAAGCAACTGGATATGATTTTGTATTGGTTATTTTTGTACTTTTTGTATGTTTTGTATTTTCTATTGGTTAAGGTGTTAGGTAGCAGGGAGAATGTTGAACGCTGGTCTTTTGCTACTCTTTATCTCTGAAATGAGATGGGGACACCACAAGGTATCTTGCACTTCCTTTGATTATTATTTTGATCAATTATTACTTTTTCAGAAAGCCACATCACAGATCTGAAGTAGCCATTTTACCTCAAGAGAGGCAAGTTGCGCAGAACAAAATGTAGGTAGGTCCATTATCAATTCAATAATTTATTAAATTTTCAAATTGGGTGGACGTTGACATTGTAATGAAACCATCGCCTGTTGATGAAGACATTTATGGCAGTTATACTGGAGAGCTGGTGCCAAATTTTAAAATTGGAAATATTTTCCCAAACAGAATTTTACCAAAGTAATGTTTCTATTCATAACAAGCTTTTGCTTTATGATTCTTTACAAATTGGGCCAACATTGAGTGTCTGCCGTGAGTAGCGTTGTAGAAATCTGTGAAGATTACCCTTACCATAGACGGTATTGTTAGGTGCATAACATGGCACTGCACGGTCCACACACAAGCCATCCGACTGCACTGGTTTTATATAGACGAAGGGATGCGACTCTATAACTACAATCTACAGGGAAGAGACACACACTTGAAATGAAAGATGAACAGCCAGCAATCAAAATCACATCAATGCCATGAATGTAGTGTAGCTTGTACAGTACCAAAAAGCAATGTTACACACTGGAAGGTTTAGGTAAGCACAAATAAGGGGATTTCAAGCACAGCACAGCGAAGCCTTAAACACACTATAGTATAAATCTATAAAATTGTGTTGTAACATGACCACTTGGTATACATGCATGGCGAGTGAGTGAGAGTGTAAATGCTATGTATTGCCTAATAATAGCATTTGCTTACTTTTCCTTTAATTCTAAACCACACAATTTATATCCTGTGTCACCCTATTCAATTCTCTACACTTGAATAAATGTTTAAAGTCAACTTTTGATATATTCTATGGATTGTTTAAATGTAAATTTTGTTTGTGTGGTGTGTGTGTGTGTGTGTGTGTGTGTGTGTGTGTGTATTAGCAATGGACTACAAGATACATTTAATAACAATTGTCTGTGGTCTGATATTTGTTTTCCAAAAAGTAAGTTTACTTTGAGTCTGGTTGAGATGTTGAAGCCCTCTGGTCTCTTGGTCTCTCCTCCAGGCCAGATAATCTGTTCTCCATTGATCCTGATCTAAAGAATGATTAAAAAACGGCATGGTTACTGTACATTCATTTCCTTAAAATTTGCAGTGGTTTTATTTCATGGTCGGAGGGACAAGGAGGTTTTCATGGTGTTTTGAATCTCCCAGTTAAACAATTCTGTACTTCATGTACAGTAATTGTTTTGTAGATCATGATCTTATGGGGAAGCTGTCATCGCAAAAATAAAGCATCACAGCAAGAGTTTCAAGATTTTCAGTGTATAATAATATATAAAACAAAGATTGTAATCCAACTGCAACACTTTTCTGAGGCTACAAAACACACAAATTCTTTCTTAAATCAGGTCCATGTTTGAAGAGGTTGAAATAGGAATCATCATTCTAGTATCCAAATGAAAACTATTAAGGTTTATGCTGCTACATGGCATTGTAATCAATCATTTACTAATTCATTATGATAATCATTGCTCAATGTAAACATGTCCCCCACCTGTGGGTCTCCTATGTTGGACCAGTTCCCAACAGGCAGGAGTCCTCTGACCCTCTGCACATTCACTATGGTGTACTCTGCTGAGTCTCTGTCTCCAACCTTGTCAAATCTCACCACCCCTGTCTGCCCAGACATCAGCTGGGTCTTTATCAGATAGCTGAACAAATATCAGAAAAAAGCAGAAGCAATCGATGTCAGTTACTAATGTGGATTATCTTACATTTATGTAAAAATTGAAAGTAACGTGCAGAGAATTAATACTTCTTTTAGTACATATCTGTTCTTATCTTGTATCTTATATCAGAAAAATGAAGAGTAATCCATGTCAGTACTAATGTGGACTATCTTATTCTTATATTTGTGTAGAAATGAAAAAAAAAGTTCAGAGAAGTACTTTTTGTAACAAGCCATAAAAGTTATTATGATATTCTAAATATGAACAATTTTTTCAAGAAGTATGGAAATCATTAGTATCCCTTCTTGTCATGTGCCGTGAGATAAATTATTAGATAGCTAAACTCCTCTCCTCTAAAAAGATAATCCTTCTTTTGCAAGCTGTACGTTCTTTTGCAAGCTGTACGAAATACTTTTTCTGCATACCTGCATTACTGGGTAACAATGAAATTTGCCTGCACTAGACAAATTTTACCTGCACCATCCAACATTGATTAATTAGTATTGATTGTTTGAAAAAAGCTAAAGAAGTAAAAAAAAAAGAAAATATGTACTCGTAGAAAGCTGGTCCATTTTTCCAGTATCCTGTTTCGTTCCGGCAGCCCCTGGGAGGTTCTGTGACGTTCTCCTTCCCAAACATGGCACTCAGGCCCTCCTTCACCACCGCTACTGCGTCATGGATGTGGGCATCCTCGTTGGAACCATTCACCAACTGTAACCCTAGGACACCTGGGGACAGGGGAAGACGTAGGTTCAATGTAAGGTACTCATAATGTTATCATGTACATGTCTTACTTTTAACTGTTTATTATTGCTTCTATGTTACATGTGATGTATGTATTTGCTGCCTATTGACACGACATATTTAATTTTATTTGTATTACAATTTTGAACAAAAAAATGCTCATAGAAAGATTGTAATTTTTTCCAGCCTGATGCATGAGGCAAGACATGTGGCAAGGGGAAACTTAGGAGGCAAGGGAAATGTTTTCTATTGAAACATACTAATGAAAACGTTTGTTTTCAATGACCAAACATCACAAAAGCGATGCAAAATGATCTTTAAAACTAAAGCAATGCAAATTGAGCTTTAAAATTGAGCAAAATTTTAAAGGCAACTTGTTTTACCCTCCGGTGCAACTTTCAGAGCCTTCCCGCTGACGGCCTGCTCTGACACAATCCACACGAAGCCGTATCTGGTCATGTTCAGAGCCTTGGCATCTCTGTAGAACACTACACCATCATCCTCACTGAAACAAACACACACAGCAATAGTGGAAATCAGAGAGTTGGTTATATTCTTAGAAAACACTCCCCATCATCTCTTCCTCCAATCACAACAGTAACGTGTTCATTCAGCATCACTGACAAATACTAACATTACGTTCTTTGCCAGAAGGGTATAAATGTACACAGAAAGATGAAACTTCACACAACTACAGACTACCATAACACAACAGACATTTCAGGACCAGGGACAGACACAAAACAGATCAGAATGTCATCCCCAAAAATAGGAATACGACCTTAAACAAGACATTCTACCTTAGTGATGTGCATAATACATTGTAAGCTTCATGCTGAGATGCTTGATAGATTTGCGAATAATGATGATGATCAAGATAAATGTTATCAAACTTTTTGAATGGTATAATCTTCATCATCTTCGTCGCATGAAAGGTATAGACGTGACATAGATACTGATCCTTTCCAGTTTTCCTAGCCTTATGCCTTGACATATGCATGTATGGTATAAGGTATGGTTATATAATATTCTATGCTGCCTGCTATGCATATATTTTGTTCTGAATCTATAAGAAAAAAAAAAACAATTAAAAAAAAAGATGTCTGACCTGCAGTACAGCAGTAGCACTCTGGACTCCACGTCTTCTGTTTGTGCCAGCAGACTGGTGACATTGTTGGTACCAGGCTGGTATGGCAGGTACTTCTCAATCTGCGTCAGGGTCAAAAACAGAATTGTGCATTTTACTTACCATTCAAACATGTCTCTGTGACCTATATTCTAGTACAGAACATTGTTCTAACTGCAAATTTACAAAGTGAAGAGAAGGGACTTCATTCAACTATTGGGGCCAAAATATAAGAATTTTGAAGTTGATTCAAGGCCTGGAATATTTCTTTTGCAATTCAGATTCCAAAAAAATGAACTGAGAACCAAAAAAATTTTTACAAAACATATATAACAGGTCTGGGATGTGTTTTTTTTGCAATTAAAAAAAATGAACTGAGTACCAACAAATTAAATTGGCATGGCCTAAAAATATAACAAACAACATAGACAACACCTTAACGTCAGACTCTTCCACCAGGGTCTCGAACTTGTTGAGCATGGCCCGTCCATCGCGATCGCTGCTGGTGATGAGGATGACGTGTTTCCACTTGAAGTAGTTCAGGATGGAGAACCAGACATCAGCCTGCTGGGAGTAGGGTGGGACAGTCCGCAGGAAGGACTGGTGGATGTTCTGAAAAGAAGATGTAAAATTTTGTGAGACTTACACTTGGTAACATTCCTAATATCTTGAAAGTTCATCTGTGTTAGTAGAAGTCATTAAGAAGCATCCGAAAATAGTTTCATCAGGTTGATAAATTATAGGAAGTATAAAGCAGAACTCCAGTCAGAAGCTCTGAGGAAGGTGTTTGATAGACACTGTTTAAACTGTTATTTCCAGCACAAAGGATTGGACTTGGGTACAACTATCGTACAACGTATGTGATTGGGCCTAGAGCCTTACCTTGTCTGAGAATATGTGTAATGTCGTAGCATTAGGCAGTTGTTACGTCACATGCACAGCTATTCTGAGAATGCCCTAAGTTTGTAATTGTACGACAATTGTACAAACTATGTGATTGGGCCGATAGCCTCACCTTGTCTGAGAAGATGGACTCTCTGTTGCTGATACCGATGACTGGTATCCGATAGAACCCAGAGGTGTAGGACACAGACACAGGTGCAAGGTCAGAGTCTGTAGGGTGACTGGCGATCACGGCATACACCTGTTCAGATGTAAAACATAGTTAGTATTATGTTTACCTTTGCAGAAAGAGAACTTTTTTTTGCTCAGTTTCTTCTTCTTCAGACACACTGTGGTGCTCCGGGGTAACATTATGTAGCAAGTGACATGGAAGGGCAGGAATGATTGCCCCCAGGCTCAAATAGTGTAAATGGGAATTAAAACCACAGAATAGACCAGCATCAACAGTCTCTTGAGTGAATAGCTCTATCCTACAGGTTATTCTCTCTGGTACTTAACCTAGGCAATCATGTTGAATATAGGTCACCAGATGCCCCACTTGGTACCAACTACCACTGATGCTACCTAGGTTTACATGTAACTTTATGATGCCTATGTGTACAGGAACCCAACACACTTATATCGAGTAGGGGTGAGCCGGTGTGCTTGGCTAAATATGCAAGCTGCTGCACTGCACTTCTAAATGAAGAAGTGTTAAATACTTGCCAACACTCGAATAAATGCCAACATCAAAATTTCTATCAAGTCATCATGTATTGAGCAATGAAAAATCAAATCCACAATCCATATCTACCCAGTCTTGTGTCCACTACAGTATCTTATATATACTAAATTATCCAGGAATGACTTTCTAGTACATCAGAGATCAAATCTATTGTCTATGCATTTGCTATTATGAGTTGTACTGCATTTCATCTAAAAGAGAGATTCACAGTTAACAGCGAGCAGATTATTATTGGAATGAGCAGAGCACTTTGGACTAATGCCTCTGACCATTTACAGCTTAGAGGTACATATCCAATATTTTGTCAAAAACTTCTCTGTTACATAGCGGATCATAATGGCCCCCAGTGGGGGTCTTCACGCTTCGTTAAAAATTGAAAAATCTCAATATTTTAGACGAAATCTTGAGATCTTATGAGACAATATTGAGATTTTTTATGACAATCTCCAGATCTTTCAGAAAATCTTAAGATGAAAAGAAAAGGTCTCAAGATCTTTTCAAATGTTTTCAAAGTATATTGAGATTTTTCCATAGCATCTCGAGATGCTTTAAGAAATATCAAGATTTTTAAAGCAATCTTGAAAAAACGTGAGATCTTTTAAACAATCTTGATATTTTTTAAAGCATCTCGAGATGCTTTGGAAAAATCTCAAGATACTTTGAAAACATTTGGAAAGATCTTGAGACCTTTTGTTTTCATCTCAAGATTTTCTGAAAGATCTGGAGATTGTCATGAACAATCTCAAGATTGTCTTATACGATCTCAAGATTTCGTCTAAAATATTGAGATCTTTAGAATGAATCTTGAGATTTTTCCATTTTTAACGAAGCGTGAAGACCCCCACTGGGGGTCATTATAATCCGCCATGTAACAGAGAAGTTTGTGACAAAAGATTGGATATGTACCTCTAAGCTGTAAATAGTCAGAGGCATTAGTCCAAAGTGCTCTGCTCATTCCAATAATAATCTGCTCGGTGTTAGTTATAAATTTGGACAGACATGTCTATTATATCTGTCTATAGACCTCACTCTGACCATCAGTTTTCCTGTCAGAACCCAGTAGTTATGGCTCCCAATGTTGAGTCGTTCCGGGCCGGGCTGGCAGCCTGCCCGCATTAGCCTAGACCTTCTCCCCCCCCCTAACGGCACCCCTCGTGGGGTTATTTGGGGATACCCAAGAAGAAGAAGAAACTACATTGTACCTCATGACCCACAATCTGTATCAGAAGAGGGATATCAAATATATATCCATCCAGTCAGCCTTGAGTTGCAAGCACATCAGAGATCAAATCTATTGTCTTGAATTTCTATTGAGTTCTCCATAAGACAGTGTTATAATACGATAAACTTGTATGGATTACATGGAAAGTATAATCTTTTGTGCCAGCGAGCCAATATACAGGTCTTCACAGACGATTGAGCACCTAGACGTGATTTTTTTCAGATAAAAAGCTTACATAACAGTTTCCTCACACATGCATAATAAAATTGGTGTTGGATTTTGGCATCTCAATTTCATAGGATGTATCAATTTCAGAGTAACGTATCATTTTCATTTAATGACTATGTGACTAGAATATTTTGTCACTGTGTGCATGCTTCATTCCTTTCCATCAAAAAAGCAACAGGCATAGTTTGACTGACCGAAATGCTACCATAGGAGGCATAAATCATTGTATAACCAGGCTGGTTACCATTAAAAACAATTACATTGTAATGTTAAACGTGATTCATATCCCAGATGTTCCATTTAGAATTTTTCAAATCTGAAAAAAATGAATGACAGAAAAATAATATGAGAACAGAGAAGCCATACTTATGTGGTCATTTTTCAGAAAAAATGGATGACAGAAAATAATTTGAGAACTGAGAAGCCATATACACCTGTGATGCTTTTTTTCAGAGAATACATTTTGACCTTGGATTTTGAAGCACTGTAACCTGGCTTACCTTGACTATCTAATTCATCTTCTATAATATATAAGCCTTTGATTTACTATCAACCTGATACAGTGACTTTAATCTCTGAATGAGGATAATGTCATTATGGCAATATATCATCCTTTGTCCTGTATGCAGGCTCACTACTAATCATTGAGACAATCCCTGTAATGTATTACACACAGTGACCCCCCTGTATGCTGCACCCTTCCTATCATAATTGCTTGGGATTAAATCATGGAATATTAAATCCTGCCACCAAGCTGAATACAATGGCAAAAGACTTCATGTGACCAAAAGATCATTGGTTCAACTGACTGGTCAGAAAAAGGACAGGAAAGAGTAGAGATACAGGTTCAAGGCACACGATTATCCTTTTTCATATGCTGTTGGCTAGGCCAATGTAAGTTCTTGGATTTGGAAGGAAATGTGAGTGAAAAGTATGTTCAAAACCTTTTTTTGGACAAAAAATTTGTGCACACCGAAGTTAACCATATAATCAAATCAACATGGCCTTAGTTCATAAAATACATTCTAGGAAAAAGAGCCCTTAGCGACTTGGATTCACTATAAAATGATAATGCATAACATGCAGTTCATGTAACATTTTCACCCAAATAGCTGATGAAATTTGAAACTAGAATCTAGAAGATGACACTTTGTCCCATTGATGGCAAGAAATAATTTTTGTCAGTTCCATTTTATATAGCATTATTGCATCTCTTGGCCAATTTGATTTGTCACTTTACATGCAGTAAATGGAGCATAGCAGCCAGAGATTACATAGATGTGCAGCATGACTGTGTTATTTCAACATTATGATACATTTGGCCTGCCAAAGTCAAATACCTGTTTCATGGAAAAGGCATTACAAGGCTCAAAACACCATTTTCTCCATACTTGCACTGGTGCAGGTACCATTTAGGATTATATACTACAGTTATATTAGTTTTATAATTACCTGCAGCACTCATGATCATGCAAAGAATGGAAGCCATTTCCTAGCCCATATTGTCCATCATATGCCAGTTGTAGTGTTGTGGGCTGGTTTTAAGTGCAGGTTAGGTGCAGGCAGACATCAGAAATTCAAGCTCCAATTTTAGGTCTGGATTAAGTGCCTGGTGTATGGCAGGTGGTATTCTAGACCCATACTGCTATTTTTGGCAACCAAATTTGTGATCTATGATTCCTTCAATTCAGAATTGTTTAGAAGAAATATCTGAATCATAAAGAAGAATTATGACACAAATGTATCAATTTACATACATCTACTCAACATACTCCCACTATCCTATTACATGAGGTCCCTAAAACTATCAATTATGAGCGATAATCTCATTTAGTTTTATTTTTTCAGACCAAATTTGTTTAAAAACCAAGGTGAACAGGTCATGTAAAAAGGTGCTGCCTTAGTATGGATTTCTTTCTTGTAATCTTATTTTGAAGCCCACTGGGGGGAAAGGAACCTACATAAGATTGTATCTGTATCTGTATCTGTATAGCTGATATAACCGCCCTTCAGCGTAACACACCAGCTTTGCAGGCAGCTAGCTATATCACACCAAGCGACATGTTACACTCAATCTTTGCACATTTAATTGCAGAAGTTGTTTAAAGATTTCTAGTGATGATGCCCCATCTGTGCTTGGTACTCTATGATAGTTCTTGGGAAATACAGTCAAGATTTTGTACACCTCAATTCTTGGTTAATAACTCTGATATTTGAAGGCATGACTGTTTCTTGTTCTTTTCTGGGCTGGTATCTGAACCATTTAAATACATGGAGCAGCATTGGGTGGCTAGCATAGAATACAGCTTTTTCAACATTATATTTCACTCCATATTTCTGTATACTAGTGCCATACAACACAGGCCTATCTGTGCATATTTTACTAAAATAAACCTGTTCAAATGATAATCAGATTGCATGAAATAATGACAACCAAGGGAATTGAATACAAAAGGATGTGTTCTTCTAATCAATACTCAATTAATTTTGATAACAGAATTTCATTGAGATTCAATGAGTTGATGAATATGACTGAAATGACATTAATTGCTGCATGCAGTATTTAAATCAAAAGCCAAGCAAGCAATATTTTATACAAAAACACACATAACTATCATTGTTACATAGCAAATTTGAAGAAAATGTTGTCATTTTCCATGACTTTTAACATTTCTCTTAACACACACATTTAACTGTTACATGAATATCTATTCATATTAAGTGGTTATTATTCAAGTTTTAATAAAAATATCAAAATCTTTTTGAAGTAAAATGAAAATTTTACTCTAATTACAGAAAGTGAAATATCTTGTTTTTGAATAATTTCATGTGAATTAATGCACATAACAACAACAACAAGGCTTATAATGAGTAAGGAAAAACAGTGTCTGCAATAAGAGGCCATGATGTTGCAACAAAACACCCAATACAATCTTTCCTGTTTCTAACCCAATATGTTGATTGATTTTCTGTGTTCATTACAGGGCTATGGTGAATATTTTTGGTGTTTTGTTCCGTTCTTGTTAGTGTTTACAGAGATGACAGTGGCCGGATATTGTGGTGATTTTGAAATCTTTCCAGACATGCCTGTCCTTGGTGCTGAAATCCTTCCGACCATTTCAAAGCCTCACCAAATATTCACGTTTCCTGCCCTATTTTGAAATGCCTTAAAACTGAAGAAGGTTAGCACTGAAATAGATTTTTTCTGGGATAGAATTCGGCCACGATGTTTAGCTTTTGATTGTTTAAAATGTCATTTCTGGACACATTTCTGTAAATCGTTACGACTCAACAACACCCACCTTCTGGGAAACAAGCTTCTCGCACACCAGAAGCGCCGTACGTATGGGGTTGGCTTCCATCACCAGCGATGTAGACTTAAAACCGGTTTTGTTCACGGCATCAGCGAAGACTTCTTGGTGTTTGCTTGAGCTGAGCGTCGCCCCGATGGTTATAATCCTGGGCGCAGCAGGCTGGGCGTAGACTGACGCCATGACGCAGTACAGACAGGCGAGGAGTGTTCGAACGGCCGCCATGTTGCTTCGTCTGTCGCTCGTATTTTCCGGGAACGCGCGGTGCGAATTTCGTGATCAGGGAAAGAGGCGCGCGCGCTCACATTCCTCGTACCATCCTTGTTGTTGTTGGATTTTCAGCGAAATTATGCCATGACCTACCGTCTAAATGGACCCGCTATATTTTTTCTCAACGCAGCTGGAATTTGTGCACGGAATCCCAAGAACGCCCTCAATTTGCGGAGGTAAACCGACGGTATTAAAGACAGATGTGGCCAGGAAAGCACGGATCGCCCGACCTCGCATTGATTCGTCTCTTCCAATTAAACTCCCAAACCACCCCTGATCCTTCCTTTAGAGCGACTCTATCGGAAGAAAAAAAATGAACCAAAATCTCACAGAATCACGTAGGAAAGACAATTTTGACGTTAAATATTGTAGAACGCGGTATAGAAAAGAAATTCAGACCGGAAATCTTGCAGAATTACAGTTTCCTCTTAGGATACATTAACAGTGCCTGACGAACGACTGTCTCGTCCTTGACTTTGAAAAATTTTGTCACCAAATGTCGAGGTCACATATTTATGATTCAACGCAGTGGAATAAGGAATGACAACGAATACTCGCGCGGCTAAACGAGCATTAGGAGGCTTGGAGAAAATCCAACGCCGTAAGGCCACACCAATTTAATTTCTTGGTTAACGGATTCGCCGCTTCATTTTTTTCTGGTTTGCAAATAAAAATAAAAATTCAGAATCAACTGCAAAATGATCATCTTTTGCCTTGAACAGTTGAAAACAGTCCTTTTCTTACTACTTGTTACAGTCATTCCATCTTTCAATGCAGTAGTATCATTAAAAGTTCAAAATTCATAGTTTAAATTTTGAACCAGCCTGGTGTGTTGACTTCATGGCTCCTATCGTACCATTTTGGGCCATAATAGGATGCCTAGGCCTGTTTTTATTTTTATTTTTTTTTCGCCCGCCCGCTCCATTATTTTTCTAGAAAAATCCGTTAACCAAGAAATTAAATTGGTGTGGCCTAACCGGGCATCGCAAATCAGCATATTCATATTTTGTATCTGTTGGGGTTTCGACGGCTAAGCGTAACGGATCTATATCCATCCACATGTAAATTTGTTTTTGTCTGACCGCCAAACCGTTAATTCAAACACGTTCTCAATTCACTGCATGGAATGAAAATCGAACATCTTTCCAAAATTGGTTTTCATGGAAAGGTGTGACAAACCTTGTCCTATTTTTCGGGGTAATGTCAAGTGAGTAATTTTCCTGGAAAAAAATCATGGCTTGAGGGCCCTGTAAGCTTAAGTACGTGTCAAAAGTTCTGTACAATTGGATGATCTAAATACACGGTGCATGATACTACCTTTTAGATTTTAGCTTTTTGGAAAAAATCACATTATATCTTTCCCAAAGTGTCTCTTCGATAGTGTAATGATGAAAAATTTGGTCATTATTGCAGATAATGTCATTGTACAGTCGTAGGAGCAACTGCTGTGAGGTGACATGTCAGATGTACTAATCAATTCAGTGTGTCAGCCAATTATCTCACAGTAGCAACCGTCATCAATGCTATTCCAGGAAGAGAGATCCTTCTTTTTCCAAGAAATTATCAAAATGCAAGTTCAAAGATTTTCCAATCGTTCACTGAACTTTATGTAACATAACATAACATTGACTCCTACAAATGTCAATATAAGAGATTTCGGTCATGAGCCAAACTCCCCGTCCAAAATCAATCTTTGGGTAAACCTTGGCCCACTATGGTATCAAGTGCTAAGAGGCTTGTTTAGGTGCACATCTCAGTACTTAAGGGCCATCTAAGAGGGATGTACCTACTCAGAGCACCTATAAGCTCTGTGGTTGACCTAGTTCTAGGCAGATAAAGGGTCCATTGGATGTGATCTTCTGCAGAACCTGGTACTTCATTTTAAGGGGAGATCTTTCAATGAAATTATTTGCAAGGGTTTTAGTAGTAGTGGGAGTAGTAGGTATGTTGAAGTAGCCACCTATTCTCTCTCTGTGTGTATAGTTCTTGTGTGTATGCATGTACGTATGTATGTGTGTGTGTGTGTGTATGTGCGAGCGCATGTTTGTGTGTGTGTCTCAAACAAATGCCAAAGTAAACATAAGATTGTGCAACAGAATCTATGAGGCTCTTCTTAAGTTGACCTAATATCATTTATAGGCAACACACATTAAAAGTGTTGAAAACAAAAATAGCAGATTTATTCAAATTTACTTTGCACATATTAGACAAATTGCACATTGTGTCACCTTGTGACAACTCTTTATGACATTCTCAGTTTGATATAGTTTATATACCCAGTTCTATATATAATATTTGTGTTTCACAATGTTAACAAAGAACAAAAGAAATGGAAACAAACCTAAATAAACTGGATGTGCTTACCACAAAAAACAGTCTTTTCTCATACACTCCTTCAGTATTATCTATCGCATTGAATACGATTGATATACACCATATAACATCTGCAAAGAACATAATTTGGCCGGGCTCTCTAGCCTGTCCTGTCAACAGTGACCACTTGTCCACGTATTGGCCTGATCGGTCCTCTGAGTGGTCTACTTGGGTAGCCTTGACTGTATGTTTATATAGTATAGACTGTGATAGTGATATCTGTCTCACTGAAGATGTCCTGTAGCATTTGGCTGACTCTTTCCCACTGTAGTCTATCCAGACCACAGCCAATCCTGGGCATGGCAAGCCTGGAAACCTGGTGCTGCTCACAGTGGGCCCTCATCGCCTGGAGGCTGGATTCCAGGCTACGGTAGGTGGGCTTCTGCCAGTATTTCTCCTTACTCACCTTGAAAAAACATCCATGCATGGTCTTGCCTTTTCAAGACTTTTGCACACACAAAATTAGTTATCTATACATACATGTATTCCTTAGCCTCAGTGACTTTACCTTTATTTTCCTTTGCTGATTTGTACTGGTCACTTATGTATGTGCAACTGTGTACTTATGTAACTAACATATGTATGCACAAGTGCTGATAATCCAATTGTTATTGGGTTAAGCAGTACGAAACAAAACAAAAAAAGGTTTTCACATGTAGCCTCCCTACACCAGGCCTTTCATACAGGTCTTGATTCTGAGTCACTTTGACCTCCTTTCATACTGCCTGTCAGTCTTCCCCACCCACATGCTGTCAACCTACTCTGCCCTGACAAACAGATGCACAAACCCACAGCTCGATCAGCCACCCAAAACAACACTTAGAAGTAAAATAAATCTTCTGTCCTTTCCATAACCTACCAGGTAGTAGACATATCTCTGCTCTGTCTTCAGTACTGCAACACCACCTGGCTTCTGACCTATCAACCAAAAAAAATCAGTGTTACTTCAAACAAAATTTCAGCTAATAATTGTAATCTTTGCTATATATATGACAAATAACTACAGAAGGTGTCCAAGGATTTCGGGACAGTGAAAGATGCAACCAACTCACTGACGTTCTATCTAAGCCCAACAGAAACATAAAATATCCACAGTCACCTTGTCTTCTCAGTTCCTCCACTCTGCCGAACTTTTTCTTGAAGATGACGGCGATGCCCTTGCCCATGTGACAGTCCTGGCTGATGCAGTGTACCAGGGAGTCGGTCTCGGGACAGCTGAACAGGTCCCCCCGCACCTGATGCAGCTGGAAACCCTACGAAAGGACAACAGGTGCAAATCGTGATTCTGTAAATCTTGAAAATGCTCGCGGTAGCTTTATCTGAGAATTCATACAGTGCAAACGTATGTTTCCAGTGTAGTATTAGACTAAGTATTATTAATAATATTGTATGACAGAAATGTTTTGACAGAAAAATAAAACACCACGGAAACCGGCTTTTCCCTTCTACTCTGAAATCCTGGGAAAGAATTTATAGTGCAAATATCTAGAATACTTGCAAAATCTTGAACAGGAGTATGTGTGTGTATATTAAAGTAAGTTCACATATAACCATGGCGACTGTTGCAGGGCTTGTCTTGCTTGCAGTCTTTTAGCCCTAACAATTTAAAAGACTGCAAGCAAGAGAAGCCCTGCAACAGTCGCCGCAGCTAGTTCACATACAGCATGTTTGGCTCTCTTCTTCCCTGTTCCATGACTGTATTCTTCATTGCTCGAATCTGCACCTTTAGTCTTTGGGCTATCCTGTTGTGACCAGAAAAAAAATGATTTTGAATAAGCGTTACAATTAATATTTAAGTTTTATCTTTGCTGCAAGCACCACATTTAGAAAAAAGAAATTGAATATCTTATACATGTACCTCTGTTTATTTTGTTTGTGAATTTCTTGTTATATTCATTATAGTGAATCTTTCACTAATTCTATCAATGCATTTTCCCATTGGCTATAACATGACTTGAGGACAGGAAATGAGATAAACATTGATAACGTATTCTGCTTTCTGGGACCTTTGACCTGTCCCTCAGTGCCCAGTAGCTCAACATAATTCTTTGACTTGTTTTGGTTGTCTTGGTTGTTGTTATTGTTGATATCCTTTTCCCCATTACACAAAATCCCCCCTCCTTTGACATGATAATGGCATATCCCTATGTGGTGAAAGTAACTTACTAGTACCTTGCTGCTCTCTACTCTTTCTTGAGCTTTCAAACCAGCATTCTTGGTTTCATTTTCACCCATCTTTGCGTGCCCTGACATGGTTCTTTTCTTGCCTTTCTTCACGACAAACTTGTCCATTAAGATATTACGCCGTTTGTGCAACGTTGATGAAAGTAAACAACGTTACTTGTTGTGTTGCAATCTAGAGAAATCAAGATAGTCGCCTACCGTTTAAATACTTCTGTACCTGTTTAATTGAGAGAAAAGTGCAGCAAATTAACTTATGTTGTACACATGTATGTTTCTATAAAAGTTTATTTTGTGATTATTTAAATCTGATTTTCTTCTTTCATTTCTATGGCTATTCATAGAAAGTTAGTATAATTGAAAAAGACTAGGCACTTGGTATAAACTGTTGAACAGCTACATCCGGGAATGGATCCCCGCCTCCCTAATTAATTCATATCCTGACCAATCATTGCAGAGCTGGTGACCTCGGGTGAACTTAGGTGGTCCGAGACAGGCTAAAGAGTCAGTGGCAGACTTATAAAACCTCTGAAGACGTCTTCTCCTGCAGATCTTGAGAAATCCCAGCACCATGGCAGGTAGAGACAAGGCCGGCAACCAGCTGGAAGAGTTCAAGAAGCTTCAGAATGGGGTAAGAAGCTCTGTCAGTGCGTGAGCTTGTTGTTACATACGTCGGAAAATTTAAGGTCTCTGATCACCAGTATTAAAGCTAGCAAAAAGTTGCGCAGTGCAAGAAGTATGTGGACTTTGTTCGTTCGGTCAAAGTGGTGGTTTGCCTTTTACCTTTGCCACAGATTAAACACACAAAATGGAGACTGTTTCTTTTTTTTCCGGGGTGTAGGCCAACATTTGTTAGTTTTCTAGAGCGTTCTTTGGAGTTACGCCCCCCTCCCCACCTTTTCTCTTTACATAACAACCTACTTGTGTGTACAAAGGTCGAGCTGACCTGTTTTGTCTGAAGTCCTAACGCAGTGCAATGACCTGTAGGTCGAACTTAATTCGTTAATGAACAGTGTTGGTGCAAAAGTACCGAAGTAACGGGTTCCTTTCTCAGCACTCGGTATACAGAGGTGAGGCGGCTTCCATCCTAGATCTCCAGTGCCGAAGTTACGTCAACACTTGGTGCCCAGTGTCGGCGGCTTCAGCACTGGAAACTCTAAATCGGCAAATCAAACCTTGTCTTTAAAAGGTGTATAGAGATGCCGCCTTTGAACTCTAACACTTACTATTTTCGAGATCGTACCGCCCGGGAAGCAAATTATAATCGGGGCGACAAGGTGATCGGCAGGACAAGGCTCAGATCCTCACATTTTTACAGACATAGACTTGGCCTACGATACTGTACTTTACGCCGCGCGGCCGACGTAAGCACCAGAGGCCCAGTGCCGAAATGATTTGAGAACTCGGCTCCCAGCGCCAAGAGTCACCGAGCACTGGAACGATCCAGTGAGGAACCCGTTACTCAGGGACTTCGGCACTTGCTATCCAGTGGTGAACGGCCTCCGAGCACTGGTAGCGAGTGCCGAGTGGAATTCAGCACTAGCTATCTAGTGGTGAACGGCCTCCGAGCGCTGGCTATCCAGTGGTGAACGGCCTCCGAGCTCTGGCAAACGAGTGCTGAGTGGAAGTTAGCACCGGAAAACGAGTGCCGAGTCAAGATTCAGCTCTTGAATTCCAGTCTTGACGGTGTTTCAGCACTGGAACAAAGCCGTTTCTGCACTAGAATTCCAGTGCGGAGCTTTCTTCCGCACAGGGCCCCGAGTGTCGACGCCACTTTCCCCGTGAGTTCCGCACTGGGCGGCCAGTGAGGAACCCGTTACTTCGGTACCCTTGCAGTGTTGGTCAAATGTCATTAATTACAAACAAAAGAATTTGCATCCATAGAAGCTAGTATTAGAGTTGAATGTAGTCAAAATACGATTTAAACCTTTTCTGGAGCTTGAAGATAAAACTGGAGGATGTCCCACAAACTAGATCATCACATCGTAAATTTGCAAAACCATCAACCAGGTTGATAAACTAGTATTTCTACTAGAAATATACTTGTGGCATGTACGGTGTGTTGTTTACATACAATGTGTCGGTATACATCAGTACGTATAGTGTCTACCTGCTAGTATATAAGTTGTAAATGCAAGTCAACAATTTATGTAAGGTAGAAAAGTCAACAAAGCTCTTTCGTAAGGTGACCTCAATGTGTTTCTGTCAGGGTCATTTGCCTTAAGGGCATTTAGGGCTGTTACCTTTGTGCACATTAGTAAATTGGAGAAAATGTACATGTAGCAGAGTTAAAAGACTAAAGAATAGAATAATATCAAAGCAGTGCTGTTGAAAGCTCAAAGTCATTAAAACAGCAGCTAGCCTTTTATTTTTGCATGCATTTTGTACCCCAATCATGCATGTAAAAAAGGCTGCTGCCATTGGATATACATGTATTTTGTAGTATTGTACAAAGGCACGTAGTTGTCAAGCAGGTATGCAGAAAGAATATTTCGAGCCCTGATTATATTTTTCAGCGCAACAGCTGCCCTTGTACATGTATGGCTTGTTCTACCCTTGATGAAATAAACCATTCATTCAGTTCCTTAATTTTTTTTCTGGCGACAGAATGTTTCCACGGTTACCACGGGAACGGGCGCTCCGGTGGACAACAAGCTGGCCGTGCTGACGGTGGGTCCACGGGGGCCGATGCTGATGCAGGACTTCACCTACATGGACGAGATGGCACACTTCAACAGGGAGAGGATCCCGGAGAGGGTCGTGCACGCCAAGGGACATGGTCAGTCTCACTACATCAGGCTTCTAGCAACCCTTGCACTAGCCAGGCCCCTAGCCTGACCGCATTGTGCTTTTAGCTGCCCTTCCACTTGAGCAGCTTTGCATGGTTTTAAGGCATCCTAGTGTGGCATAATGGCCAGAGCCAAGAGGTCCCTGGTTCGATCCCCTGACATGGTCGATGTTGTGCCCTTGACTTGTGAACTTTCATCCCTGTATAGTGGAGTACTAGTAACGCTCACCAGGCCTTTCATATATTCGTTGATACTGTGTCCAAATACATTTACTGATGAGAACACAGACAGATTTGGTGGCGCCGATATGCGAGAGATTGTGTAAAAAACAGGCTAAAGATATGGTTAGTTTTACATTCTGTACACTACTAACCTAGACTGTACCCTACAGGTGCCTTTGGGTACTTTGAGTGCACCCATGACATCAGCCAGTACTGCAAGGCCAAGCCGTTCGAACATGTGGGCAAGAGAACTCCACTGGGCATCAGGTACAGGAAAACAATCATTTAATTAAAGTGTGTGTGTGCTTGTGTGTGTGTGTGTGTCTGTGTGTGTGTGTGTGTGTGCATGTGTGTAAGTGTATGTGTGTGTGCATGTATGAATGTTTGTGTGTGTGTGTGTGCATGTATGAATGTGTGTGTGTTTGATAATGACCTCATCGATGTTAGATGTATGTCATGATCAGGTGGGATTCAAACTCATGACTCCTGTTCCAGAGGCAGCATCACTAACCCTGGACTATGCTTGCAACAATAAGTTAACCCATGCACCTACCTGTAACTTCCCAGGTTCTCAACTGTTGGTGGAGAGTCAGGGTCAGCTGACACGGCCCGTGACCCTCGAGGTTTCGCGGTGAAGATGTACACAGAGGACGGGAACTGGGACCTGGTGGGGAACAACACGCCCATCTTCTTCATCCGAGACCCCATCCTGGTAAGGAAACCTTTTTGCATTACATGTACATGTACTTGTTTCACTTGTGATTGCTCTTAACTGACTGGTATAACTCATGACTTCAAGTACAAATGCATGTTTTGGGGAGTCTTACTGACATTCTTTATTTTATGCACTGTTAATTTTTCTGAGCACCTACAGTTTTACGTCTTGTATTTCAGATTTACTTGAAAACTGTGTTTTTATTATTATAATATGGATGCATATGTATATAAGACAAGGTTTGCAGGTTTTGATGATCGTTACTTTTTTCTAGTTCCCCAGTTTTATTCACACTCAGAAGAGGAACCCTGCAACCCACCTCAAGGTATAATCATGCTTCCCTTTTACTGTATTTTGTGTTACTTCATATAACGACAATTCAGTTATCAGTTGCACTGATATACTATACATTCTTATTGATTTAATTACTATAATGTGTGTTGATAAACTTGAAACTTGGCATGATTGTGCAAATAAACGTCATTGTCATTGTCATTGCCATGTTCCATGACTCACACATGTTCTGGGACTTCATCACGCAACAACAAATTTACAAGGAGTATGAAAACTTTTTTGGACTATGAATGATTTTGTTGTTAACTGTACTGTAATGTATTTAGGACCCAGACATGTTCTGGGATTTCATCACACTGCGTCCTGAGACGACCCACCAGGTGTCGTTCCTGTTCTCGGACCGCGGCACGCCCAACGGGTACCGACACATGAATGGCTACGGAAGTCACACCTTCAAGATGGTCAACAAGAACAACCAGGCCGTCTACTGCAAGTTCCACTGGAAGGTAGGACAGTTTTCTTTATCTATTGTTTGTCTACTTTTTTTATTGTGTACTGCAAGTTCCACTGGAAGGAGGGAGAGTTTTTTTCATCTATTTATTCCTGCCCAATATTGAGTTTGTGTCCACAACAATATTGTCTACTCGTTGCATGCATATATGTCGGCAATAGAGAGCACAACTAACTGAAGATGACTCCAATGGGGGTATACCACTCGGCAGCCCAGTTCTTTTACCACTCCTAAGATTGTAGTGTTTTTCTTTACGTTTTCATGTCCTTTTCTATTTTCTAAAAACCTGATCCCAAGAAAGTTATAGCATTGAACCTTCCTTAGTTTTTAACTAGACAAAACATTACAAACAGTAAATTTTTTGTCAAGGATCATATTATTTAACAGTTCCTGGTTTTGTTGATGATATGTCAAGTGTAAAGCATGTTCTCTACCCCTCCAGACTGACCAGGGCATTAAGAACCTGACCCGGCAGCAGGCTGATGACCTGGCGGGCAGCGACCCCGACTATGCAGGTCGTGACCTCTTCAACGCCATTGCTGAGGGCAACTATGTATGTACAGGACATGTGTACAGTCATTAAGACATCATTTTCCTACATCATTTAAAGAAAATGCATACTATATTCACAGTATATGATAAAGTATCTCCTAGTCACACATGGAAAGTAAGCATCAGTACTCTGGAAAACCCTCCCAGTATTCTCCAAGCAAGAGATAAATTTTCCCTCCGCCAAAACTTTTCAGTGTCATTTTTGTAATAAATCATGATTGTCATATTGTATGCTCAGTACTAATAAATGCTATTGTAATGTATAGTCATTGTTTTTGTTTGTTTCTTTGTTGTAACTGTGCATCATTTGTTATTTACAGCCTTCTTGGACCCTGAAGATTCAGGTCATGACCTTCGAGGAGGCTGAAAAGTTCCGATTCAACCCGTTTGACCTGACCAAGGTGGGTGGTGTGCTTATGTTTAGAGTGTCTGTATGTGAAGACACAACTTGTATTGACAAGTGACAACTCTCCAGTATCACTGACAAAAAGTATTGGATGCTACCTGAAACGTCTGACCATTTCCAAAATCATATCTAGTTGATTGAGTAATTGTTTTTTTTTTTTGCGTACCTTATTATCTGGATGTCTAACCTTCACCGACGTAAGTAAATGTATTAATTTTTGCTCCCCCTCCCCACACCTTTAACAAAGTACCAACTGGTCGACGCTTTAACACCCCAATGTTCTGACAAAGGGTTAGGATTTTTGGAACATAGGTTCAGTTTTCAGAATATAGGGGAGTTAGAATATGGTGTAGAGACATAGGGGTGTTGGAACCATGTTAACCATTGCCCCCCTCCCCACCCCTATATGTAATACTAATGCATTAACTCAAAACCATTGCCCCCTCCCCACCTGTAGATCTGGCCCCAGGGAGAGTTCCCCCTCATCCCTGTGGGGAAGATGGTTCTGAACAGGAACCCGAAGAACTACTTTGCTGAGGTGGAGCAGATCGCCTTCAGCCCCATCCACATGGTCCCCGGCATAGAGGCCAGCCCTGACAAGATGCTGCAGGTTTGTGTCTTTGTTTGTTTGTGTGTGTGTCACTGTGTGTGTGTGTGTGTGTCACTGTGTGTGTGTGCGTGTGTGTGTGTGTGTCACTGTGTGTGTGTGTGTGTCACTGTGTGTGTGTGTGTGTGTCACTGTGTGTGTGTGTGTGTCACTGTGTGTGTGTGTGTGTGTGTGTGTGTATGTTACTGTGTGTGTGTGTCACTGTGTGTGTGTGTGTGTGTGTGTGTGTGTGTGTGTGTCTGTGTGTGTGTGTGTGTGTGTGTGTGTATGTTACTGTGTGTGTGTGTGTGTATGTTTGTGTGTGTGTGTGTGTTTCACTGTGTGTGTGCATGTGTGTGCATGTGTGCAGGTTGTGAACCTTTTTGTGAGAGGCTCAAACTGGTCTGAAGGCTGCTTGATGTTTGATGGTTTATTAGAAATCCATTTTATTAGACTTAAAAACCTAAACAAAAATGAATTTCGAGTCCTGTCATGAAGAACGATCTTCTGGCTGTCGGCCTTGACCTCAATGCTTGGGAGGCAGTCAGGGAGATCCATATGCTGAGGCGCTACGCTCCCCACAGCAGCATGTGGCCCTGAGTGACTAAGTGAGTAAGTCATGAGTCCTTGTTGTTCTATCTCCGTCCAGGGTCGGCTGTTCTCGTACTCGGACACCCACCGCCACCGTCTGGGCAGCAACTACCTGCAGATCCCGGTCAACTGTCCCTACCGCGCCCGCGTCACCAACTACCAGCGCGACGGGCCGCAGTGTGTGGACGACAACCAAGGTGAGGACAGCCTGATCATGACTACATCACACTTCTAGCAGCCCTCCCACTGGTCAGGCTCCTAGTCTGACTATAACACTTATTCTATCAGTCCTTCCACTGTTCAGGCCTCTAGCCTGACTACATCACGCTTCTAGAAGCTCTTCCACTGTTCAGGCTACAAGTGTGACGTACAATGATTTATGTCCTACCTGGGCCGCGATTACGTTCGATACGGGTGTTCTGGCCCGTGTGATAACTAGCGGTACGGCCCGGGGGTTCTTAATGCGTACGGCGTTTCGCCCTAACCGCTTGCACCGCTTTCGAAAATTCGACTGCAAAATTCGGACGTTGGAATTGACGTTGTTGCGTTTTTTTGGGATTAGGGGCACCAAATTTTTGCTCATTTTGCATTGAAAGGCGTGTTTTCGTGGGTGGGTATGACATAAATAAAATACAACACGGTGTATTCCGCATCACCCTCGGTCCCAGCCCTCCCGCGGATCGGATCTCCCTCCGGCCTTCGGCCGTCGGGCGATCCGACGCGCGGTCGGGCTGGTACCTCGGGTGATACGGAATACACCGTGTTGTATTCTATATATATAGGACATGGTAGGAGCCTGACCAGCAGAAGGGCTGCTAGAAGCATGATGCAATCAGGCTAGAAGCGTGATATAGACAGGCTACGGCCCTGACCTGACTACATTGTACATCACGCTTCCAGCAGCCTTTCCACTGGTCAGGCTCCTAACCTGACTACATCACACCTGTAGCAGCCTTTCTACTATGTAGCCCCTAGCCTGAATACATCTAACATGAAACATCTAAGTTATCATTTTGATATCTAACTCTGAAAATGTTGTCTTGTATGTCACAGCCGGAGCCCCCAACTACTACCCGAACAGTTTCTCTGGTCCTGAGCAGAATGAGTCCATCGCTCCTCCGGCCTTCAAGGCTTCAGGAGACCTGCAGAGGTACAACACTGCTGACGAGGACAACTTCACACAGGTTAGGATACGGTAGTTCTTTTACACAACCAAGATAGTTTACCTTGCTGACACTTCGGTGTCTATGAGATACCTTCCTCGAGTCAGAGCTTCTGACTGGAGTTCTGCTTCTCACTGCTATACAGATATAGCGGTGAGAAGCAGAACTCCAAGGAGAAGCTCTGAGGAGGGTGTCTGATAAATACCAAAATGTCAGCAAGGTAACTATCTTGGTTGTGCCCTCTGTTTACACAGAAGCTGGAAAGGTGTTCTTGTGGTTAGGGTTGTTGACTCAGAATCTGAAGTTTCAAGGTTTGAATCTCTACTACATATATTAGCACAGGCCCTAGTGTTGTGCCCTTGGGAAATGCGCTTACATGTAATACCTATTTCTTCACTTGACTCAGGTGTAAATGAGTGGTTACTTTGGTCCTCTTTGATAGGACAAAAGGCTGGAGGTCCAGTGTTTAAGGAGAGCCACACCTCAAGCATGTTTAACTGATCCCACTGCACTTGATATCGAAAAGAGTAGGGTACTTCCTGATGTGAGTGATTCAAACCTTACAGTCGAGTCTCAGGTTTGACATCTTTGAAGAGGTAATAATGAAGTGCTTGAACCCCACTGTTACAATAATTCTTATCTATCTGTTGTTGCACCACAGGTGGGGACATTCTGGAGGAAGGTTCTGAGTGAGTATGACCGCGAACACCTGGTGGACAACCTGGCCTCTCACATGCAGAACGCTCAGGACTTCCTACAGAAGAGGGCCGTAAGGACATTCTTCTTTCCCAAATATGCAAATCAGAATATGCAAATGAGAATTCCAGTAAGACTATGACTTTTTGTTTTGGCCTAAATTGCTGAAATGCATACTGGCTTGTAGATTGTCTGTTGGAGCAAGCACTCAAAAAGCACAACTTTCTGCATATATTATTACCTATTTTGACCACCAAACGATGAGCGAATTTGTGGACATTTTTTTTTGTTACATACAAATTGTTAAAGTTTATACTGTTTTGTGCGTTTCAGGTGAAGAACTTCTCCCAGTGTGATCCTGAGTACGGCCGTCGTCTTCAGGAGAAGCTGGACAAGTACAACGCTGCCAAGGTAACAAACAAACAAACAAAGTCAGATAAATAACTACAGTATACTACATCTAAAGGGTACAATTCAAAATCTGTATTCGATATACCGGGGGTAGATGTTAAAACTGCTAGCTGCTTAATTTTTGCATATAGATGTATTAGTTCAAAGTACTTGTCATAGAAAGAGAGTTTATTGTAAATACATGCCCGAGGGCTAATTGCAGATACAAATAACATGCATGAAAAGGAAAATCCGAGGATATGAGAGACTATGTGCAAAGTTATACTACATTCTACAACATGTGTGGTACTGATTTTGTTGGATTTGACTTTTTCTTTTGAGGCTTTGACTGTACACCATGAAAATGTAATTAGAGAGAATTTGAGTGTAGAAATTTTGTATGAGAACTTGAACTGTTATAACTAAGGATAACTTTTTCATCTTTCCTTCCATAGGCCTCTGCCCGAGTGCCTGCCCAGCTGTAAGCTGCAAACTGCCCAGGCAAAACCACAACACTGGGTGTGCCACCAACCAGGACGGGCCAGTAAAGAGGAGACTAGGAGAGATTCAGCAAGCTTCTACCTCTGCAAACTGCATATACAACTCTGTGCGAAATGCTGTTAATCTTAACCTACAATATAGGATATCAAAGTCAATGTCTCCATTGACTATGATGGACAAATGTCATCCAATGTAATTATCGTACTACATATTTTCCTGGGTATAAGGCCAACAGATGTATTGCAGATATGAATAACATTGCCAAATTCAATCACAGGTTTTAAGAAATTAGTCCAAAATGATATAAAAAGGTAAAGATATAAAAAGATCCAGTACTGCCTTTGAACTTGATGTAATTATGAAAACCTTGTACTAGTTTGTGGCAAAGGAATTACTGAGATTTTGTTACATCAGCTTTGCAGACTCTACTGTTGACGTCACATTTACCATTTGATGTAAAATAATTACTATCTGCATCTTTTGAGATTACTATCAATATTGTGTCTTTTCTTTACTCTCATTCTTATTGATGCTACATGTAGTTCGGATGGTTCAAAGTCTATTTTCATGTACATTGGTTCAGCAGAAATGAATGTAATTGTTGCTGGTCAGTTCCAACAACAGCAATATGAGGTGAAAGCATGAAGTAAAAAATGGGAAAATATGACAGGCAATTCTATGGTGAAAAGGTCAATAATATGTGTATGAGGATACATGTACTAGGATCTTGGTCTCCAACTTTTATCTTGGTATTAATTTTTTTCTTCAAATTGAATTTATTAGCTAACAATCTATTGAGTTTGCTTAGACAGATCAATATTATCAAGCTTGATGTATATACAAAGGGTAAAGTTTTGTCAAATTTTTATATGTGGGTATGTAAGAAAATGTAAGTCTGAACAAAATATACTAAGTCTTGAAATGTTTCAATGCATTTACTGGCTCATATTCATGGATATGCCATTCACAGTTTCAAATTATGGAACCGCAGTAGTTTGAAACATACACACAGTGGTATAAAACTTCATCCTCTGCAATAAAATTCTATAAGGCATTCCTTCTCAAAATCCTGCCGAATAATTATATATAAAATCATGCTCAGCTGACAATAACAGTTTCCAAGGTGTTTTCTTTCTTGTTCATCAGTCCTTTTCTTGGTTGTTTCAAAGACTTAGGGAGAAAGTTTATGAAGACAAGATGTCATAAACTGATGCAGGGAAGTTCTGCTGCAGTACCAAAGAAACCCATCAGAGGGCCCAAAATCTAATAATTTCTAGGTCTCATCAAGACTACCCACCTTCCAAGTTTCATGACAATGCATATAAAGCTTCTTGATCATGAGTTATGCTGCTCACAGACAGACAAACACTACTTTAATTGCGAAGGTAATGCTGATTTTTCACTACCAAAGCTCATGAGCACCAAGAGGTTCACAGTGCTACACGATAAACTGATATACAGTGATATACATGTAATGGTGAGAATAAAACCATAGAATAGCGTCGTCCCCAGGTTGCTTAGTGATCCCCGGGCCATGATTCGCTCACTGGAGGAAATTCCTGGGAACGAGCGTGACCTCCGACCTCGAATTCTATTTCGTGCGCGCGGAATTTGGTTTGGTTTTTTTTTACTGCAAAAATCGCTCAAATGAAAGGCTAATACGATATTTGAAGGCGAACTATAGGAGTCAGAGGCTAGGTTGAGTTCTAAGTAACGAACGAACACTACTAGTGTTCGTTACTTAGAACTCTACGGCTGCTGGTAAAAAGATGAGAACCATACCCCCCCCCCTCCTCCGTAGCTAGCCAAGTCACTTCTGCGTCCAACTTGGAAGATGCAGTTTCTATGATGTTTTTCCTGCTGTTTCAGTCTGCAACAGATGAATACAAAAGGTATGGAACTGTATCGACATATTTTGCATATCTAATCAAATATGATGGATGTAGAAGAGAAGTTAGAAAATATTCTCAATTTGATTGAAGCGATTTTGCATTCTTCTGGTAATCTATATATTACATATAAAAAGGAGGTCTATGAGTATGAAACAGTGAAATGAGCAGGTTAGGAATGGGCGAATTGTTATTCTCTTAACGATTCAATGATGAGCAGTAGTGTAGATAAGTTAAGTTGAAGTAGACTGATTTTGAGTTTTTTGGACTCACTTGGATTTGGAACATTATGATATTTTGACACACCAGATAGCAGCGGCGCCTTACGACATGAGCCAGCACTGCAGCTTTGGTAAGTGATGGCTTAGTATAATTTTGTTGTCACCCATTAGATGGGGTTCAAGAAATCGTCAAATTCTTAGCAAATAAAACAGTTTTAAAAAGTTTAAGAATTTAGATTATTTTTATGTTATTACAGTGTTCTAAACTAACATAGTTTATGCGTTTTATCCCAGTATGTTCAATACGCTCAGTTCAGCCATTTGGAGTTGTTGCAAATTTGTTACTTGTTCAACTGTTTTTTATTCATTCGTTCATTCATTCGTTCGTTCATGTATTCAGTCATTCGTTTATGCATTTGTTCATTCATTCATTCATTCACTCGTTCGTTCCTTCGTTTAACTGTTAACATGTTCTAAGGTCACACATTTTATGGTGTTTTCACCCATAGATTCATTCATCGATTATCAACGTGTATTTGCTTTTTCCTTTTTAAGGTAATAATTTTTTCGTGAAATGTTTTGCCATTGTTGAAACAATCAAGTACATTAAGAGTAAGAATACAGTACCTGCTGCCAAAGCTTGCCATACTTTGCACAGCCTCGAGCAGCGCGTCTAGCGGTTAACCGGCGCAGTGCAGCAGCGCGATCACTGCCGAGTCTCTTTCGTCCTATTTGCGGGGAGGACGAAAGAGTCTCGGCAGGTATTATAGGTTTAGATTCCAAGTTGTTTTATACTTTTAAGTATAAAACGACTTGGAATCAAAAGGTTATGCATGCCTCTTGAAAGTTGGAAGTTGAAGAGGACGATGTTTACATAATTTGTACGATGGATATCTTATATATTAGCGCCTATCAAACAAGGCTTTTAGACGGGGAAATCTGACCTGCGTGTTTCTAAGTATTCATTACTGTTTTAAATACTCTTTACTGTTTCTTTCTAGTTATGTTATGTTAATTTTCATGAATATGTAATGTTATCTTATCTTAATTTGTACATACGTATTGTGAATTTGTCTGTACTTAATGAATCCAGGTTAGATGTTTAATCTAGTGGATTTCTAACCAAACATCAAAACATCAAACATCAAACCTAAACTTGTGTCCATGGATGCATCTCAATGTTTCCGCTAGAGCAGTCTCAATCTAACCTGCACATCTTTGTCCACCCATACCGCCCCGGGGTCGCACCTCGCGTGAGGTGTGCCGTGGGAACTTTCGGCTTTCTTCTGTCCTACAAACATGGGGTAAAGTCGTCCCACCCGGTACCCCGCCCCGTGTAGGACTGTAACACGCGATGCGGGAGAGCCGTACGTAACACCGGGGCCAGGTAAAGGCAACACGGAAAACGCGCTTCTACTTTCACCAGGAAGACCGTATTTTCCTGCCGTTCACCTTCTGGTTTTATTGTGTCTTAAGTGAGTGTACAGTCTGTGAGCCTGGGTTTCAAACAAGACAATCCCCGGAAAACGTCATTCATTCATTCATTCATTCATTCATTCATTCATCCTTGCTACCCTTTCATTCTTTTTACCAGACTTTTTCCTCGTCTTTTCCTATTCCACAATTTCTTCCTATCTCCATTTCTTCTTTCTTTCTTTCTTTCTTTCTTTCTTTCTTTCTTTCTTTCTTTCTTTCTTTCTTTCTTTCTTTCTTTCTTTCTTTCTTTCTTTCTTTTTATCGAGCATTCATTCCTTCCTTCCTTCCTTCTAGACATTCACTCTCTCAAGCAGAATCCAATCTTAACACCAAGTCTTCGCATGTGCGGTTACAGTGCTTCCAGTACGAGCCATGTTTACAACAATCCTAAAACGCAGGGCGTGTCCAGGAAAAAACTCTCACGTTGCGTGAACGGGGGGCCTTGAGTCCAAATTAGGCCTGATTCACTTTGATACTCTTGCGAAAAGTAACTATAGGGACAATTAAGCCGCTTAAGCCAAGAGTGACACTCTGGGCTGGGAGGTCTTTAGGCAGGTTTAGCCATCATTAGGGGACACCCTGGGTTTTAATCCTCAGTCTCGCCATACGTACTTTAGCGCTCAGAACTGTGGAAAGTTGGGACTGGCCCGAGTTCGCTTCTAAAGCGTCTTGACACGCGATCGAGCTATTTGTAACAGGGAACGAGAGTACCCAACCCCGGTAACGAGACCTCCCACCCATCGAGGTGGTGGGGCACACATTTAGGGACCGTCCGTTTTATCAATGGGGGTCCGATGCTGTGAAAAAATTGAACTAAACTACGTTCTGAACTTTTGTTAGAAGACAGCAACATCAGCTAGTAAAATAATACTAATTTTTCGGGACTAAAAATGAGAGAAAAACGGCCACAATCTGAAATATTATTGATTTGGGGCACAATTTCAAAAGGGCCTCAAAGAGAGCACAGAGGTAACAAGGAGAAGTCAGGGACATCTTCCCTCCATGGAGGAGGTTGGTGTTGTAAGGTTTTATGTTATCACCTGTATTCATTGTATATGGAAGGTATGTTCAGATGAAGATGAAGAATGGTTAGAAGAAGGCAGATGGGTTTAAATGTAATTTGACGTTATATGGCCATGAATAATGTGGGAGTTGCTTTGTCTTGGTATAATTTTGATATTAGCATGTAACTACCAACTCAGCTAAATTTCAAGTGAGTTTTATTACTTATAATTATTTAGAGTTGTATGTTCTGATTTGAAAGAAATAAGTAAAGAAATGAATGAGCAGCCTGCAATGTGTTTGGTATACTTTATTTTATATATATCATGTCATAGCGAATAGTAATGAAGGAATCTTACTCTGATCTCTTTGTTAACCGAGCAAATTGATGTTACG